ATCCTAAAAGATTATGAGACACAAGAGATAAGATCTTTCAAATCAATGATTGAGATCTATGTGCCCAAAGAAGAATTCCAAAAAGTTGAAGACTTGGCGGTTAATTACAATGAGAAATTTATGGAAGAAATAATCATGCATAGAAAGACAAACCCTTACTGGAACCCACTACATGGAAGTATGACAAGAAGCGAGACCCAATAAATGAATCATTCTAACTCCACTCTAAGTAAAGACTTTAGTTACTAACTGTCATCAAGACAAGTTACTAAAGCAAGATCCCCCCTTATCTTTACATGTGTCCATTGCGAGCACCGCAAAAGTGTTAATAAAGGTGAGAGCGAATCAACTTTATCTTATATTGTTTATAAGGCCATAATAAATATGGGTCGTAACTTTATCTTTGGATTCTACTTTGTATGATAACCTCGGGTTTGAATTTCATTTTCGTTTAGCATAATTTTTAGTTTCATTTGTGTGGTTTGCCTATAAATAGGAAGACTTGTAATGTGCAAATCAAATGAAATAGAATCAAATACAAGTTTCTTTTCTTAAAAATATTTTCTCTTCTCTGAAAGTCTGAAATATATAGTTCTTATTTGGTTAAATAGGTAATTTAGTTCCTTTATTTATTAAAATGTTTCAATGTGGTCTCAAAATTTTTAAAATTTTCAATTTAGACATGAATATTGAAATTGATATCAATTTTGGACTACCGCTATGTATGTTTTGAATCCGTTATATTAGATGCCTAATTGGAATATCAGTTCTGATATAGTTAGGTGATTAGTTATAATTATGTGACAGATCTATCACGTCACATTAAAATTGTAGGAAGAAAGGAATAGAGCCGTGGATGTGTTTAGGGTTTGAACAATTGAGAGTTTGTGCAAATGGGTGAGGGAAAGTGAGAGGATTTGCAACAACAGGAGAGGTGTGAGTTCCATTTGTGATGGCAGTGGGGGTTTAGGGTTCTAATCATCGTCGTGTGTGAGATTGATTGTAGCGAAGGAGGAGGAGGTTAGTTCCATTTAGGGTTTGCGACGACGATATCGAGGGAGCGAGTTGTTTCCGACAAAGAGAGAAGGAGACCTGCGATGACGGCAAAGTCGAGCACGCGGGAGGGACTACCTGCGACCTATTGTGATGATGAAGGAACAACGATGACGAGAGAGGAGCAGTGATAAGTGACCATCGTCAACAAGAAGACAGAGACGAAGAAGGAGCCAAGCGAAGAAAGTAAGTGTCATGGTGTAAATGGAACTCGTACCTCCACGACAACATTGCAAATCCTTACGTTTTCCCTAACCTTTTTACACAAACTCTCAATTGTTCATACCCTAAATACATCCGCGACTTCTATTCCTTTCTTCCTGCAATTTTAATGTGACGTGATAAATCTGCCACGTAACTATAACCAATCACCTAACCACATCAGAACTGATACTCCAATTAGACATCTAATATAACAGAATCAAAACATAAATAACGATAGTCCAAAATTGACATCAATTTCAATATTCATGTCTAAATTGAAAATTTTAAAAAGTTTGGGACCACATTAAAATATTTAAAAAAATAAAGGGACTAAATTACCTATTTAATCTTCTTATTATCATTCCCTACTTAGATGCAGATATGTTCTACACTTATCTCATATGAGAATCTTGTATACCAGAAAACTTCCGATCTTTAAAACCTTTTTATCACATAATGCTCTTCTTATAAAATATATGAACATGAATAGACTTTTACATCGTAATGACACCGTTATACCTAGGAGGTTTATATCGTATATCTAAAATGATATTATATATATATATATGACTTATTCACTAATTTCTCAGTCTTGACGAAAAACTTAAAATTTGTAATATAAATATTTATAATTTAATACTTATTAAACATGTTTTATAATAAATATTAAGAAAATCATTAATATATATTAAATTAAAAATATTTTATATTTTTATAATATTTTATCTTTTTATATGATTTTGAAATTCATATTTATCAATAAAATGTTATATGATTTCCAAATTCATTAGTGAAAATCGTTCACTGGTCTGACTTATTTGCCACCCTGTTTTCTCTCTTAAAATAAAATTTAAAATCATGTTGTGTATAAAAAAACATGATTGAAAAAGGAAAAATACTCCGTTCATATATCATAATAATTAGAGAAATAATATATTTGAGTTAAATATAATATGTTGTTGTTATACTAAACATTTCTCATAAAATTTTGACATGTATATACTTAATAACATACTTGAAAATTTGATTTCGTTTATCTGAGCAAAGATTTATTACTATTTTTATATCATATCATTTATTATCTTACTTAAATCTTAAGTTAATTGATATATTTATGAATTCTATGTTTAATTATTCTTTTGTTTTTATAGCTGTATAAATTTTTTCCTAGACTAAGTAATTTTTCTAGCCATTAAACAACACTCTCACTTCTGTTTTGGTAACTACTATTTGAAAAATACTTAACATATAATTAATAAACACCGAGTGACACTATAGAATGATAACATGTGTTGCATTTTACGTTTGAAACTCTTTATTTACCTTTATGTTTTGGTTACACTTAAAAACTCATATAAATTAATCTTTATATAAGCACTTGAACAATCGTCCAAAAACAGTGTCGATTTTAATTGTTCAGAAATAATTTATAATCAAGTTTTCCACAAAAATATTTGTACAAGGGAATGGTAATAACTTTCTTCGTTCAAAATAAAATATTTGTTTTTTAAAAAATACCATATTAACCATTTATGTCGTAACACATTAAAATTTTATGAACATATTACTCTTTGATTTTACAAATTTTATATTTGAATATTTCCAGTACTATTTTTTATCATTCATAGAATCAGGATTCACTATTCTTAGAAGCAATGATTCTGAATACGGAAAATTTTATTATGTACTAAACCTCTCTTGATTTTTTTGTTGACAAAAACCAAAAAGGAAATAATATTTTCGTAGAAACTAAAATAATTTTTAAGTGAAGAGACCAAAAGGTAATTTTTTTATAACTAACCTTATTATAAATAAACATTTGAATATATTTTTAGGTCAATTAAAACTTAAACTCTTAAAGAGATAAAAACAATGTCATACTAACTATATAAAGAAAATAAAGTATGGCTAACTAAGCTTCAAATTTAATAGTGAATTAAACAAAGCACATATTTAAGGCTAATTAATTAGTGTTAATTTAATAACCCATCCTTATCTCTAGTTTTAAACTATAAGCTGTTTGGCATGTCTAAAACACAGAAAGGGAAGAAAATTAAGATGTAGAAAAAGAAAATAATTTGGGTATCTCATTTCAAATTAGAGTGTGTCGGTGCAAAGATACTAAACCACTTTATCACAAAGGCCCACGTATCTTAATTATTATAAAGATGAAGACTCTTGCAAGACAATTTGCTGTGTAGGGCGAGGTACTGATAGGAAAAAAACCAATTTTCTTGAGCACTGTCACAGTTAAAAAGAGGATTTTGATTGATACTTTCCCACATTAGCATGTGAATCAGTCACTAATTATAGCAGACATGAGCATCTTGGGACATTAATATAGCAATAAATTAAGGCTCATAAAATGAATTTTTGGGTTTTAAAGGAAATGGAATGGTCCTATTGTGTTCCAAAATGTGAGTGAGTTAATGATCAATCTTATCATAAATTGGCATCACAATTAAGATGGGGAAGTCACTAATAATGGTAAAACTCTCAAGTCTTATCCCATCTCAGCTGTATCCACGACCCCATGTTTGCTTAGATGCTATATATGCAAACAAAACGGACAGTCCCATTGAAACAATAGGGAATCACACCACTGTCATGAATACCACACCACATATTTCCAAAGTTTTCAAAAGCCTTTTTTGTGTGGTTAATTAATGAGAGATCCTTTAAATAGGTGTACGGAAAGGGTAAGGCCAAACCATCATATGGGGACTCCTCACACTATGCCATTTACATGTGCTGTCTCTTGGACGCATTGTTGTTTTCACTTCATTACCTTTTTCTTTTCTTAACTTCACCATCAATTATTGTCACAGCATGTAGTAAGTTGGGTAAATATGCCCAGGTAATTTTTCTCTTTCGTTCTCCTGAGAAGAATAACCAGACTATGATCACAACATATCATCAGTTTTACATGTATATCAGTAAACAAACTGATGAAGAACAATTACCATATATACTAGCATTCAAAGTGATAGATATTACAATTATCAGGAATTCAAATACTAACTCTTATGTACGAAGGAATCCTAGTTGTGATCATAGATCAAAGATGTTATATTTTATGTAATTTTGGTAATATCTCGCCTGTATTATACCAGAGACAACTTGCCTATGTTCTCTCATGGTGGAGTTTTCATAATTGTCTCAAGACTTAGGACAATAATCAACAACTATGAAGATACAATAATGAAGATCACCTAATTCCGTAACTGGCTTTTTGACAAATTTTTAATATATCACCACTGAGACTACCAAAATTGTGAAAATTTACAAGCAAATGCAGTTGATGAGTACAATTGAGATGTCTCCAATTGCAACAATATCAACCAATTTCATATCCAGTTTGCAAGATAATTTTAACCATATACTGTGCCATAAAAAAGTTTAAGCAACACTAGCACAATAACCGAGAAGAAGCTGAGGCTTGATAAACCTAGCTACTACAAACTAGGCATGCATATTTGTCATATTGCGGAAACACAATAACTAGTGGAGAACGGAATACCTGCATTTCTTTTTATCCTTTCACTTCCTATAGGTGTATTACAAAAGCTCAAAACTCCTTTCCCTCATTTTGTCTGGTTCATAGGCTTCCTTTCAAATGATCTCAAGGGCATGCAAAACGATCAAAAAAAGTTATGTGAACATAAACTTACGGTGTAAATTACATGGCAACATGTAACAAGAGACTTGTGTAATCAATGGTTTTGACATGAAAAAGCATGCCACTATGTCGATATACTTCCCAAGTGCGCCCAACAAATGAACTTTTTCTTTTGAGGAGGATAAACCGGACACTGAGTCATATACCACTTTGGTCAATTTTAACAATAAAATCATAAGAAATTGAGGGTGTGGCAAGGTCATTAACATTAACTAGTGCTTCATTGAGAACGACATTCTAAGTTTTTTGCATCATGATAGTCTTGCATGGTGATCTTTATGCAACATTTGGGTTTTCCACATGAAAGAATTTTTTTTTTTCTTTTGCGATGAGTGAGTGGGGGGGGAAGAAAGAGAGAAAGAGAAGGAACGGGAAACCTACGAATTAGACTGTGACTCACACTAAGCCCCTTCATCATTTTGATTAATATACCTGCTTAAGATGTCATGCTCTTTGATTAAGACACAATTGAAATAGTTCACTGCTATGTTTATCCACCATATATATAATAATTGTAAAACCTACATCCATATATTTCAAGCCACTCAATATAATCAAAGTTTCAATGTCTATCCAACTAAATTTATTCTTGTTTGAATCAGTAATAAAATTTCATAATCACTTTTCCTACAGACTAAGAAAATTTTTAGTAAAATAAAAGTTATTTTTCCAAAATGTTTAAGTATTACTAAATATGCACCTATTGTCTTTACACTGATTTCAAATATAGTGTTCTAAATCTCATCATGATGAGTACTGAGACATGCTAATGTTGAAGAATAAGGGGCTAAAATAAATGGAGATGAAGATGATATATACTACTACTCACCTTCTATATGAAGCATATATAAACAATTTGAATTGGGTGCTGAATTGTGAACTGAAGCAAATCAAAAACCCATCCTTCAACACTTCCAAATGCAATATAAGGTGCTGCTGTCATGATGGGGAAGAGGGGCACATGAAGGACTAACTCACTGCAGCAAATATAGGATATCCCTAACAGAAAAGAATGTGACAATTCTCTGAGTTCACACCCCGTGTGTGTTTTGTTCATGAGTTAGTGTTGCACGTGCCCTGCTTCTCCATCTTGCTCAACATGCACCTTCAGTTTTGATGATCATGTCACTTGCTATAGTAATAGTATTTTTCTTCCTCTCACCAGAAAAAAAAGGAAGAAAAAATTATTGATGAAGCACAAAGGTTAAAGAAAGAAGGGGTGAATTTTGTGACTCCAATCTGCAACTTAGGTGGATGAAGGCTAGTGATGTATAACAAAAGAGGGAATTGAGAGTGTTTTTAAAGGGGGGATGGGAGATGGGAACAAGAAATGAAAGGCTTAGTTGGGTGCGGGGCCTGAGATTTTAACCCAAACAGCTTGTCACAAGTCATAAATAACAGGACCACACCACTTGATCACTCACCATACACACTCAATTACTGATATGCCCCATCAACTACTCCCAAATTAGGGTACCAATCTGGTTTATATACCAGTAAATTTTACATGAACACAACCAATCAAGAGTTTGGGATGTACTAAAACAAGGATTCAATTAGAATATATATCATGAACAAATTTATACTGTTGTTGAATTTTTTATTTGTTTAATTTTATAATATTTATTTGAAAGTTCTATATTTTGGGTTTGAATGTACAATATATTGTCCGGAAGATTTGAATTTTAAATCTCATACAAACCACTCAATTAATTAAATCATACTCAATCTTATTTAGTTAAATTTAGAAATCATGTAACAAATTGTTGAATGGTTGATTGAGTAAAGATTTTACTTGTATCAAAATTGAACTCTTAAAATAATATTAAAGTGTATTTTAATAAACTTACTCAAATTATTGTAATATTATTCTAAGATTTTGATTGGTTGCATCTGCAAATCTTGTTTGCACGCGAAATTGTTCTTCCAATATACTCCCACTGTGCCAATGAAATTTAATTATTTAATTTTCAGATGCTGATACCACATGAGCTACAACATGACATAAAATTATTATTAAAGTTGAGCATGTAATGCTTTGCCAAGGAAGACAAAAGAGAATAAAGATCATGAAATATATAATAGGAAGACAAACTAGTCATTTATCATCATGATGCAGTATGATTAACAAATAGGAAGATCCAAACCGTGTATATAAATTAACTTGCACAAAATAAAAAGAAAAAGGAAAACAAAAGAAAAAGAAATAGAAGGGACCGTTGCTTAATGAAAGGGGTTGAACAGTGGAACTCATGGTACAAGATTATTAATTTCTGTGAATGAACTAAAGAGAAAACGTACACACACACAAACCCTTATGCTTCAAATCTGGAAATTTTCTAATATTGTAAATTTATTAAAAGAGAGAGTTGAAAGTACAAATCTCCTTGCCGCACCACTTTAGTTTATCATCAATTAAATACAGATGTGGCCAAAATAAAAAACCTTGTCATTTTCAAATCTCACCATGATATGCATAACGTAGTGTGTAAGAATAATAATTCTGGGGAGTGAGGCTAAAGTTTCTTTAACCACCATAACTGCCAAATGTGTTGCTCTTGAGCAATTTGCACCAGTTGCAGCACGCCTAGCCTAGTAGGAACATAACATGGTAACATGTGTATATGTGAAAATCTCAAGAATCTTACCCGTATATATTGAAGATCACAATAGTATCATAAACCCTTATCTTTATCTCACTCCAACTTTGGTATTTGTATACTTTTTTTACACTATGTCATTATCTGTGTTGATATTGATTTGGAAGGAGAAAGGAAGTAAATATATGGGGAGAAGGAGGATTTTGAATAGACCAATCTTACTGAACCATATTCTTGTCCTCATTCAGAAGTGGACAATATGATGAGCCACTCTTTAGCACGAGGTTTTTAGCATATTATTTTCATGTCCACACATTTAGACGGCTGAATGCCACATAACATGCCCAATTGTGTCATGATCACAGATGTTGCTGTCTCAAGTTTGGCGACACTTCTTTTCCTCAGAAATTACTATAAAGCAGGAAAAATAAAGTTCAGATTAACAACCTCCATTCAACATTTGAGCAGTATATTAAGTCCATTGCTTCATCAAAATGCACCATAATCTTATTATGATTAAGAAATTGGCACAACTGCAAAATGTTCTGTCATTTGCACTATTGTTCCACCAATTATGTTTGAAAGTGACTTTAGTTCTACAGTGTCTGGAACTGCAGATAGCGCTTATGCATGGTATGCACAATTGCTAACCAAATCGAGGATTTTTCAAACAATGTAAAGTACTTGCATATATAGTGGAAAAATTTTCTCTGTTCCAATAATACTTGGTAGCTTTTTTGTTGTCTCGTTTTTGTGGTCTTGAATATTCTTTTCCAATCAAAAACCTAACTGCTGCTTTTTTTGAATTGAATTATTCAAAAGATCTCGCATAGACCAGTGGGTTTATGGAGCATAAGGACACAAATGGGGTACTGATGAGACTTACAACTTATTATTTCTTATATCATTTTTTTTCTTGTTAAGAAGAATAAAAAATGGCAAAGTTTAACTTCATGATTTCACTGAGTGTATTTTTTACTACACTAACCCTTGTTTTCGATGCTTTTTCATGCAAAGTTAAGGCCACAGAAGTTTTTTCATGCCTTAGTCATAAGAATAATGTAGAAAGAAAAGAGTATATCCCGTTTCACTCAAATAGTTTAAGGAAGAATGTATAAAGCTCTTAAGTGAGATTATGCTTTTAATTAATCTCATTGTACCTCCAAGGATACTTGTTCCCTACTCTACTCTAGAGGGAAATATGATTTCTTTAGTTTGGCAGAAAGTGACATCGTTCTCAATCTCTCTCTCTCTCTCTCTCGTTTTATAAGGTCTACAACTTGTAAGATTTTTATTTGTTTGGCCTGTATAACACGTTTTAGAATCAGCTAGAATAAATTAAGGGTATCCAATTTTGGAATTCCTCTACTTGAATTCATCCACGGGTAACTTTGACTTACCAAAGGTGAAGAGCGCAAGTTCTATTCATTCCTCTACTATTATATATATATATATATATATATATATATATATATAAGTTTGGATAAAATTTGTTTTTGATTTTTCAAATTATTTTGAGTTCTAATAAAAATTTAATGCTTTTTATTTTTTTTCATAAACACATGATTTTAATTTCTAATAAGAAATAAAACTATATTGTTTTCAAAATGTAAAAACTAAAAAAAAATATTAATTTTTGTAGAAATTAAAATTGAATTTTGGAATATTGAGACTAAAATTACATTAAGTTAACTATATTTTTAATTCCTGAAATATATCATCTTTTATTTGTTCCTGAAATGTTTATTTGTAGAAAAAATTGTCTTAATCCTTGTTATTTTGTATATATATTAGTTTTATATATTTTTTGTTTTTAACTTTTTATTAAACTTTTTTGAAATATATTTGATAAGAGGTAAAAGTAAAAAATAAATATTTTACAAATAGCACACGACTAAAACTATTAAAAAAATTACCTGAACTAAAAGTGAAATAATTTTCTTTAGAAACTAAAAAGAAGAGTATAAAAAATACACTTTGATTTAAGGAGGTTTTCATATATCTAGCTCATTTTATAAAAAATAAAATCTTCAATAAATTGAAAGGAAACATAGCCAACCATGAATTTCATCAGGGTAGAATCTGGTGAGGAACATCCTCAATACAGTAACTCTAAAGATAATGAAAAGCAGATTTAGCTAAATGTTTCATAGCTGTATTAAAGCATATAATTCAGTTCCTCCTTGTTCTAAGAATAACTTTACATATTGTCTCTTTATTTTCTTTTATTTATACATATATTGACCAAATTCCAAAATTTTCAAATCCACCAAGGCAAAAATATAGCTAGCAATTCATGCTAACTTAGGATAGTCAAGGCAGACTCCAGTAGCCTATTAGACACAAACAGGAACTAGCAATACCTATTATGTAGCAACCTATGATAGAATGCAGAGAAAGAGGTCAGAAAATAGCCATGTAGAAACAATACAGAGACACATATATGTGCTTTCTGATTCCTAGGCCCCTATAGATTTGTTTTTATTATAGCTAGCTACCTCTACAAAATGGTTTGATTTGGAAAAAGTTTGTGCTATTCCACAGCATGCATAGGTGTTAACATGGTGCCACTCTTTTTGGCTTGAAGAAAGAGCCATGGTAAGTGTAAAAGGCATTGGTGGGTCATGTTTTCCCAACAAGACATGTTATGTGTGAGAACAAAGATTAGTGCGTCCGTAAAATTTATTCCTTCGGGTCCTGCATGAGTCTCAGCTCACACATTTTGGATTTCTGGAACCAACCATGGCATGACATTTGGCAAATCAGATAACGAAAGGCCAACCATAGAGAATGGAGTCTCATACTGCAATGGAATGGCCAAATCTTATATTAATTATGACTAACATGTTCATTATGTTATTTGCCATGTAGTTAACACTTTCAAGATCCAACAATATAGACTAGCTTTTTGGCTGGATGGTGCTGATGTATAATATGTGGATGCAGCCCATTGACCTGGCTTTCCACTCCACTAGGACACTGATAATGATGTGAGTAGTAGAAGACAATCTTAACCAAATATATTGCAATATAAAAGAATGGGTATGCATGAAAAGAATTAGATTATAATATGTATAAAAGTATAGGAATATATGAAAAGAGAGTAAGATTTTGCAAGGCCTTTTGGGATTTACAAATATATATTATCCCAGACACGTCAATTTTGTAAGCTACACTTGACATCACACTCTAAAAGAAATAGTTAACTAACAAATGAGATTAGTGCTTTATGTGGTGTTAACCAAAATAGGGAGTTGGACAAGAAAGTAGGTATGGTGGCATTGGACTCTGTTAAATGGGCATGTCACTTGCAACCACAATGTCAATTAATGGACCCAATGAATAATTAAAACTAGTTTAATTAATAAGTGGGAAATAATTTCAATATTTTTCAACTACAACACTCATCACCACCTCTTTCACTCCTATCAAAGTCATCTCCTTGAAAAAATTCACTCCAGATAATAGCTAGAACATGCTAAGATTTCATTCTGTATTGATTTTCAATACAGTGTTTCTTTGGAGTAAATAGTCATGGTCACAATAACTTTACTCCAGTTATGCACTTGGAGCCGCAGCATTTTTATAATAAGGCTTTATGAAGTTGGAACCTGCAGATATAATATATAGCTTTTTTATTGTTCCAAAGTTTGGAATAAATTATTATGGTTTAGCATCTGGCACCATCATTTCGTCATGGTAGCGCAAGCACTTAAGAAAATGTTTTAACTAAATTTAGTCATATCATATATGTAGGAATTAGATTATGAAACGAGAACTGTCTCTTATTTATATGTATTATTATGATTATATCACTAAATCAGCATAATATTTTCTATCTTCTTGATTTAAGATGAAAGAATGATATTAAGCAAATACTTTTAGGGTAGGGACAAGAGGCATTTTCCTAGAGAATAGCATGATTGCTACTCTTGTCCAATCAAATGGAAAAAGCAAGAAAAGATTATTCGAAGGTATCATTTTTCTTATCATGTTTCTAATGAGATAAGGACAGGGTAAATCAGAATTATCTTTTACTTTGACCTCATCAAAATATGCACTTGAGTATGAAACCAGTAAACCATGAAGAAGTAGATTAGTGACTAGGTAGATAGATTAACTTAGTAATTGTCATATACGGAAAAATTTTACTCATCTAAAGTGAAATAGATCACTTTTCAGGTATTGCTAATGGCTGCATAATTCAATCAATAGCTTTCAACGTTGAAAGGGAAGGAAGTTTTTTCCAATGGAAGACCTTTCAGTCATACATTTTGTTGTTTCCATGAGATAGACCAAATTTTGCTTAGGACTTGGAAACACAAGGTTGTTCTACCTAGCACGTAACTGGTGAATACTTTGAATTCAAGGGGACCAAATGTGCACCTCAATCATTTCATGTTCTGTAGGAAATGCTGATTTCTGTTGCACTAGTTAAACTCTGTGATAATGGAATCCCCCACTCATTTTAAGAAAGTGGAACTTTGGGATCAAATCATAGGATTTCCTCATTATTGAAAGAAGGAAAAGAAAACAAGTGCAGGATTTTTTTTTTAATGAAAAAATTTTCAATAGTGCCTTTAGGGAAAAAATGTAACAACGTTCCTTTCTTTGCTAAATTGATCCATTAATTTATTAGAAAATGTAATGTTAGTGTTGCACCTCTTTTAAGACTATTGATAGTTAAATCATTCTTTTGACATATTAATTATTACCTTGTTAGTTTTATGCAGGAACCATTTAAAACTTATCAGTGTGTCTGACACATTGTCTGAAGTTAATTGTTCTTAATGCCCCACAACTAGAATCAAACTCAATGAAAAGTATGTGCACAAGAAGTATTATGACAAACCTCTCTACTGATTTTCCTTTTTGTATTGTAACAAGTAAACATTGTATTTGAGTACATAATACTACAAATTTGTACATAATACCATACTTTTGGCCAAAGAAACACAAAAATAAGAAATATGAAAGGCTGTCACTATCAATTTCAATTTGATGCTCTCACTCAAATATCATAATGACAGAAGCTAAGATCACTGAGTTGGACTGGTTACCAAAATGCACCCCACCAGAAAGTTGCCATGTCCATCAAGATAAACCAAATGGTAAATTCCTTAATTATGTATGGTTCTAAATTACAGTCTTAAAGTTTCATCATGATCCTTCATAGTTATGTATAAATACGGTTGATGTGTGGCTATAAAATTTGTGATTTAGTCATAAAACCCCAAAAAACCTTGATGTTAAAGCTAGTTGCAGATGTGAATAATTTTTTATGATTTTGTTTATACATGTCATATCTATTAGAATTTAGGTTTCCTTGTATACACTATTTTAGTCAAATAAAAAATCAATGTGAAATATATAACACACTTCTTTACACACAGAATTAGACATCAAGGATCCCGTATATGATAACAGATGATCTAATATATTCAATCAAGTTTTTAATACTATCTTAGAATTTGGATTTAAGATACTGTCTCAGGATTTGATTTGATTCTCTAAAAGTAGTTTATGAAATGAAAGTTATCTTTTACTTACATACACAAGATCTTCAACTACATAACATGTTTATTGAGATTTAGAATCCAGTTCACTGAAAGAGAAAAGTTGGATTGCAACCCAAAGAGAATAATGGCCAAAACAATGTTTGCATAATCAAGGGCGGATCCCGCTAAGTTAGGCCTTTAACAAGCATATCAATCTCATGTTATGACTGTAATATCTATCAGTAGTGGTTCAATGGTCCTACACTTTGACATGTGCATGGCCAAAACCAACTTCAAAATAACCATCACTTGTTGCTGTCCCTCATGGTTTTTTTCCCTTCCATATGAAACTTGGTCATCCTAATCCATACACACACACACATAAAAAACTAGGCACACATGGTGGTCCTGCTTGGACTAACCAAATAGTGGCCAAATTACTTTCAAAGTCCTAATTATTAACATGATTTTGGTAACACTTAGATGTTGTATGCATTATCCTTTTAAAATACAAATGATTTGTCAGGTACAAAGTGTTTGTGAACATGAATCAAAAGTGAAAAAATTATAATTTTAAAAAAATATTTAAGTGATTATTGATTTATTCAATAAAATATTATTTTACTTGTAATTTTAAATTTTCAAAAAACTTAAAAGATAGCTTACAATTATATAAGATGGAGTTTAATTATATTTTGTGAATATTAAGTTTAAGTTAAAATGTTTAATATTGATTTTTTATTGAACAATTGTATGTTTTTATATTAAAATCTGAAACATGATCATAAAATGAAAAAAAAGAAATAAAAGATAAAATAAGCTAAATATTGACGGTGTAATTTTCTTATTCTATTATTTAATTATAAATTATCACTTCTATTAATTTTGACAATTTTAGTAACAATTATCTTAAAATGTATACTTACAGTGATTTTTATTGATTAAAAATGGAAAAAGTTTTATGATATATACCATCGTTATATTCCAATAACAATATCAATACATATAAAATTATTACATTTAATAGAAAAGAAAATCATATCAGTATATAAAATTATACGTATTTATGTATCATTTTTTTAATAAAAAGTACATAAATAAGAACAGTGTTGAGGGAAAATTTTGAATAGCAGCAGCCCAAGTCTCTTGTTAGGCTATGGTGGCCTAACTTTGCATTGTCATCTGTCATGGATGTCTATTCAAGTTGACAGCTTCACACTTTCACAATGGGCTCACAATTTGGATGGATCCTGTTTTTGTTTACAACTAATGAATTAACTGTTTATGCAATACAATTAAACATTAAAATTTCTTACATAAATAACATTTCTGTTATCTTATAATGTGATTGATATGCATTATACTGTTGAGAAAAAGATTAGGTAAAATTAAATGTTAATACTTAATCATTTAATTAGTTTTTTCTTAAATGTGATTGAATGTTTTTCTTCTTAATTTCACTCCTAATTACACGTTGACTGGTTAGATATTTTAAAAATAGAAGGAAAAGCTACTAAAAATATAAAAGAAAAAAACTGTGGCGAAATTTGGGAAAATGTAAAAGTTGGTAAAATCTAGAATTAAAGGAAGAAGCGGGTTCAAATAAATGGGTTAGGTATGATAAAAGAATTTGGGATATAATTTTTTTTTTCTTGTTTTATAAAGTAATAATTATTATATTTTTGTAAATGATTCTTTACCATTCTTGAAACGAACCAACAAGCAAAGAAGCAGACAGAAAGACGCATAACTAACCAATACCATTATGCGACGTCGTTTTTACGCAACAGCGCTGTGATTACCTTTTGTGTTGGCGAAACGCAACGGTGATGAACGAAGGCCCGCACGCTTCATCGCGTGGCGAAGTGAATGAAAGCAACAATGGGCGATCACATAGCGAAGGGACAGGAACTCGCCAAGAAAGCGGAGAACAAGCTCCACGCTTGTTGCCCTTTGTTCGGTTCCAACTTCGAAGAAGCGGCTCAGTTGTTCCACAAATCCGCCACTTCCTTCAAACTCGCCAAATCATGTCTCTCTCTCACACACATTCTCTCTTCAAACTGTTTTTTCTTTTCTTTTTCATGTTTTGATCACACTTTTAACTGTTTGTTCTTTCGTTTAGGGGACAAGGCGGGCTCACTCTTCGTCAAATCTTCTAAATGTCACATGAAGGTTCTGTCCTCACCATAGTTTTATTCACACTTTAGAAACCCAAGTTTTCTGCATTGGGTTCATTTGTTATTATATATATGTTATAATATGATACCCCTTTTTCCAATTATGTGTAGTGCAGGTAGATAACAATTATGATGCTGCAAATGCTTATGTTGATGCTGCTCATTGCTACAAGAAAACTTCATCAGCAGGTGCTCTTCGACATCCTCCCCCAGATTCCCTGTAGAATTTTTGTTTAATTACTCATTTTCTGCACCTACACAATCTTTCTTTGTTTTTAGTTATTGCAGGCCTAAAATTTTACCATTTTATTCCTTCCATGTATATTTTTGAATACCGTTTTTGTCTTTGTCGTCGGAAATTGTGGGGACTAAAATAGAACAAAAAAAAAGGGTATGTCTAGGGTTGGAAACAAATAACGCGTTCATGTGTAAGAACTAAAATGAGTAGGTTTCAAGGTTAAGGACTAAAATGTAAAGATTGTGTAAGTATACTGACAGAGTAATTAAACTTTTTTTTTTTTCTTTCACGGATTCACAATCTAACAGACCTTAAGCTAACATTTTTTGCTTCTGTTTTGGAATTTAAGGAGCTATTTCCTGCTTAAATAAAGCAGTGACTATCTTCACAGAGATTGGTAGGCACATCATGGCTGCTAAGTATTCGAAGGTACTATTTGTTGTACATATCCACATAGTGTAGGGACATGACCTAGGGAAGTTTGTTGGCCTGTACCTCCGTGTTCTGTTTCCCTATTCAGTTGACAACTTTTTTCGTGTTTATATATGAATATGAATATGTGTTGTATGTTATTCTGCTTCTGTTGTTTGTGCGTATTGTTGTTGGTTCTTTCATTCTTTGAGGTTCTGATAGGGTGTTTAAATCCTTTAAAAATAAAGTAATCTGCAGAGTTGATTTTGTGTTCCTGGATTTAGGAAATTGGCGAGTTATATGAGCTCGATCAAGACATAGAGCATGCTAGATTGCATTATGAGAAGGCTGCTGAATTTTTTGAAATTGGGGATGCAGCAACCTCTGTCATCCAGTGCAAGATTAAAGTTGCACAGTTTTGTGCCCAACTTCAACAGTGAGTGTTTTTAACTTCCTTTTACCTGCATATCTCTTGGAATTGCATGTAAGATTTCTTCTATTCCTAAAATGGTAGGAGCTATCAATAAATTTCGTCTATTCCTTTTACCTGCATTATCTAAAGTTCATTTACCCAAACTTATTAGAGATGAAGTGGGCTACAAATCATTAAAACTTGGGGTATATTGATCTACTTGATGTTTACCAGATATCAGAAGGCAATTAAGATTTATGAAGATATTGCACGACAATCACTGCATAGCAACATGTTGAAATATGGAGTTAGAGGACATCTTCTTAATTCTGGCCTTTGTCAGCTTGTTCAAGGGGATTTTATTGCAATTTCTAACGCTTTAGAGCGCTATCAGGTTCTTTTTGGTGTTTCTTTCACATATTGGAGAATACTTTATGCTTAAACTTCTAACATATTTTCCTTTGATCGCATAGGACTTGGATCCGACATTCTCCAGAACCCGTGAATACAAATTTTTGGCTGTAAGTGGTGAAAATTTTATGAACTGGATTATATTCAGATGAAGTAGAATCCAAAAAATAGGGATTTTTTATTGTGTTCAGTTATCAAGTTCTGCATGTGAGATTACCGATCTAAAATGGAGGAAGAAAAATCATGTGTACGAAGAGAAATCTACACCTGGGAAATTTTACCTTCCTACCTTTCTCCTTAAATTCTTAATGACTGACTGACTCTATCTCCTATGTGTTGAAATCTCACTAATAACTGACAGTAAATTACAGCTTGCCCTATTAACTCTCAAGTCTCAATGACAAGTTCAACAGTAGTAATTGACTCCCCCATTTCCCTGCACACCCTTTTATTCTTTCTAATGTACACCATCTTAATTTGTCCATCAATGTCAGCACTGCAGTTTTGTTTGTTTCTTTGGAACAACTCCTTGTCTTCCTTAAAATCCTATCGAAAATGGTCTTAGTACTATTAGCTTGGCTTGTTACTTTGCTCTCATTCTTTTTATTGATTGAAACTAATTATTATATTTCAGGATTTGGCTGCTTCAATTGACGAGGAAGATGTTGAAAAATTTACTAGAGTAGTCAATGCGTTTCATGGCATAACCCCATTGGTATAATTCTGTGTCCCAAGGCCCAAGTATTAGGAAAAACAGTCACCTGACTATTCTTTAATGTTATCTAGTTCTTTTAACGTTAGAAGCATTTTATTAAAATCAAAATCAAAATCCTTGTGTTAACTCTTTTGAAATTAAGATAAAACGTTTACGTTGTTTGGTATGTGAATTGATTAATTTTAGACGCAATGGTGATCTCCTTGTCTAACTTTGCCATGCTTGATATGGATGCTGTTAATTTTATTTATTTGTGATCTAAATAAATATTTGATTGATTGTTTTCAGAAATTATATACTAAAGGTTTTTTTTTTACAGCAAATTATACATTAAAGTAATGAACATAGACTATAATTTCGTATGTAGTCACAAATGGCCTTTTTCATATCTGTAGTAAACTTATTTTAGAATCTCAGGTTCTTTAGCTCATCTACATGAATCCCAATTCGAAATTGATGTTGTTTGCCCCACCGTCTTTGCTGTTGTTCTTAAATTCTATCAATTTTAATCTTATTGACAGCATATATCTTGTTTTCTTATAACTTGTGTGACATTTCGTTGTATTTACGTCCTTTCAATCTTCCGTTTCTTTTTAAGTTGGAGGAAGGATAAGTTTCTTCATTATCAGCATACTTGTCTTCATGTCTAGGCACTATTTGGTATTTACGTTGTCATATTTTTGTTTATGTTCTTGGTATCATAGAGATTTGAGAATATCATTGTAGCATAAGGATGCATCTTCGGCTCCTTAATTGTTGCTTCCATCTGTTAAAACAACGACCTCTTTGATCACGATCGTGTCTTGTATGCTTTTAGTGTATGTAACGGAGTGGTTTAGTGTAGCGGGGCGTAGGAGACTAAATAGTAGCTGAATAATAGCCGAAGTCCGTGTTATGCGTGGATTCCAAAAATCCCTTTGAAATAGAGGCTTTAGGGCTTTTCTGTAGGGCTACTTTTGCCACTTTAGTTTCCAAAATTAAAATCTATAGATAACAGAGAAATTGATAAAAAAAAAACTTGGATCTAGAAATGATAATTGATAATTCCTATTTAGAAAACTTGAATTTAACTTTTATTGTTATTTACTTGTATGTTTAAGATGTCTATGACTTTTTTTTTAATTATGACTATTAATAATTGAGTCATTTTTATCATTATATATATATATATATATATATATATATATATATATACTATAAAAAAAAATTCAAAAATAGTGGTTATCACACTATATGCTATCTTGCTGTAGCATTGTAGCAGCGACACTATCTGAGATGTAAAACATTGAAGTTACAGCTGCATGTGTTATTTAATTCCCGTGACAAATTTGTTGACATCCATCTATATTAATTGAAAGGACAATTTTCAATCTTTCAGGAGATAGCTAAAATAATCTCCAAAGTCCTATCAAATTCTATATGTTTGTAAAGTTGCATATGACTTGAACGTTTCAATGCAGGATTCTTGGAAATCAGCCCTTTTGTTGAGAGTAAAGGATGCTTTGAAAGAAAAAGAGATGGAAGAGGATGATTTGACCTGAATCCAATGACTACAACCAAAGAAGTGACTCTCAGTTTTGTAAATGCCACCGGTAAGGATATTATTTTTACCTTGGTTAGATGTTTTTTCTTATTATTGTTGTTATTACTCAAAGAAGAGGTCGGTCATCTGTGCATCACGCCTGTATATACGCAAAAATTGACAAAATCTGTTTTTCCAAACCTTTATTCCTGAGGTGTAGGAGGGATAACATGTAGTTCATGATGTTCAAAGGCATCATATATGTACTATATGCTAACGGTGGAAATTATCAAGTTCTTTAATTGAGCGGATGTTTAACTTGAGCATCCTAGACCCGAAAGGGATTAGGGTGGATCCGGGTGGTTTTTGGGCGGAGTAAAAAACTAATCCCTCGAAGTATGAAAATCAATTTAAGGATGATGTTTTTCTACAGTCATGCATTTGAGATTGAAATCTTGACTACATGCTTAAGAGATAAGATTTTCTATCGTCTATTTTATGCCATGTTGGTAAAGGATTTCTGCTTAAGAAGAAATAAGACGTGGCCTATTCGTTCACATTTAAGCAAGAGATATTAGGAACATGACCTTGAAGTAAAAATGAGAGATGACTATGTTATAAATAATGAAAAAAAGGATTTAGAGTTAGATGTTTAATTTTTTATAATATAATGATTAAAATAAATTATTATTTTAGATTATTAGATTATAATGAAATGAATGATGAGAATAGGGAAGTTTTAGGGTTTAGGATTTAATGAAAATCACACATGATTCTCAAAGAATGACTAAAATGAAAAGTTAAATTATTGATGGTTATTTGTGTTCACAAAGACTGGTAGATCTTTGTATTCCAATTATTTTTTGTGGTAATAGCGAATATGAGAATATGCTTAAATGAAAGCGCGCACCACTACATAAGAAAATAGCTACATGAAAAATATTGGTGTAACATTGATTGAGGAAACGATGACAGTAAATCAGTTGAGCTGGTGTGGAAATGCACACAAAAGTTATTAGAAACACAGATTATGAGAGCAAATTGCATGTTCATAGTGTTGTGACGAGAATCTTATAATGAATAGTACTTTTAAAGGTTTTATTTTTAATCGAATCAAATAGTCAAATTTTACTTAACAACAATATAAGATTCTTGCTATTTTCACTAAAATAATTGAGTGCACTAGCAAAACCAGAAAATAATTTATCTTTTGGTGAGCTATTTTGAGCTAATATTAATGAGTGTTGTTCCTTTCTAATAGTATAACTTCAAAGGAAGTTATTGAAAGCAAATTTTTTTGAGTACACGTTTTAATTACAAATTATAATTGTGTGAAAATCAAACTTTTAATTTTTTTACTGATCACTCTAAAAAAATAGGTCTTGTTATCTTTTTCATATTTGTATTAACTATTTATTTTATTTTGATTAAATATTCATTGCAACGTAACTCCGAATAATTGGTGTCTTTTCCATCTTCCACGAAACTCCATTACACGTTGAAGACGGCAACAACTGTTTCACTGTCGTATTGCAAGTTTAATAATTTGCATTTCTCAAAACGACGAAAGAATATATATTTATGCTATTTGTCACGACACGTTTGCTATGAATAGGTTAACAAATGACGTGTCATTGACACATTGAATCTTCTCTCAAATATTGACAAACAAAAGAGACTACACAAAGTTATTTATGCATGAATTATAATTGTACGAAGCTATGCATGATTTCGTTCTTTATATGTAAAGTTCTTTTATTCTATTTGGCTGTTATATACATTAATTAAATTAATTATGAAGTAAATTAAATTTAAAATGTTATATAATTAAATTCAGATTAATTTATTAGTTGAGTGTTTTGCAGAATAACTTGATTATTATGTATTTTATACATTCGCGTTTATTTTCTTTACGCATCATTGTTTAGTATTTTTTTTATTATTGAACAAATAAAATGCTATTACTCATTCAAAATGATCACTCAATGTGAAAATAAAGTCCATTGACTACTACTTTTATTTACTGAGCATGTTTTAAAATTACTTTTTTTTTAAGTAATCGTTTTTTTATTTCAATTTCTCCAAAAAAAAAGACAAAAATTTTAACAATTTTTTCTTCGGAGTCAAATACACACCAAAAAAGCTCATTAAAATTTTAGGGAAAACATAGCAAATTAATTTTAGAGTAATATTATATTCATTTAAAATAAGATGTTAATTAATAACAATAGTTCAAATTATTTATATTTATCAAAAATTTCAAAAGATACTTGAAATAATTCATTAACACTGTGACAATATGTTAATAAAAAATAATAAATAAATATACAATAAATTATTAAAATAATTTAATTTTCACATTTATTTTAAACACTCCCTAAAAATAATTTTTTTTATTAATTACCTTCCCTTTATCAAAGATTAAAAAAAGGCAATTATGCAAATAATTGCAAGTCAAATCTCAACCATAAGTTTTTTATCTGGAAGATGGGTATCTATCCATAATATAAGTCAAGAACAATAAAATAAACAAGTTTTTGGCTTTGTTTAATGTATCAAAGTAGTACCTCTTTCTCTTTATTGTTACATTTACTTAAATAGCCTCATTCCTTATCTTATCTACCTCCCTTTAAATATTATAAATTTCCTCATTGTGGGTTCCCCTGTTTTATTGTTTTACTTACAAGAATCTTGGGTTGGAGAGAGGTATTAGATGGGTTATTCAAAAAATAAAATTAAAATGTTAATTAATCCCTTTATTAAAAAAAACATATTAATATATTATAAAATAACTACAAATAAATGTAGTGCACATTGTTAACAGAAAATTTAACACCCATAACCAATGTAAAAATTATGGGTATAAAGTTAGTGGAATGAAATTAGTTTTATAATGTTTAAATATGTGTAAATTTTAATGTCAAGAAAAGATGTATGAACTTTCTATAAAATATGCGAAAATTATTGTTTTGCAAAGTAAATTTGTTAATTAGTTATGCATTTAAGAAAAAAAGATAATTAATTAGTGACCCTTTAAAAGTCTATATAAAATTTAAAAATATACAAAATTTATTATTTATTTTTGAAGTTGTTTAATTATTTCTTTAAAATGAACGATAAAGGAGTAAAGGTAGTTATAGGTTTTACAGAAATACAAATTAAAGAAATATAAACTAAATTTTATTTATTTTACAAGGAACACAGCAATTTCAATTTTAAATCAATAAAGAAGATTTTTTTTACAAAGATGAAAATAAATAAAAAAACACTTACTACATAATAAATGAAGTTAAATTTAAGGAGTTCAAGAACAATTTTAACGAAAAACATTATTCTCGGCGTCTTAAAATAATTATAATTATGTGTTTTTTTAATTCAAATTGACTGATTTATTTTTCAATCTAATATTCATTATTTTAGTCAGATTATTTCAATATATTTATTAAAGTAAAAATTAAATAAGATTTAATATCTTGATGAAATTCAATTAAAAATGATATCATCTGTATTTATGCTATTATGAATAGTTTTCCTCTATTTATTATGGTTCTTACGTCAAAAATCTTCACAAACTGTAATTATTCTCCGTCTCAATCCTATATATAAGACTGGTATAAGATTATTCTTGACTCGTTAGGAATTACTACGACCTCTTTTCATGATTAATGCTTGTTAAAAAATTTGATTCATCACAACAATTGTTATCAATTTCTTGACAATCATAAAGGAATCTGGCACCAACTTTTTCTTTGAAAATTCTGATTTCTGCGTTGCCGGCAGAAACAAATAAAAAAATCTGTCCACCATTTGCAATTGCGACCACTCTTGTGCTTGGATTCTTCTTGTTGCTACATCATAAAATGTTGAGTTCAACACAAATTAACACGCACTTCACTCTCACGCAACGCAATAACACACTCATTCGTCTGTAATTCCCTCGTTTACTGTATGCTCACTTCATCAGTGACTGCCGGAGTCTCCAACTTCACCCTTCTCCGCCGCCGCGCCCACTCTCAATCGCTCTCCTCCTCGCCCGCGAACTCTGTCAACCTCTCCTGCTCCAACCACGAGGCCCGCCCGTTCCACGCCGCGCTTGTCGCTGCCGTGCCACGTGCCTTTGCTCGCGAGGTGGCGGTTGTTGGCGGTGGAGTGATGGAGACGGTGAAGGAGAAGGGGAGGGTGTTGAAGGTGGGTCTCATATGCGGTGGTCCTTCCGCTGAGCGTGGGATTTCCCTCAATTCAGCTAGATCAGTCCTTGATCACTTGCAGGTACTGTTTCTTCGGAATTCTTTTCAGTTTAATCTTCGTAATAATTATTATAAAACCCAATGGGTGTGGATGGAACAATAGGTCTTCAATTGGATTCTCCAAAAATACTTCCTTGGAAATTTAAGTAAGATTATGGCTCGCATCAAAGATTAATTCCATAATTTTTTTTTTTTTTTTAAGAAAAGGTTAACATGTTAATGGATAAATAAAAAGAAAACAAAAATATCATTGGAGGTTTGTACCAGAATACATCATTTCCCTGGTACAAAAACCAAAATCTACCCTCGAATTCACTTTACTGGACACCCTTATCACCTTCTCTTACATCTCCAGAACATGCACCAATGCAGCATCCCACTCCCACCGTAAAACTTTCATGCAGAACAACCACACTAACCACATGCCCAAAAATGCAACCGCGAAACTACCAAGCCCATCCAAATATCTGAAACAAGATTCAACCCAAAAGCCACTGCCTCCACCCATGCATAAACATTACCACCACAGCTAAAACACCCCGCGACCATAAAGCACAAAACCCGCAACCCAACCTAAACCTACCACCTTTCTTCCATCTTCAAACTCCGATGACCTTTTGCATCATTATTAAATTCATTTTATTGAGACTGGGATTATTAAAACTCAAACTCTTATAATTTTTTTTTTTTTTGGTTGTACTAATCCATCTCGCTAGTTTGATTGTTCTTTCTTTAATTTACTTCTAAGTTATAATTATACTCTCAGTATACTGTGTTTTAAAAGTGACTAAGAAGAAACAGTGTGCAATAATTTGGAAACAGCTGAAGGTGTTGTTTTCTGTTTCTTACCTTTTTTCTTTCATATATATCAGTCTCATTTCTTTTCCTGTAATCTGACAGGGAGACAATTTGCACGTTAGTTGCTATTATATTGATTGCAATCTCAATGCATATGCAATTTCCTCAGCTCAGGTTAGTATAATACATGTTTCACAAAATCATCATTCATGAGCTCTCTTTGTGTCAAACTATAGCTTTTGTTACGAAGCTATAAGATTAGCTATAAAATGTAAAAGAATATGGTACACCTGGAAGGAACGGTGATCGTTAATTTTTAACTCTTAGTTGATGATTTTTCCTTTATCACATGGACTTATCTCATGAAATACAAGTTTTATGTCTATTTTTTTATTATTCCTTTTTAGGCTTATGCTTGAAATCATTTTCATACAAATATAAAAGTAGTCCGCTCTGATACCATGTGAATTGAGGGTCACACTTATTTTCATTAGATATGATTTAAATATATATAGACGAAACATAGTCAATTACATAATTTTAGAAGAAGATAAATCTAAATTCCTATAAATTAGTTTCCTACATTAATTTGGTATCCTGATTTAAGCTAATTACAATATTTAACAATAATTATAATTGTAACATATCCTTACTGTCAGTGTCTAACAGAAGCTATAAAACTAGAAAAGAGAAAGAGAGTTTCTAGTGTAAGTGTACAAAGGAAGAAAGGAGAAACATATTATCTCATTCATTACTGAGTAAAATTAGAGATATATTAAAAAATCGGTAGACTACATAAACTTTTTTATTAGTTCATATACAAAAGATACGGAGATCTTCACAAAATAAGGATCACTACTATTTTCTATCTACTCACTGACCATGCAACTAACTCTCCCATAAAATAAGGACTATCACTGATTTCAATTTTGTAAGATAGAGAAATACACAGAAAATATCAAAGATAATATTAAAGTATCTAGAAAATCTCAATTCCTAATAGAGTTATTTATGCTTATTGTTACATTGAGAGGAATTCTGTTATGAATAAGGCGAAACTCATATATGATATGATCAATTAGGTAGTAGAAAATTTGAACCAACTCAAGGCTGGACAAGTTACCATTTCTACAACTATTTATGGCAAAATATCAGTTCACTTATGTTCTTCTTTGGTCTACTACAGCTACTCAAATCTTCCTTATTCCTCAAAAACATCTAGAAATGTGTATTTATAGCTTTGATTAAGTTTAAAAATATATAACTACTGACTAATCCCAGTAAACACAAATAATAGAAATGTATATTTGGCGCCATCACCTCTGACTTGAAAATCTCTTTTTTCTCGCAATTGGTTTGGTTATGTCTGGTGTCCTATCGAAGCCATCCATTCTTCTAATTTCCATATTCTTTCCCAGGTATATTCCAACACCCCAGCTGATTTTGATTTTAAACTTGAAAGGTTAGTGTACCCTTTCAAATTATGGAAAATAACTATAAAGTTCTGGTCAAAGCATATCTAATTTAGGAATAATTAACCACACCCGTGTGGTTAAATGCTTCCAAAATGGAAATATTTTACTAATTCCTTCTTCTTAATGTTCCCTTCAACGTATAGATCAAATACTCATAACATACTGTATGGAGTAATTTACATTTAAAATTTGAGAGTAAAGATGACCACTTGTTCAATTTGCAGCCTTGCCCAAAGTTTCCAGACTTTGTCTGACTTGGCAAAGCATCTAGCTACAGCTGTGGACATAGTATTTCCAGTTATCCATGGTCAATTTGGTGAAGATGGTGGCATTCAGGTGCAGTATATATTTACATATATATCTGGAATTCTTCTAGGTTGTAATGAACTTGCGTCTTTATGAATGGTATTTCTGTTTCAAATATTAATAGGAATTGCTGGAAAAGTATAATGTTCCATTTGTTGGCACAGGATCAAAGGCGTGCTGCCAAGCATTTGACAAGGTACAGGACATATGTATTTTGTTATGTTTCTTCTCCGACATAAATTTATTTTCTGTTTATCATAACTGGAATGCAGTCACAGATTTGAGATCTAAGATTTATAATTTCTTAGCCAACATAACTAGATTTGGTTTTAGGCTTTTAATGACCATCATATAATAAGAACTATTGTATTGGAGACAGTCTCATTTTACTTGACATACAACAGGATGATCACCTTTCCTCTCTTGTAATCTTTTGTAACTTAATAGTTTGACTTTTACTATCCGTCTGACTAATTTTTCGCCTTAAAATACTTGTCAGCATAAAGCATCACTGGAGCTCCAGAAGCATGGATTCATAACAGTACCCAGTTTCTTAGTTCAGGTATTCTAAATTGTTTTAAACAGGCTGTTGTTTCACCTTGTAAGGATAACTAATTATGTGTTACAAAAGTCTGTATGATTGTTTTTAAATATTAGATAACGGGATGCTTTACGATTAATGTTCAACTATATTTTTATTGTATTACATTTTCATCCAAGTTTAATTGTTTTTGGAAGTGTTTTCTGTCTTTAAAGTCTATTCATCCAACTTTTCTTATTTACACTCTATTTCATAATATGATGTCAATTAGGGATTTGAAACAAGCAAATCAGAATTATCAGAATGGTTTAAAAAGCACCAGCTGGACCCTGACTGGGGGAAAGTTGTGGTAAGTAATTTGATTTTAGTTCAGTCACTATAGTTTCATTGTTTATTCATTGTGAGGGAGTTTTATACGCTTATTGATATTGTAAATTTGATGCTTCAGGTAAAACCAACAAGAGGAGGGTCAAGCATTGGTGTTGGAGTTGCGTATGGTGTCAATGATTCTCTTGTAAAAGCCAATCAAATTATGTCTGAGGTAGTTTCAATAAAATTTTACCTTGAATGTAAACGTACACTTTTATAACGTGACAACTTTCATATAAGATCCAGATTCAATTAATACTTTATACGACTCTGTAGAAAATTCAAGAACTAAGGAGGAATACATTTTGACTAGGAGTATATTAAGGCACTGTTTGAATAAACTTCTTTGTAAATACTTACATAAGAAGAAGAGAAAAAGTAAAATGAATGAAACTTCTTCCGTGAGTTAAAATCAACGTATGCATTTTCAGTTATGATGTTTACTAAGTTAGCTAAAAGTGATTCTGTTTAAGTTGATTTTAACTTGATTAATATGTTTACTTCATTTACCTTATTTTCTTTTCCTATTAGTACCTATGGAGAAGTTTATGAGTTAAAGGCTGTACATCCCTTATAATATATGTCAGAGCAATTTACACTAAACCTCTTGAGGTTTCTTGAGATTTCACCTAATTATCTACTTTTTTAATATTTAGAGCAATCCCCTTGTACGGGTGCATGGTTTAATGTGTAACATAATTAAGGGGGTTACTATCAGTGTAAAAGAGGGAGGCGGATTAGGAGTTATTTGACAAAACTTCAATTAGTGTTGGTGTAAGTAGCTCTATAAGTTAACTTTTGGAACTGATAATTGATTTTGAATGTAATAGGGAATTGACAGTAGGGTGCTTATAGAAATATTTCTTGAAGGAGGCAGTGAGTTTACAGCCATTGTCCTTGATGTAGGATCTGGTTCTGATCACTTTCCTGTTGTGCTGCTTCCAACTGAGGTATGTTTTGTCTTTTCTCCCTTGACATTTCTTGTTTCACTGCAATTCTATAATCTTCGCACTTGTTAGCATCGGTATGGAGGGACTGAGTATCTGAAATAAGACAGAAGAAAGTATCAGTTCCTTTTATTCAATGGCATGAACATGGCGAGAAACTGAGAAAGAAAAGAGAAATAGGAATGGACCAAAACTCTAGAATGAGAATGATAATTTCTCAGGGACTATGAATTTCACTACAACATCCAAAATTGAATGGAATGACTATTCAATTCAAACTGGATTGATCTGAATTCCCTTTAAATAAGGGAATAGTCTTTTCTAAAATGATAACATATACTCTGCCTACCCTTGTCTTCACCTCTGCCACAACCACCCTACCTACTGAACTGTAGTTTTTCCAATCAACAATACTTTTTCTTATTTTTGAATTTCATGTACCAGTTACCTAATGTTGATTTGGATGGAATGATCATTTTTTCCTAGACGGAATGAGACATGCTAAAGATAATGATTATTCCACTCCTTTCCTTCTCATTTTACTAAATGATTCCAGCGAATCAAGCTTGACCTTACTGAAATTCCCTTTTCAAACTATAAAATGAAGAAGAAAGTGACAGAAATTTTAAACATGGGCAAATATGATGCATTATGGGACATGACTCATGACAGAAAATTCAGTGATAATAGTTGGTATTGGTTGTATATACAAATTAATCATTCTGTGGCTCTCAATGTCGATGTGAATTACTTAAGCAATTTGTAAGTGGCAATTGCGTTGGCTATTGCCCAATAAATTTTTCACATTCTAATAATAAAATTTAGATGAACAGGTGGAGCTTCAATTTCGTGGGTCAAATGATGTAAAAGAGAATGATGCAATATTTAATTACCGCCGGAAGTACCTTCCAACCCAACAGGTCAGTACTAGTGTGAATGTGTTTGTATTTGCACACAAGACATATGACACATGCTTTCTGAAGTTAAAAAAAGTGCACCAAGTGACCTTTTTTTTTTTTTTTTTTTTTTTCCTTCGGTTTATTTATCATTTGATTTCCGCCAATGCTGGCTGCTGTTTTCCTAATCAGATGAAGTATACATTATTTGTAGGTTGCTTATCACACTCCACCACGGTTTCCTTTGGATGTAATTGAGAATATTCGCAAAGGAGCATCTCTGTTATTTCAGCAGCTTTGCCTGCAAGATTTTGCTCGTATTGATGGGTGGTTTTTGCCAAATTCAGGTTCCATGTTAACATCATCTTCAGAAAGTGAGTTTGGAAAGACTGAATCTGGTGCCATAATATTCACTGACATTAACCTGGTGAGATTTGATATCTTTAACAGTTTTATTGTTCACTAGTTTACTGAATATTAAAACCAATGCATGTTTCAGATCAGTGGTATGGAACAAACCAGTTTTCTATTTCAGCAAGCTTCTAAGGTAATTCCTGATATGTCCGCCTCACATTTCTTGTATTTATCTTTTAAAAATTCCACAAATATCTAATCTAATTTAATGCTCGAGATGTTCAACCTTCGGCATTAGAGATTCCATATGAACTAAAGATATGGTCAAATTATAATATATAAATAGGGTGCAAATCTTACTTTACAAACTGATTTTGTAGAGTTTAGTTAGGTCATGTCCACTTTCTAATATTATCTGTGTGCAATTTGATGGTTTGCTAAGGGGCAAAGAAAGTCATCGGGAATACTAGGTTTTTAGCCCTATAAATAGAGGTAGAGGGAGACTAGTAATGGATATATTATCCTTGTGAATTTGGTTTTTAACCAAGTTGAATGGCATTGTGTTGTTTCATGCAATTGATCTCACTTAGTGCGAATGAGGTTGTTTTAATCTTAGTTTGTTTTCTGTTTCACAATAAATGGTCTATTTCCTTTTTAAGGAGATTTTAACGGCTCCATATAATGTTCTATACATATATCTCCACGTCCAAAATATCCTTGTTCAACAGTTGACTGCTGTCTTCTCAGTCTCTAGCTGACTAAATGATCTGTTCTGTCAAGCTATAAGTATATTAAAAGCATGACGTTATGCAAACACAACACTGACCAGTTAAATCACTTCTAGATGATAAAATTGATTTTTTGTTTGTTTGCTTATTTATTCATGGTAATTCTTATCGTTCACTACTTGAAAATGTTATATATGTTATTCAGGTCGGTTTTTCTCATACAAACATCCTTAGAAGCATTGTTCATCATGCTTGCTTGCGGTTTCCAAATCTTGCATCAGTTAGTGGTATCTCAGGGCAACTTCCTAGCAGGTCAAAATCCTTGCAACTTAACAATTCATTTTCTCACCATGAAGGAGCTCGAAAAGTTTTTGTCATTTTTGGCGGTGACACATCAGAACGACAAGTATCTCTTATGAGTGGGACAAATGTTTGGCTCAATTTGCAAGCCTTCCATGATGTAAGTGTCCACAATCAGGAAGACCTTAATGTTACTGTACATGCTTTGGGAACCCATCTTCTGTATTTTAATTGTGTCGTGCAACTCATATTAATGTTCTTATTTTTATACAATTTTTTTACGAGAAGTGTATAAGCATTCTGTAAACTTATGGCATTTGCTACTTGAAGAGACTGTCGTAGGTATAATATGTCAGAGATTAAAATCATTGTTCTTGCAGCTTGAGGTAACTCCATGCTTGCTTTCTCCAACCCGTGAGTGTGCAACTAGTGTTGATGTGGGAAAGAAGGCTGATGACGTAATGAATAGAACAGTTTGGTCATTACCGTACGTATTGTTCCTTTTCTCCACCTCAAGATTTTTCTTTGATTTTTGAATATGCATGTGGGAACAACATCTTTGTTTTACAGTTGATGGATGGATATAAAACTATTCCTAGGGTTCCACTACTAGCTTATGCTTTTAGGAGAGTTGGTGTTAGAAAGCAGCTTATTGTAGTCTTCTATCCTGCCTTAGTTGCGACCTTGTTGGGAGCTGCCTTAATTGTAACCTCAAAGGTGGTGGTTTAATTTCACTTCGACTAGAACTTATTAACTTGATCAACGTTATAAGTAAATGTTATGAGGTTGAGTTTGATGTTAAGATTAATTTCTAAAATTGGTCAATATCATGATATCAAAGACCCAATGACCAAATGGTGAAATTTGATATTTTCCATCTCCATTCTTCACAACTAAATTAAATTTCACCACAGAGAAAAGTGGAATTTGACTGTCGAAGCCCAAGTGAATGTTGATCAAGGAAATATACCAAAAACAAAAAAATCATTGTTGAACCTCCGTCTAACAGCTTAACTTTTCAGAGAATTGGTACGTAACAAGATGTTATATTCTGCTTGTAATCTTCTATCCTGAACTAATTACAGACATCGAGTTTTCTTTTTAAACTTTTATTTGCCTTCAAGATTTCTGCATTAATGATTTCTCTTAAACTATATTATGTTCCAGAAAGTACAATTATATTTTTCTCAACCGGGTTATAAAATCAGCAATTACAATCTAGAAATGTATCCAATTATTGGTACGTTTCAGTTTAGAACTAACAATCTATATCTGTATACAGTTATTCTCTTGTGCTACGACATACTACTGAGGAGGTACTGGATGCATGCATGGAAGCAATAGAGCCAGAACGAGCTGCCATAACATCTAACCTACGGAAGAAAGTAATGAATGACCTTATGCAGGGTTTGAAGGACCACAATTGGTTTACAGGGTTCGATATTTCTGATGAACTGCCAGTGAAATTTTCATTAAGGCAGTGGATCAAGCTAGCCAATGAAGTTCAGGCAACAGTTTTTATTGCAGGTATTGATCAGACAGTGTTTTCTAGTTATTAAATTTTTATCAATTTTCTTTGTTGGTATTGGTACCCTCTGACTTCACTCACAAAGCAATATTCCGAATTATGAAAAATGGAACAGTAAATAAATTATTCTCAGGAAGTTGATATTCTCCCTCATTCCTGCGCTTTTCATCGAGGCACTGTCAAAAGGAACGTTCCTGTGTTCACAAAAATACCCAGTACTTTCTCTCTAACTGAATTCTCCCTTACCTCACCTCTCTTTCTTACATGTCTAACTAACCACATCCTCAAGCACATGCTTCTACTCCTTCCCTTTTAGCCAAATATCTCTAGCATCTCCCTCGTACACTTTACACAAATTTATACCTAGGCCAATGATCTATTTGTTCTGCTGTTACTTGATCTAATAGCCAATGTCAGTTTCTAACAATACATGATAAAATATTTTCATATTCACTATTTATATGCTATTGAAGATGCATGGTTAGCTGTCCGTATTCTTGCATGGCTATATGTTCATGCATCATCTTGACAAACATCATGTTGATGTCACATTTCAAGATAACCACAAGTTGCATTAAGGTAGAACCACAAAAAGGTTATAGGGGAAAAAGTTGTTAGGTACGACCATAAAGTAAAGCCTAATATGGTAACCTATTCTAAAGTGGACTACAAGTCTGTAATGACCCAGAATAATGATAAAATTGAGGACCAAACAGAAGCAGAAAATTCATGGTTGATTGAAACAATGTTGGTGCGTTGCATACCCCAAAAGGCATTACAAGAAATTCATAATGTCCTTCATGCATGCGAAAAGAAGTTTTTTTAATGTCACTTGGACACATACGAATTTGATGTTATCCAGAGCGCAAATCCAACTTGGAGAACCATTGTGCTCCGTGCAACTCATCCAACAACTCATCAATTGAAGGAATAGGAAAATGATTCTTTACTGTGGTAGCGTTAAGTGCTCTATAATCCACACAAAATCTCCAAGACCCGTCTTTCTTTCGCACCAGTAGTACTGGGGAAGAAAAAGTACTGTTGCTTCGTTGAATAATCCACTCAGCCAACATCTCCTTAATCTGACGTTCAATTTCATGTTTTTGGAAGTGCGGATATCTATAAGGCCTAACATTTACTGGGTCAACCCCTTCTAATAGAGGAATTTGGTGGTCGGTCTCTCGCATAGGAGGAAGCCCTTTTGGTTCATTAAAGATTTGAGAATATTTGTCCAATAACTCTTCAACCTCGTCACTGTTTCGGTTTGAGTTGGGGGCCCAGTAGGTGAGATTAAATGCAACTAGAAGAGTTTAGCTACCCCATCGTTAGAAATCATTCTCGAGTTGATGGATCGTGGCCTCTTGTGGTGTTGTACGTTGCTCACCTTTGAGTTCAACCATCTTCCCCCTTTTAATGAATTTCATTATCAATTTTTCATAGTCCGTCAAAACCGGACCCGAAGTAGTAAGCCACTAGACTCCCAAAACCAATTCTACATCACTCAAAGGTAACACAAGTAAATCAACTAGAAACGTGTGGGAGTCAATTTTTAGTGGCACTTGCTTACACATTGTTGAACAAAGTAGCTCTTCTCCGTTTCCAACCAATACGTGGAATCCCAAAGCTGGTGTAGCCTGGAGACCCAAGTGTTTTGCTATACGATCTTGGATGAAATTGTGAGTACTCCCACTATCCACCAAAAATGCAACTGGAGAAGTGTTGATATGACCCAATACCTTGAGGGTATGAGGTATTGAATGGCCCAATAATACATGTAAACTGATTTGGGCTGACTGGGTGTCAGGTGAATCGGGTGGGTCAACTTGGAACATCTACTTGTAGGTAGTGGGTCAATTCTTCCATTAGTTGCTCGGGGTCCTTTGGTTCGGCGATTAGCGACATAAACTCCCTTTTGCACTTATGACCAAGACGATACCTCTCGTCACAATAGTAACACAAATTCTTATCACGTCGGCTCTGTAATTCTGCTCGGGTTAAATGTTTAATGATAGGTTGGTTAGTGTTTGGTTTTTTTGAAACGAAAGAGGAAGAGTTTAAGAACGAAGTGGTTTTGGTGATAGGAAATACTAGTTGGTTCGAACGAGTGGTTGTTTGAGCCTTCACAAATTTTTCTTCTTGCAGCTTTCCTAGGCTTATAGCTTGGGACAAGGATATTGGCTGGAACACTTTTACCTCCCATTGAATCTCAGGTTTGAGATCCAAGACAACACAACTGAGGAAAAACGGCGAGGGTAGCCCAACAATACGATTCGCAAGAGCCTCAATTGGGTTTGGTACTCGCGAACAGTGGAGGTTTGATACAGTTTGCACAACGCTCTTTTTGGGTCCTCATAGTGCGACGGTGTGAAGTGCACCTCCACTGCTTGAAGAAATGTCTCCCAACTCTGAAATCAAGCTAGGGCTTCACCATCCAAGGCGAAGGAAATCATACGAAGCCTCTGTTCTTCCGGTGTCTGATGATAATTGAAGAATTGCTTAATTTTGAAGATCCACGACATAGGTTTTGTTCCGTCAAAACGAGGTAAGTCGAACTTCATGGAAGTTCGGGTGAATGGCTGATTGGTGAGGTTATGTCCTAGGTTTTCAAATCGTGCAACTACATGAGCTTCCAAGTTGGTCATTCGGACATTCATTTCCTCTTGGAAGGATTTCTGCTTCTCAAGTAACTGAAGAATGGTATCAATTTTATCAATGTTTTTTTATGAAGTCATGCTTATAGAACTCTCAATAAAAGCACCAATGCTTTTTCTTCCCCGATACTACTGGTGCAAAAGAAAGACGGGTCCTGGAGATTTTGTGTGGATTATAGAGCACTTAACGCTATCACAGTAAAGGATTGTTTTCCTATTCCTTTAATTGATGAGTTGTTGGATGAGTTGCACGGAGCACAATGATTCTTCAAGAGCTACTCGACAAGTGTTGTTGACCAAGATACGTTCCAAGCTGCTTAAAGCCCAGCCACCATGAAGCACTATGTAGATCAAAAACGATTGTCCCATTCTTTTCAAGTGGGTGATCACGTCTTAGTAAAACTAAGACCATATCGTCAAGTAACAGTAAAGAGTAGAAGGGGTTCAAAACGTGTTCAACGCTTTTATGGACCCTTTCAGGTTGTGAAGCAGCCAATTGGTGAAGTTGCGTGTCAGCTGGACTTACCTAATGGAACTCAAATTCACCCAGTTTCTCATGTTTCTAAGCTGAAACCATTTAAAAATGTGTTGACACCCCTACTTTAAAGTTGCCGCCTGTGGCCTTTGATAACCAACCCAAATTACAGCCCCTTACAATGTTGAACTGGCACGAGTCTCCTTTATCCAATACTCGTGAGGCATTGATACAGTGGCAAGGATTGTTTCTTGAAGACGCTACCTGGGAGGACCTTGAGATGCTGCTTGAAGAATACCCAAACTTGCACTTTGAGGACAAGGTGTTTGATGAAGGAAAAGGGGATGTAATGACCCAGAATAATGATGAAGCTGAGCACCAAGCAAAAGCAAACAATTATGGAAGTGACTTCATCACGAGCCCAACGTTGGAGAATAGACCCACGCACAAGAGAGTCAGGCCCAAATACTTTAGGGACTATGATTGCTCTGTTAAGGGTAGATTGAAGTAAGTAACAGGATTTACTGCTGGCATGGGGGCTGGTTAATATTTATCTGGTAGTTAGGATTCTGATATATTGTAATCTTTCTTTTATGACGTGTCTTTCTTGTGGGTGTTACTCCATTATATATGTATACTTTTGGTATTGAATAAAGGAGAAAATTTGTCACCCAGATTTCTTTTTGTTTATGGAGGAAGCCTAACCTGCAAAATAGGCATTACAAAGTTCCTCATTATTTTGTCTAAGGGTATGTTTGATTCAACTGGGGGCAGATTTTAATGGTTAATGGAGGGGAGGGATTTTATTGGACATTATGTTTGGTTGAGAGGGGGGAGGGATTTTAAAAATTGATTTACTTTCATACCCAATTAATTTTGGATTTTAAAAGATAAATAGGATTATTTTTGCCAATACACTTGAAATGTTTTAAATCACCTCCTCTCCGTCCAAATTCTGCCAATATTGGAGGGAGGGCGAAAATTAGATGAAGAGGTATTTTGGTCCACTTCGTTCCTCTTCCCTCCAAAAAACTGATCCAAACAAGAAAGGTATAAAAAAACTCCTCCCTTCCCCTTCCATTCATTTTCCCTTAATTTCCCTCCAACCAAACACTATATAAGAGAAACGTTAGAAATACACTCTCTAGTCTCTAGCACATTCAACACACTCTCCTGTTAGTTGAAATTTATTGGAAATCACAATTTTGTAGGTCCCCTGTCTTATTTAATGAACCTCATGATTTTGTAGTTTAGAGTAAATTATAACTAATAATAATGTGTTTCTAACACTCCTCTTTGTCTAATAGTGATGCTGACTAGGATATGGCACAGTCTTCTAACAGTTGTTTAACGATTTAAATGTATAGATAAACTTTCACGGAATACCAGCTTATGAAATTGATTGTCTATACAATGTTTTACTCCTTGTTTCTTATAGTGCATGGAGGCATTGGAGAAGATGGTACACTTCAATCTTTGCTGGATGCTGAAGGAGTGCCGTACTCAGGTTTGTTTATAATGTGCACTTAATATGTGAGACTATTAGGTATAATGGTATCCACTAATCAACTTTATTTATTTATACTTTTAATTTGTATTTTCTTCTGTTCTTCCTTTTATCTTCTGTTAAAGGTCCTGGTGCAATGGCATCAAAGATTTGTATGGACAAACTTGCAACTTCTGTGGCTTTAAAACATGTACGTGTCCCTAATTTGAATATTTTTTTTCTGTTGCAGATAAAGAACACTCCTCTTACATAACTTTTCTCAATTTGCATTAAGAGTATGCCTCTATCTATTATTAGAGTTTATTACTATAATTTAGAATTTCAACTATTATGAAAGTTTTAGGGTTATGGGCTGTTACATTATGGGCAATTATACCTATTTTCAAATTAATAGGCATAATTATTATCAATTATCAGCTACAATTCCTTTTATTTCAAATCTAGCTTTCCAACAATTTGACATGTTTCTCCGTCTTGGCATTCTAATATCCTGTTCTTAAAAGCTTGCAAATTCGGGAGTTCTTACCATAAATAAGGATGTCAGGCAAAAAGCCGATCTCTTTAATAAGCCCATAAGTGATACGTGGCATGACCTCACCTCGAATCTACAGTGTCAAACATTATGTGTCAAACCAGCAAAAGATGGATGCTCAACTGGGGTTGCAAGACTATGGTAGATTTATTACTTTGTTAGTATCTCTTTGAATGTATCAGTGATTAAAGGTTGTCAAATATGTCATATTGTGTCTTACGTAGGATTCAACAAATTATGTTTACAACATGCCCGTTTTATTTTCATACAGCTGTTCCAAGGACCTTGCTATATATGTCAAAGCTCTGGGGGACTATCTACTAAGAATTCCTCCAAATAGCTTATCAAAGGTATAGCATAAGTAATAACATCATGTAATCATCAAGATCCCATTTGTTGAGGAAGGAATGTGGAGTGAATATTAATATTATTACTCTGCTACTGTATATAAGAGAGACAGGAGAGAAAAAGCATTTGCTCAAAAAGTGATACTAATGGCTATGTAATATTGTTGTTATATGTACTTATAATATTCTTGCGCTCATCCATAGTATAACATGACATTAATATCGCTGCATTACATTAGCTCTTCACCTTTTGATTAATGTACAGGCACATGGTATGATTGAGATGCCAAACCCTCCTCCAGAGAACTTAATCTTTGAACCTTTCATAGAGACAGATGAAATAATTGTGACAACCAAATTCGAGAATGCCACTGGTAATGGCCTTACGTGGAAAGGGCACAACAGATGGGTGGAAATAACTGTTGGCGTCATAGGAAAACGTGGATCAATGCACTCGCTAAGTCCTAGTGTAACTGTCAAGGAATCTGGTGATATTTTGTCACTGGAGGAGAAGTTCCAAGGTTGGTATCCATCATAGAATTATCTAGAATTTAAATTAATCATTGTTTTTTAGAAGGATAATTACAAGACTTAGAAACTACAGTATAAAAATCTAAATTACTGGCCTTGTGCTCCCAATAGAGCATTGGAGCTGTGAAGTTTATGGTTTCTGTGAAGAAAATCCTGCACTTAAAAGTTGCCAGAATCAAAGGTTTTTCAGTTAAGATGTATTTAAGTTAAATAAGATCAAATATCTGAGTTAGAAACTTTTAGAGGTGAAAATTGGGGATTGTGTGCTTGGTTCAACTGAATGTAAAAAAATATTGTAGCGATAATGTTTCAAAACCCAAGTAGCATGGTTTATGTTTTTTGGATCCATTTTTCAAATTGATGGGAATGTCACCCTTATGATTTTCAAGCTGGGAAAATGAAATGGATATATGCTTCGAGCATAATTTGTGATCGTTAAGTTCCCATCAGACTGAAAGAAAATGCTTTGTAATTGGGCGTGCTGTAATGATTTTTAATTCTAAAATCATAATAAGCTAATCCAAACTAAGTATAAAAGGTTATGAGGACGCTGCTGTTGATTAGTTATAAAAGATAAAATAAGGAATAAATGCACGAAGATGTTAGGATTTGGGGTGGGGCATCTATCTTTTTTCTAGTACTTTTCCTACCTACTGCAGCTGTTCACGATAGTTAATTTTTATCATATAATTGTATATTGGCAGGTGGGACTGGCATCAATTTGACTCCGCCTCCCTTGTCAATTATGAGGTATGGTAAAGAAATTCAGCAACCCAATGGCAGAACCTTCTTTGTGCCTCTTAATTCGTCTGTCTTCTATTGAGATTTATTACTACATTTAGGAGCATTCGAATTTGGAATTTAATGTTTGATAAGGGCATAGCCTGTTGTGTTGTGATGATAAGAATGTCATTAAGCCTTGATTCTATTGAAAACTTGCTGATGATAAGGTCTTTGCAGCTTATATGGTTGGGTTGACACTTTTTAGCCTAGCATCAATTATAGTACCTTAATTTCCTTTTGTATATAGATCGGTTGAAGTTGGAAAGCATGCAACCATTGCACTATGGATTTGTTTATTGTTTGGTAATGTAAATCCATCTTTTTTTTTTTGCAATTAAGGATGGTGCTTTTGAATGTCTATGATTGACATTTTTTCAATGTTCAATCTCTGAAATTTTCTTATGGTATGCAATGCAGATTTCCTAATTTGTATTTAGGTAATCAGTGCCATGTTCCATCATGTAATTATTATGTAGAGTAAGGTTATACTGTTAACAAATCATTGTTTCTTCACTGTGCAATGTTGTTTTGACATACTTATCTCTTACTCAAGTCTGTGTATGTTTCTTTTAATTGATTTTGAATGTCAACTATCTTTTTCTTCTCTTTATAGTGATAATGCTTTGAAGAGGTGTAAACAGCATATTGAACTTATTGCAAACACACTAGAATTGGAAGGATTTTCACGAATTGATGCATTCGTAAATGTTGACAACGGAGAGGTTTGTTGAATTCCTTGTTGGGATATGTTTTCTTTTTCTTGTTTCTTAAGTTGTCTCATTGAAGTTAATAATGTTACAAATTCTGCTATTGGTTCACCTTGAAACTTGGATTTGGGTGGGGAGGTAGAATATTTGAAATCAAAATTACTGTCTTGTCCTGCTTTATACAGGAAATTTTGGGGAAGGTTGAAAGTAGAGTGCAACTCATTTATCCACCCCACAAATTTTGGCTACATGTACAGCACGAGAGGCATGATATGAAAAACTGATCTTTTCCCCTCTACTCAACAACAGCAATTAGTGAAAATAAAAACATTTATATAATCCAACCACACTATCTATTTTCATTCTCTTCCTTATGTTTTATTTCTTACCATCTATTTTCTATCTTCATAAACAAGCATACATACCCAAGTATAAGACTTGCATTATGTTCCTCAATATATTTCAGGGGTTTTTAGAATGCTTAAAAGAACTATCTATACATTTTTTTCTAAAGTATCCATTCGTCTATGCTTAATAGAATGTCATCATCTACTGAAATTAAGGAAATCACTATGAAGTTAGTCTTCTCGTACAGGAATTGCGTTTCAATAATTTGTCATCATCTTATTCCTGGATAAATTTAAATTTTGTAGGTTCTGATTATAGAGGTAAATACTGTGCCTGGAATGACACCTTCCACGGTTCTGATTCATCAGGTATATTTTAGTTATGATATAATTGCTTTTGCTTTCATCACGTAGAGGTTGAATTAGGGCATAATCTATCATACGCTGCATTTAAAAGCAGTAGGCATATCACAAAGGCTAAATGACATGAACTTGAAGCCGATAGTAATAAAAGCTTATTTTAAGTGTAGGGAGCAAAAGGAAGCTTTTCTACCAAAAATAGATAAATAAAAATAAGACTAAAATAAGGATATGTAAAAAATACGAAGCATCATTATTCATGTAAAAAGACACAGCACCAGAACAAGCATCTACATCCCAGTTTATGATTCTGACTATATCATTCTATACATATCTCAGGCACTAGCAGAACAACCACCATTGTATCCCCATCAGTTCTTCCGTAAGCTTCTTGATTTGGCATCCGAGAAGTCAATGTAAATCTGTTTAAAAGAATCTTCACATTGTTTCATCAAATGCTGTTACCCCATGAAGTTTTTATATTCAGTTATCTTGCTTAATTTTATTCTTTTCTTGCTTCCCTTCGAATTATGTCTTCATTGCAATCAGAGTATACACAGTTTATGTCTTCTTAGACTGATTCTGATGAAAGATTATAAATGTGTTTTCAAAAAGTTTGTGCAGTTCAAACGACAGACTCCTATACCCCTATTTGATTTGGGTTGATGAAAGTAGACACGGAAACACGATTAATTAATATTTTTAAATTATTAAATATTTTTTAATACTAAAATAAATTTTTAAATTCGATGATAATTTAAATACTTTATCTGAAAAAAATAAAATTTAATTCATTTGAATTATCTTATCCTAATAAAGTATTTCAAAAATAAAACTATTTAAATAGAATGTAAATCAAATTTAATATATATATTTTTTTAATTATAAAATTTCCTATCCAAATATATTTAAAATCATGTTTGAATGAAAAAAATTTTAATGTCAGAAGTTTCAATTTGTTTTGATTCAAATTTTACACATTTTAAAAGATTATGTTTGGATAATTCCATTCAAACTTCTTATATTCAACTTCTTAATTTGAATACATAATTAAATTTCTATTATCCAAAAAAATTACATATATTTTTAAAACTTAGAGTTTTATTATTAAACATTAAATAAATTTAAATATAAATGTGAGAGAGAAGACAAAAATGTGAAAAAGAATAAAATACAAACAGTTTTTATTTTCTAATTTATTATATAAAACAAATCGAATAATCAAAATATTCTTATAAATTTTGACAATTTGAATCTCTTCTAGTATTATCTATCTAAATAACATATTCATCATAAATATTTTACTTTTTTTAAAATTAAATTATTTCCTAAAATTTCTTATCCAAATAAAGATCATAAATGTGTAGAAAATTAAATTATTACTTGCAAATCACCTGCGTTCTATGAATTTTTCTTCTTTTTCATATCGAAACCAATCACACCCCTTTTGCTGGCGTAGATAATCAAGAATATAATTGAGTCAGTATTTGTAACTGTAAACAACCCAAACAAACCTCTGTATCCAGGTCAATCAATCCGCATCGCCATTATCAAAAGAAGGTAAAAAATATTTGCATCACTTGAGTTGAGAAGAAAAGGGCATAATTTAACCGTAAATTTGAAACTATGAGTGTTGCAAAAACAATAAAAAGTCAGTGGTCAAAGGAAAGGACTGAAAAGGAGTGGCAATTGCCTACCATGAGAAAGGAAAGAGTATAAATACTCCCTAAGTCAACTGCATCATCATCATATTTATGGGCTTAATTGCAGATTTTTTGTTATCTTGTGTAATTGAAGCATTAATTGAAAGCTCAAGACTAATTTAGCAAAGTTTGGCATCTGCAGAACCAAATAACACATAATAATCACATTAAATATGTATGTGCCAAACTCCCTATTTAGCTTCCACGCTTCTGATACCTTCATCAATGTTTCATTTGGAATTCTCTCTCGAGATTATCACCACTCCACATGATTTTAGTGAGATATAGGCCTAAGACCTTCTTTTGCCAAAAATAATGACGAAGCCCGTCAAATCAAAATGTTCATAACTATACCAATTGTTTGGAACACTTCGCTCTATTCTCTTTTTTTCACATTTTGAGGGACCCTTTGGTGTCAAATGGAAAGATAATTTAAAATCATTTTATCAGATTATATCGATAAGATGATAAAATAAGTTATTCCATCTCGTTTTTAACAAGATAAAGATAATGAATTGCAAAATGAATTATAAATTTTAATTAGTCTTATTAATGAGCTACAAATCATCTCATCAATATATTTTTTATATTAGTTTTTTTTTAAATACATTTTTAATTATATAAATAATTTCAAATTTTTTATTCATTAATTATTTTTATTAGATAGATTTTAAAAAATAATTATATTTATATAATAAAATATTTAATATAATTAATAATTTTAGGATAATTGAATAATATTTATAATTTAAATTATATTTTTATTTTTATTTTAATATATAAATAATTTTTAAAAATAAATTAACAGACCTGTCTATCTTATATATCGCCCTTAATATGTTGGGTTTAACTTATTTTACTATCCCACCTACTAATCAATATTTTTAAATATGTCGGAGCAACAGATTATTTTAATATGTATAAAAAATAAAAAATAATTACAAATTGATTAATATATATATATATAATTTTAGAAAAATTAAAATATATTAATAAAATTAATTTTAATTTTAGATATAATATAAAATATAAATTAATCCGGCCTAAATGGACAATAGAGAAAAGAAAATGTCTCAATTTAATTAAAATTACCAATTTGTTTATTGGACTTCATTATGTTTTTTATGTCTTTTAAGACAAACCTGTTTTAACATCTCCATATTTCGACGGTGATTTGAAAAAAAGGCAACAAAGCCTACATATTTAATATTTAACATCTCCACTTGATTTCAAACTTCATTTTTACAAGTTAATTTTTTTTTTTTCTTGGCCCTCTTATTTATCCTTTTCCCTTTGAATGGATATGCATGGTATGGTATTGAAGAATGGCAAATAAAAAAGTGTAGAAAAAGTATATAGTTGAATACACGTATCCAATTAATCAGAACCATGAAGTGGCTAAATGGCCAGCACAAGCCCTGGCAATGATCTATGACACAGATCACGAGGCTGGCTTTGCCATAATGTGATGCAACCTTTGCTATCTTCCCACCGTGGCTGCCTCAAATCCCTCACCACAAGCCATGTATTGAAGTACTCTCTGAAATGAGTTATGAGGCCATATTTTAGGGTCCAAACGTGCACCCAATAGGCCTTCCCCTCCCACCCCTCCGCGATCACGTGGTCGCCCACGGCGGCAACCCGCCTCGGCTCGAACCGGAAGCCCTTGCTGTTAGCTGTTTCTCCGGTGAGCACCTTCATCATGTGGTGGCACTGAGGGGGCCCATGGAACCACCACTCAAGGTCACTTGCTACCAATTTGGCCACATTGTTCACTGTCCCTTCTCCCAACAGTGCCTTGTACAGAATTTCAACTCTCGCCTTGTTTTCCACTTCCATCTTTTCATCACTCTCTTCCACCACCACATCGTCATCATCATCACCCATCTTCTCAACTTTTTTGTGTTATGCAGACTTTGCTGGTGTCACATTTATAGGCATAGAATGGATGTTCAAAAATGCATCGACGGTTGAGATTCATTGATTTTTTATATCGTGATTGGAGGGCGTGGATTAGCTCCTAGAGTCGTCATTATTGGTTCAGACTATAGAAATTTGGTAGTTTTGAATAACTATTACGTCATTTGGGATTAAATAATCTTTAACTATCATATAATATAATTAATTGTTATATTTTTTTAATTACAGCTTATATATATAATAACTATTTTTTAATTACACCAATCTTATTTAAAAATAAATTCTCTTTACTACCTTCAATGAAACTTGAAATCAATAATAAATAGCTTTATTTGGAAATTATGTTTCAACTTAATGAAGAATATCTTAGAAATATTCTGATTAAACAAGATAAAATTAGTTAAAAATAATGGTTGAACACAATTTTTTATTATATTCCGTAATATAGATTAATATAATGAATGGATTTAAAAAAAAAATTATATATTAAAGAAAATAATATTATTTTGTTAATATACATTAAATTATAATATCTAAAATTATTTTTTTATTTTTATAAAAATAGATCAAAATGGCTGTTAATTTGTTGACCCGACATTAAGTAATATCAAACTAAAAAATCATTTACTTAAAAATACATATAACATCAATCTAATATAATTTTTTTATGGTCCATGAAGTCAGGTAGAACAAAATTATAGCGAGTTGGTTAACATATTTGTTTGACATAATGTAACTCTTTTTAATGTGTCACGCCAAGATTACCTGTATAACAGTTGTAAGAGTTGGAATAGTTTCTATAACCACCAAGATGTAGACATGTGTGAAAGGTGAAATCCTCATTTTCTTATACTTTTCAATTAATTAGGTTTAATCGAAAAGTGCTACGAACTTGAAATTATGTTTTTGTAATTTAGCCAAATTGATGCGCCACCGAATTTGCTTCATTCAGATAGCCACTTGTGTTAGTCCCAACCATGTTTAGTTTCTTTCTGGCATTTAGATATTGTTACAGTGATAAATTTTTAACGAATATTCTTTAAGGTATCAAAGAATTTTATAAACATATTTGTTTCGAATAACTTCGTGAGCCCTGTAATATTCATAGGGTTAATTTTTAAATCTGAATTTTTTTTTCTTATAATTTATTGACATATAAAATCTAAAATAAAATAAATTAATCCTTATATTTATTCTAAAATAATCAATCTTAAAATACATTATATGTTTTTAATTTTTTGGAAACTTAACTACATTTTTTTTTATTTACGAACAAGTTAAAGTTATGTTTTCGGTTTCTATTATCATCTAATACTCATTGACATTTTTATTTTTAGTAACATATTATGAGTTTAATACATTATTAAGAGGTTTAAAGAGAATTAAATCTATATTTTGTATTTCCAGCGATTTGAAGAGCTTAAACAGGGTTATATTTTATATTTTTGGCGGTTTTAACTCCCGTTAAGTGTGTTATCAGCGGTTAATCATTCCGCTAGGAAAACCAGCGTCGTTAATTGATTATCAGCGATTTTTTGGAACCACTGGAAACCCAACACTTATCGATGGTTATTAACCGCAGGTATTTCTCCGCTGTTTTAAAACCCCCACTACCTCTCTCCAACTTTGAAATCCTTTTTACCTTTATGCGTTTTAAAATCTTTGTTACCTCTAAGCGGTTTATAATCTCTATAATTTTACTTAATGTTTAGAATCCCATTAATTCCTCTCTTTTTTCTAATACTCATTTATTTCTAATAAAAATAATAACAAAATATTAATGATATAAAAATAATGTCTAAAAGTCTTATCTCCTAGAACTAAAATAAATACTAAAATATTATTAAACAAATAACAAATCAATCACTAAAAAAAAAAATATGTTATTTATAACGGTTAAAATTGTAGATTTTAGAAGTTAAAAACCGCTACAAATAAAATTTGTAACAATTAATATAACTGTCATATTTATAGATGTCAAAAACGATATGTAACAGAATTTTTTAAAATGCTTGGTATTTATGTCAAAAAAAAAAAAAAAAAATTTCAACAGTTAAAAACCGCCATAAAATACATTATTATTCTCATTTTAATTTAACATTTTGTTGCAATTTAAAATTGTTACAAATGTTATTTTTATAATTAATTTTATATTTCAACAATTAAAAACCGCTACAAAATATATAATATTTTATAATTATTTAAAACTTATTGGAGGTTTAAAAAACCACCAAAAATTATTTAATTACTATTTTTTAATTATTTTATCAATAAATCAAAATTTTAATTATTATTTACAAATTATTTTTTAATAATTTTATAATTAATAATTAAAATACTTTTTTATTTAGAATTACTTTAAAATACCACCATAAGTGTAATAATAATTTAATCATTATAATAAAATCAATAATCTAATGAAATGTATAATATATTTTTCATTTGTTTTAATGACATAAAATATTAGTTTGATTCTCACTAAAAAATGGTTAATTTTGTAGTTTTTAGATATAATTCACTTTGACAGAGTACTTAGCTAAATATAATTCAATATCAACTAAGATAAAATCAAATTTCATCCTAAAAGTCCAATAAAATTCATCACATTATTCATTAATAAAGTGTATCTAACAAAATACGATGTCAATAGATCCACAAATTTCATAACATATATGTCAAACTTAATGAAAATTATTATCTAATGAGTATCCTCCTATGATATTGACATATTTCATTCACTTGCTTCATCCTGTAAAATAAAAATAATATCATCTTAATATAGTTAAAAATATATATAAAAGATATTAAACTCCATAGAAATAATTAACAACATAATTTTATTAACACAAAATATGAAATACTTACAAATAATGTCAAACTTTATGAAAATTACTATCTAAAGAAGATTCTCCTTGTGGTGCTTGACATATTTTGTTCACTCTCTTCATCTTATAAAATAAAGATCATATCATGTAAGCATAATTAGAAATTATACATAAGATATTGAACTTTATACAGGTATTGAATAATATAATTTCATTTAAACAAACTATAAAGTACTTACAACTATATTACTTGTACTACCAAACATGACACCCAACTCAGGAGGAATGTGTCCTTCTTTCATTTGGATGTATGCAAGCATGACACTTTTTAATGTTTTGACATTTTCTTCAGAAGTTGCTAATTTTTCTCTTAAATGAATAACTTCCTCTTTCAATTGAGAATTTTCACTTGAATCAGAATTTGAGAAATTGCACCCTGCACTGCTAAATCTTGTGGTAGACTGAAATGCAACACTATGAAGACCTCCTAGTCCTAGACAACGTACACGCCCAGGATGATCCTTTCCCAGCACTTTACTAACACAATCATTAGCTGAAATTACTGTAAAATTGACACTTTGACTCATTTCTTGTGTTATTTTCTCCTGTTAATAGAATAAATACAATTGTTTGATATTCATATTAATATTATACAAAGGAGGTTTTCAACAATAACATCAGTTTGACCACACTAAATAATACAACTTAAACACAAACATTCTATATATTTATGATTTATGATATGATTCTGGGTAAAAATATAGAAACTGAAACAAGACAAAGTTTACCCCATACGCTGATGAAATATATGGTTGGAAATTGGAATCCTAGATGCAAAGCTTCAAAACCATAAGGCATATGTATAGAAAGAATATAATTTCACATGTTTAAACACATTACTTGTTGTTAAACTTACCACTATAGATCTTGCCTCCTCGTTAACATAAGATCCATTTTTTTTCATTAATGTTATATGCAACACTGCAATCACATGATTTATTGAGGAATAGAACAAAAAGATACACTACATATAATCTGTGTTTCAGCATTATTTTCAAATCTTCAAGTAATAGCAAACTTAGGCCCCAATAAACTATAAAATGCAAGAAAGTGAAATGCATAAACTAAGCAGTACATCAATGTACAAGCGAGTTGTATTGAGGATTTCATCACATGAAACAGCAAACACCTCATAAATAAAAAAATATACAATTTATAGGTAACAAACAGATGCATGTGGTAAAAATTGAGCACGGTTAAGCTAAATACCTGTAGTGCTCTGCTCTGTAGTGGCCTAGGTGCAAATGGAAGGGAATGCAAAAGCACTAACAAAAGTTATGAATGCTCAAAGCGATGACCAGAATCATAAAAGTTTAGCCCATCCTCGGAAGAAGAGGCATTAATCTGAAATGGAAAGAAAATGAAGGAAACATGAAAACATTAGCAAATGACAAGAGTATTACCATTTAGCAACTTGATCACCTAATCACAATTTTAAACATGTTTAACCAAACATTCAAAGAGACTTGACGACTTCTATGTTATTCTTTTGTTTGCATTGTGTCATGGTTAATGAGAGGAAACTTTACACTAATATTAGCAAATCTCCTTCTCCCATCAACTGGTACGTTTCCTTTTCTTAAAAGAATTAAAAAGAAAAATTCGTCAGTTGATAGTAAAGGACACCCCCAACAAAAGATCAAGTATTGAGAAATTAATTCAAGATTCTAGAACGGTCACTATCACAAAAACATGGGAGTTAAAAATTTGCAGACAAAAATGTGAAACAAACAAGACCAAAGAATTTTGAAAAATGACATGCATGACTGAAGCAACAATATGAAAGTGACAATAAATTCCATTAACACAGAACTGTGACATGTAATGAGTCAACCTCTTTAGTTCTTCACATAGAAATGTAGAATGTATAATAATTTAATATCTTGATAATGCTTCACCTAGATTTGTTAGGGATAGACACCAAGGACAAGAAGACAAGCATTAATCAAAGAAGAGGGACAATGAGAACTAAGGTTGATATCTTGAGGAAATGAGTTTCGAGTATAACAAATACCTTTTCAGAGAGCAGTTGGCCAATCAATGTTAGAGGAAGGCAAAGATCCAATAAAGATGTCACCGAGAAAGAGTATGGCATGGCCTCTCTACTATATTGTCACGAGCCAAACCAGGGGCTAGTGTAGCAATGATATTAAGGCATTGGCGACATTAATGTCTAAAAAGATTACATGGTTGGTAGCTCCGCATGATCATCTTGATGCACCACTAGGTCATTTTGAGAAAAAGATGAAAGTGGAACAAGAGCAGGGATAACAAGAGGGACAATAGATGATATGTCAAAGGGAGACTGAGTAGACCAGAAAATGAGACATTAACTGAAATAAAATATCCTAGAAGGGTAGGATATAAGTGTTGATAACACTTTTGTGATTGATATAACCTAGGAAGATGCCTGTGGTGAACCATGGCATGAGCTTGTCAATCCCCAGAGTCATTATGAACAAAGCAAATTGAGCCAAATACACAAAGAGAAAATGTATAAAGTGGGGAATGAGGAAAGAGTCCAAAATGGGGAACCTGCTCATTTAAGACAGGAAGCAATGTAGTTGATAAGAAAGCAATTCGTTAGAACAAAATAGCTCTGAAAACATAGGGAACACTAGTGAGGTGCTATATAAACTTAACTAAAAATACAAACTCAAACGAGGAAACTGGATGCAGGACCAAAAACCGCATAATAACTATCCAACGGCGCAAAATCTTAGAGGTAATTGTACCCTTGCACCCTACCGCACCAGAAAACTCCCCGTCTCCCTTATCCTGCTCACTCCGCCACTGCCACTGTGACCACAATGGCGGAAGTGCCCGAAACCAATCCCCCACCGCCGGACCCTCCAATCCCCTCCGCACTGGACGCCGCAGAGGAAACGGCTCCGCCGGCTGCAGCAACTGCATCGCAGCCGAGCACCGATATCGTCGCCCCTTCGGCGTTAGCTTCGAAGCGGCAACGCCGTCCGAGTGTCCGTCTTGGAGAGATTGGAGACCAAAAACAAAAAATGATATTAAAAGTTTCGTACCCGAGGTTAAGGAAAAACAAAAAACGGTTGAATGTAGATTGTCATGCGTCACACAGAGAAGAGAAGGAGAAATTAACATATATACTGTAAATTGAAGAACAAATATTAGATAAAACTCTTGTAATTTTCCACAAAAATCACAAACATGTGAAATTGAAAAGTAAAACATAAGAAGGATTAAACCTGAATTGGTGATTGAGAGAGGATATGTGACCTTGCAGTGAAGGATGAAACGTTACATGAAAGATGAGTGTGAAAATGAATGAAACGGTAAAGAGAGAAAGAGATAACGAATAGAGAAAGAGAAGATAGAAGAAAGTGAGAGAATGAAAAATGAAAATAAATAAAAATAAAATAAAAAAAATTAAAATTAATTATAATTATTGTGTCGGTTAAATTTTTTGTCATAAATTACATTTAATTTTTACGATTTTTATAACTCGCTGAAAATAAACCTCTAATAATTATGAAGTTTTTTGTAGTGAATATTTTCTAGTTTAATATAATAATTAAAATCAACATTTATAAAAAAAAGAAGAAGCAAAGTCTACTAATTCAAACTAAGTTAATTTATAATGTTGTCTTTTATAATTAAATTAGATAATAAAAATAAAATAAACAGTTTCATTTTAAGTTCTTTATGTTAATCATTTATCTCTTTTTTATTAGAGACACTTCTTTGTTGCAATAATTCTTGTCAACAATGTTCAACCATTTGCAATTGGTTGGCTTTCATTATTTCAATTCCCGACGAGGTAAATGTCATTCGTTTTATATTTATCCTACCTTGGCCATTTGTAACATGTTCAATAAATGTTAAGTTACATAGTACTTTATATAAATGTCAAGTTCTAACATCATTTGTTCTTAGTTGTTACAAAATATTACATAGTATACTTAATATAAATATAAAGTTTTAACTTTATTAGTTTACTAATGAAATCAACCAACTATACTCTCTTGTGTGTTGCATACTTTTGTTGTTGTACTTATAATTCAATTTTTTCATTTTCTTCCTCTGTATTTTTAGAATATGAATTTGAAGCTGTTGTAATTGTTGATTTAGGAACAAACTGTTGTGTTCCCTGAAAATTAAGTTGTGATGCAATTGGGGTTTGAAAAATTAATGTAGGAGTAAAGTTGGTCTGATTAATTGAAGGTATTCTCACTTTCAAAGTTTTTAAAAATAAATTAAATTAATGAAATAAAATTTGTGGTCTACCTTAGGATTGATGGATGAAATCAATTTCAAAAAGGAAATTGAAACATTTTACTTGCTAGAGGTGCATATAGAGGTAGTGGGGGATCATGTTAATTACTTGTATGTGCAGTAATTTGTATTTGATGTATTGGTGGATTATTATACTTAAGCATAGGTGAGGCTAAAAGAGGTTGATTGTTTGGTTATGGAGAATGAATATTCACTTGAGTATCTTACTTAAATTTTCTTTGTATTGGAAATTTTATCTTTAACATTCTTATCAGCCAACATCATATAAATTAGTAAACTTATACCTCTTATGAATAGAACTAACTAGAAATTTTAATTATTAATTTCTAAAAAAAAGTATCCTAGTAAGAATGTTATGCCTACTAATATTTTGTCCACAAAACTTGATATATTAAAGGAGTTGATGCAAAAATAGTATGTATAAAGGTAAATAATTACTTTAATGGGATGGATGATTAGGTGTAGGTTGACACATCTTACTATAATGTATTACATGTCCCCACGTAGAAGAGGAACCTTGGATTTTATCTCTCTCATACTTATTGGTTGAAATTTTCTTCATCTTTAGGTACTCTAGAAACAATAAGAACAACATATATAAGTCAAATTACCAATTCAAAATTTTATAATAAAATATAGTACCAAATCATGAAGGTTAAACATGTAAATTAAAATACTAAAATAGCTTAATAATTGAAGATAAAACCTCGTTAATGATACATTTCCTTCCCTAAGTTTTGTTGTTCAAAAGGCTCACATTCATAAACAGTGTCGGGTCTTCTTGGGAGTTAAGGGGGGGGGGTCGTGTCCTCCCCCCAAATTTTGTAACTCTCATGTAATTTATGATTTTGACCCCCAAAATTTAGTGATCATTTAATATATTTACTTGTATATTTACAATTTTATCCTCTCATCACTTCTAACTCTCATATAATTTATAATTTTTTTCCCTCAAACTTAATGATCATTTAATATATTTATTTATACATTTACAATTTTATCATCTCACCTCATCCTTTCATCTTCTTTCACCCTTTTATATATATTTATTATTTATTAATAATATATTATTTGGTTCCCCAAAATCAATGATCAAGATCTACCACTGTTCACGAAAATTGTCAACATCTTCACCCATGTTATACAAGTCTCTAGGCTTTATATGCACATAACTAGTTGACATTCCATTTTAGATTTAGTTTTGAAACAAATATGGTTTTAAACCAAATTTTAATATTTATCTAGACGGTATGTTTTAAAATAATGACTTTTAAAACTGAATTGATTTTAAACCAGTTTTAAACACCACACCTATACAAGCTTAGTGGTAATATACATGTATTTATATAAACGGTTGAGGATGAGAAAAAGTTAATAGACGCCTTCTCATTATGTATTAAATTTTTTTAAATATTCTTAAATAGAGTACCTTAATGTTTTATAATAATTAGTATATGATTAATAAAAGATATAAAAAAAACACTAGTGGATTGTTTGAAGGTGTACACTGGTCCAACCAATGCAGGGATGCAAGTCTCAATAAACAAAAACTCCCTATCCTCTCTAATCACCCACTTATTCATTGATGATTTGCCTATTATTAGAGGTTCTTGTAACATCTTCTCCTCTTTAAAATGCTAGCTATAATAACAAAAGCTTTGTATAACACTTATGCCTCTCAAACCAAGTCTGCATTGTTAGAAATTTTGAAACAAAAGCTTCCTTCTTAAGCTTTGTTGTTAGACAGGTGAGACACAAAGTACTTTTTTAACAATACGAATAAACATTTATTTTATATAAATAAGTTGTGCTAAATTTTTTAACTTTAACATTTTATCTAGGTTCTATTGATTTTGTATTGTAATAATTTTTTTTAAGCTTCTAGTTGTGAGAACGTGAGAAGAGAGATTTCATATCAGGAAAATTATATGTTGATGCTTACTTTTTCTGTTATAAAAAGGTATAATGTCTACATTGTAAATTATCCCAAGTCTTTTCCTTCTCCTTTCTACTAGTGTATTGCATAGTAGTTGAGTTCTTTTATTTCTTAGAAAGAATATTATTATTATTTTTTCCTAAGATTTAAAGAGGGTATTATAATTTCTTTTGATATAAAATTATATTATTTCCTATTGTCAGTTTTGTTTCTTTTTTCTCATCTTTATTTTAGTTATCAATTCTTATACAGTTACTTTAATTCCTAACGGTGGTATCGGAGCATGGTTGGTTTCTTGTTTGTGATATTATTTTGTTGTAATAGTTATTAAAATAGTGTTGGAGAAAATTCTTAGTATGTTCTGTGGTTGCAGTTAATCTTCCACATTAGAAAAGAATTATTATAGTTACTGGAAATAAAGTATGGTAATGTGACAATGTATGTCTAGGAAAAGTTATGACAATGAAAGACTTGGTATTTAAACGTGTTCATTAGTGACATATCTCTCTTTCCTGGGAGCTTACCTAGTATATTAGTTACAGTTTATGTCATTGTTCCAGTAGGCAATATTATTCATAGTGTATAAGTCGATTAAAACCATGACAACAAAATATGAGATAGAGAAGTTCAATGAGAATAATTTCTTATTGTAAAAACTGAAGATGAAGGCAATTTTGAGAAAAGATAATTTTATAGAAGTAGAAGCAATTGGAGAAAGACTTGTGGACAACTCAGATCAAAGGTGAGAAGAAATAAATAACAACGTTGTAGCAAAATTGTAAAGAAGGGTACAACGAAGGAGATTTGAGAGTCCTTCATCAAATTCTACTATGTTAAGTCACTTCACACAAGAATATTTTTGAAGAGAAAATTTTATACTCTTCGAATAAGTGAGTCCACATCGGTAACGAACAACATCAACAATCTTAATAGTTAAAAATAAACTTACGAAACTTCTACTTCAAAGCTTACCAAATTCTTATGATCAACTCTTCATCAATATAACAAATAATAATATTGATGTTATACTTGGGGGATATTGTTGAAGCTATTCTTGGAGAAGAATCTAAGTAAAGAAGTAAGGTGAAAAGTCTAAAACAAGCATAAGTTTTGACGATGATGAGAGGTAGATCAACGAAATATAATTCTAGTCAGAGTCAAAATCATGGTGTATCAAATTATCGAGGAAGGAAGAATCTCATTTGCTACCATGGTAATAAGAGAGGACATATCAAGAAAGATTGTTGGCTTAGAGTAACATAGACTAAAATTTGTTAAAGTGACTATAAGGAGGAAACACATAATGAATTTGGTTTATTATGATGTGTTGAAATCAGCAATATTGTCCCTAAGAGGGGCTAGATATTTTATATTAGTGATGATAATGATTACTCCAGGAGAATATGAGTGTACCGCATCAAGAGGAAGTCTGTGTTTTTAAAGTTCACGAGATAATGATACAGATTAAAAATTTTAAAGATTAAGAAATCAAATTAAGAATTGAACCCAAAAAACCAATTAGAAATGAATAATGTTCAAACAGATTTAAAGAAGGTGAAAGAAGAGAAAAGAAACACCAAGAATTATACAGGTTCACCCGCACAAGTGGGCTACGTCCAGTTCTCAACCAAATTCCAGTTGAGTTCCACTAAATTGAATTTGTTTTGAATACATAATAGAATTACAAAACACCCAACCTGCACCAAGAACCAAATTCCAGTTCTTAAACCCAACCTACAACCAAATTTCAACTGTAGAAAACAATGTCCAACCTTCTAAACACCAAGACCACACAAATTCAAAAAAAAAATGAAAGAATGAAGAAACTAGAACAATCAAACCCAGTTATGCAGATGCAGAAATCTCATTGCAGTATGAGTTTCTTCACAAGTAATAATACAAAACGCCTTAAGAAAGAACTTCAAAAATTTCCACTGAAAATAGCGTGTTTTTCGATCTCTATTAATTACTTGAATGATTTCTAGAAGATTATTTTTAAAGCGTTGAATCAAATATATATATATATATATATATATATATATATATATATATATATATATAAACTTTTTATAATAAACTGGTTGAATTAATCGGTTAATTCGTCTTTTAATCGATTAAAAAATCTTGATTCTAACTATTTTAACCGATTAAAATATCATTTAATCGATTAAAATGTTCTACAATATTTTCAAAAAAGATTTTAACTGATACAAATATGGTTTAATCGATTAAAGCAATTATACAAAACATCCTTTAGAGATTTTAATCGATTAATTTATATTTTAATCAATTAAAATAATGGCGAGAAGATTTTCCAAAACTTCTTAAGTGATTTTAACTGATAAAACCGTGATTTAATCAATTAAAACATTTGAACAAAAATTCCTTAAGTGATTTTAAACGATTAATTCAAAGGTTAATTGATTAATAAATTGATAGAACATTTCTTAAATCGTCTTAAGTTAAGATTAAAAAATCTGTCGACAATTGTGTTGTCGGTAAATATTACCAAATTAAGAGGATTTTCATTAATAGGATTCAAATCCCAATGTACCTTAGAATTAGAAGTTGATACTCCAAGCACTAAACTATTACGATTTTTCAATAATAACTTATAAATAAATCATATTTATTTACAAGTAAATGTATATATGTGTAAATATATAAATATAAAATATATAAATACAAATATATTTATATATTTATATATTTTAAATATTTACCAACAGTATATATCCGTTGGTAACTAATTGTTAATTTATCGATGGATATATCGTCGTGTAACTAATTGTTAATTTATTGATGAAAAAAATTTTCGGTAATTACTCGGTAATTTTCAGTCAGTAATCTCTCATTTTTTTATGACAATATATCCGTCATTAACTATCCGTTGGTAATTAATGATTTTAGAGGCATTTTAATTTCTTTCAATTGATAGAACCTAATGTTGTAGAAATGGATAGGAAATTATACCTACATAATATGGATGCAGACTCACTAAAGACTACAACCCTTAACCCATAAATTGACTTCATCAAATGTTCAAGATCTTCAATCTTTATTAGTTTAAACCGGGTATCTATGTGTTAGTACAAGAGATTTGATTATTCATGATTAGTCTTGATTTCAATAGACTAAGTTTGAATTATTGTACTACAATAGATTTGATAAGAATGATTTTATCATTATGTCGTTGTATGTGGATGTCATGGTGGTAGGCTCAAACAAAGTTCGAATCCAGGTTTTGAAGGCACAGTTGGCTAGGAAGTTTGATATGAAGAACTAGGAGAATCAAAATTAGTTGTCAGATGCTATGTTTGTTCAAGTTTTGCATGTGGTCTTGATAAATTTACCTTTGTTCGAGAGATAATAACTAATTATCCAAATTATAAGAAAATGTAGCTCTGTCTATCACAAATGTTGAGTACATGACAGTCACTCAGACATATAAAAAAGCTATTTGGATTAAGAGAATAATGGAGGAACTCGGACACAAGCAGTAACAAATTGTTATGTATTATGATAATCAGAGTGTCTTGCACATTGCATGGAATCTTGCCTTGTACATCAGGACAAAGGAAGAATAATCTAGTAGATGTTGACAGACGATTAGTAGTGATAATTTTATATAGAGACAATCCTACTGAAGGTCTATTACAAAATAACAACATGGAAGATAATAATAATGTATTTTAAATATTTGATTAATTTAATAAAATTGAGAGAATGTGAGAAGAGAAGTCTCACATCACGGAAATTATATGTTGGTACTTATTTTTTCTATTATAAAAGGAGCAAATGTCTACCTTGTAAATCACCCCAACTCCTCTTTTCTAATGTATTACATAGTAATTAAGTTCTTTTATTTCTTAAAAAAGATATTATTATTATTATTTTCTCCTAAGATTTGAAGAGAATATTATAATTTTTTTCGGTATTATCAATTTTATTTCTCTTTTCTCATCTTTTATTTTAGTTGTAAGTACTCTGATTTATAATACTAGTGTGAATTAGATAGATTATTCAAATGATATTCAATTTAGGAATTGCTCTCATAACTTTATCCAAGTCATAAATTAAGAGTCATTTTCCCAAATATTAATATCACAATAATCAAATACAATAAATTAATAAAGATTATCGAGATAAAAAAGAATTGAACATATCATACTTGCAACAACACCAAACCTAAATGAAGGTAACACCCTTTTTAATTTCCTAAACAAAATAAAACTTGAACAAATAAGATGTGTTTGTGAAAGTTCAACAAACATCCATATATAAAGAAAAGCAAAAAAGAAAATGTTTCAAACCTTTTTAATCTGGGGATTTAGGATTTTGTTTGAATCGTCGAATATCATAACAGTCTTTACGGTGGACAAGGGATTTTTCAAATCTCCATTAAGATTTTGTTGTTTGTTAGGGGAGATCACATTTCTATATTAGGACAAAACAAGGGAACAAATGACGATTTAGACAATAGAAAGATGACTAAAAATAGTTTTTCTGACTTGTGGGAGATAAGGGCAGGAAGGAGTTATGAGAGATGAAGAAGAAGAAAATGTTAGATAACAAGGATTAAAGCTAAATAAAGGCACGCAACAATAGTAAAAAGTATTATGTTGAGAAAAAGAACTTATGAGAGAGTGAAATTACTCGGCAAAAATTGAAAATATACCAAATTTAATTGTAATTTACACAAAAATATAAGGACTTAAAAAAAGTTTACGTTCATTTTTAGAGGTTACTAAAACCCGAGTTAATAAACCTCACGTAAGATAAAATATTTAGGTAGTGTATTTATGAAAAAAAAAAGTTAGAAAAGTCAATTTATTTATAATAATAATTCTAAATTGGGTAGTTTTAATTATTATGTACTTGTGTCTATAAACAAATGTGTCAGAACTTATCTTAAGTTTAGATCATACTTTTACTATTTATAAAAAAAAAATAAGGTGCAAATTTGAAGAGAAAGTTTATGTATGGACAAAAATATTTGTGTTGATTTAAAAAAAAAAAGTTGGTGGGACTTAAATATTTACTTTCTCTTCCTATATGAAAAGAAATCCATAAAAAGTTATTTATGTCATGTTTCTTATCTATATTATCTTTAAATATATTATCTCATTTCATAATTTTTTTATCTATAATGTATAATATTATAGATTTTATTTTTTAACTTAATAATTGTATATATATATATATATATATAAGTTTAGATTTATTTTTTTATTAATATATAATCTTATTTTTTTTATTCTGTGTTATTTTTAATTATTTATATTCAATTTTATTTCTATTTAATTTTTATTTTAAATTAACTTATGTTAATTATTTTATATATATAACCATGTAATTATGTTTTGAATATAGTTTTACAAATAAAATACTGAACTATAAAATTTTGAAAATATCTAACGGATTAAATAAATTTGTATAATTGAATATATAATATACATAAGCGATTTTATAATAAAAAATATTATTATATTTATTATATATAAATTAATATTAATAATATATAATTATAGTTATAGTTATATGTGATTTTATAATTTTTTATTATAATAAATTCAAAATTATATTTAAATATACATTTTTTTAACATGTAACTGATTTTATTTTTTATTATGAATTGTTTCATTATATTTTATTTTTTAATTAGTACTTCAAATAACAATTTATACATGATTTGTAATTAATAAATACAAATTATTTTTATATTTTATATTTTTAATATATCTCATAATTTCATGTAAAATATAAATTAATTAAGTTAAATTAAATTATATCACAATTTTAATTTATATATATTATATTTTTTATTAATGTAAAAATATTTTGATTATTATATAATTTAAATTATTATTTTGATTTTTTTATTCAATTTCATCTCGTTAAATATTGTTACTCATCTTCTACTCTTTTTTCCTAAATTCAAATAACCCACTTTTTAGTATCTTTCTCCTCCGTTCTACTCCCTTAAATCAACTCTCTTTCAAAGACAAATTTAAGTCAGAAAAAATGATTGATGCGTGTCATTCCCATTCTCACAAAAGGGACACTATTTGACCATTCAACACCTTTTGAATTTTCAGTTGCAATTATACGAAGGTTAGGGAAGACAAGACACTCATGAAGAATTTGGAGATTCTCCTAATCAATGAATAGCATTGCCATAATCCACTTACAAAGTGTAGTTTAATTGACATAACAGCAATACCTCTAAAAAATCTCATGGATGAGAATTAAGAACCAATCCAATCTATCATCCTCTTAGAAATGAATATTTATTGCAGGTCATGGCATAGCTCCCAAACTCCATTATATTCTAGCTATATCTCTGTGTTGAGGTGACATGAGTTTGGAGAAGGATCGTTTTCAATCCACGGAAACTTGATTGTGTAGAAGAATCGTGTCACGCCACTTGATTATTACCATGTTTTAGGGACATATAACATAAGAGAGCTGGTGCAGTTTGAAACACATGAGAATAAGAAGAGGAAGACTTTTTCATTGACTTACTCTATGAAAAAAAAAAATTTGATGACCATTTGAATTTTATATACATTTTATTATTTTTGTCATAACTTGATAATAATAATAATAATAACCAATTAAAAATTGATAATTGTAACAACAAAATTGTGGATATTTAATATTTCCACTCGAGAGATAGATATCTAATAGACTTAGGTAAGATTTTGGTGAGTGGACCTACTAACAAGAACCAATTTAATGAAGTTAAATTGGACATGATATTTGATTAAATGAGAATCTAGTAATTGCACTTGGATCTCTTAATTAGGGAAACTTACGTTGCTAGCTTATTGTATACTTGAATTCCTTTGACCATACACTTAACAATGGTTTAATCCATATAAACTTAGATGATATAAACTAATCATACATGAATAAGTAAATATTTTGTATTAATATATTTAACTTCTACATAATTGTTTAGATTCTCAAATTATAAATACATTAATAAGGTATACATAAAAGTCAGATGGAAGTTGCAACTTAATTAATGAACAACTATACATATGAATATACTTGAATATTAGAGTTGAAAATAAAAAGTCTTATCTTTTGAGATACTAGAACAAACTATGCCCAAAGACATTCTTGAACATTTGATTTGATTTTACTGGGGCTTATGGTGATTTTATTAGGATTTGTTTTCTCTGTTTGAGCAAGGATCCTATCTTTTATTGGGATTTTGTTTCATAAATTTTATTTCAGCACATTTTCCGATATATAAATACAAAGGTATTACATTTTGACATTTATATTTTCCTTAAAGCCAAACGAAAAATGGTTTTATTTCGACATCTATATTATATGTATTTTTATATAAACGTATATATATTTTGATTAAATATTGTATTATAACAAACTAAATCAAATCTTGTGTTAAAAATTTGGTGTAGAGGTGATACAATACAAGAACAATTTTTCGGGAATTTTGAAATTATTCAGGTATAAGTTACAATCATGTTTCTATGGCGTTTGCGGTTGAAGCTCCACAATTTGGAAATTTAAGATTGTAAATGTAATTTAAGAATTATAATGATTTTTTTCATTAAGATGTTGTAAGGAATGCTTAGATAAGAAAGTTAAAAAAAAAAAATCAAATAATGCATGTGTTTTTTAATCTCTACTTTTATAAAATGTATATAAATAATAAAATAAATTTAAAACTATATTATATAATGATGGGTTGAATGGGATTCATAAATTCATTATCCAATCCAAGAAACAAAAATTTTGATTAAGTTGGATTGGATTTGTACCAATGTTGTGACTCGAAGTTTGGATTGGATTTGAATAAAATTTGTAACTCACTGTCTTGATCGATTTGTGTTCATAGATAGAAAACTAATAGATATCACATATTAAAAAAAAATTCCATTAAGTAACATGAAATTAATAGCAAATCTGTGTTTTATTTTTTAGAATTAATTAAAATTTTATAACATAAAATTAAGAAAAAAAATTATCAAAAGATAATTTTTAGTTAAATTTGATTTTTTTATTATTTGAAAAAATATACAATTTTTAAATTTTCCATTTACCTTCTCATTCAAACAAGAGAGAAAATTCTCCACTTTTCTCTTATTTTTATCCATCTAAATAACTCATCTATTGTTATTTCTTAATTAAAATTTTCTGGAGATTAAAGAACAGAAATAAAGAATAGGGTGTGTTAATTCTGGGTTCTGGGCTTTGCCACCAGCACTTCTTTTCTGTTTGATGTCAGAATTTTCCTGTCCTCATCCGTTTAAATAAATTGGGCTTGAGTAGTTATAAAACAGCTTTTTAAACTTAGAGACCGAAATTAAAATGCTAGTGAAAAACATAAAAAAAAAAAAAGCTCAACTATTTAAGCATAGAATTCTACAATTGTATTTTAATGATCGATTGAACTAGAATACTTCAACGTTAGAATGAAAATGAATTTACCAAAAATTAAATAATTTGCAAAATCTTAAAGCAACAAAATCTGATTAATTATTAGCAAGACATTTTTGACATGACTCTTTTTTTTTCTATCTATTATGTTCTTTATTATAGATAAATTTCAAGTTAGTCCAACTAATTTAAACGAGTCCCACTCACATAAAATCTACTTACAAAGAAATATAATATTGAAATGAAAGAGTGTATTTAAAACATTCCTCGCATTATTTACAAATCATAAAAATATCATATCAAATATGTTATAAAACATATGATCTTTTGAAACTCATAAGAACCTGCCAAAAAACTCACCCATCAAACTCATTCCATCTTCACAAATTTGAAGTGCAAAGGAGCAATTGAAGCCTTTGTGTTGGTTGGAAAATGAAAATTGTGATAAAAACTGGGAAAGAGTGAAATGAAGAAAATATATGTTGGAATAAAATAAAAAGAAAAGGACTATAAAATTTACATTATCATCTATAAATATTTAAAAAAACATAATTAAATTTGCTGCAATAAGCTCTCCAAAACACCAAAAAAAAAAAAAAAGCAAATACCTATGGCATGACCAAGTCTCCAAAATCCTGGTCCATTGTTGGAATCACCAACCAATCATCTGGACAACAGTAGCCAAGATCTATTGCATCCACAAGAGTTGATTCATAACCAAGCCCCTTACAATTTTCCATCACAGCATTTTCCTCAAATGGGGGATCCAACTTCTCTGTGGTCAAATTGCCATCAAAACCTTCAAGGCATCCCACCCACCAAGTGCATGAAGAATCTTGTCTGGCTTCAAAGGGTGGTGTTGTTGGTGTTGGTGTTGGCTCAGCCAATACACAAGGACCTGTCGTGGACCATGTAGGTCCTGGCTGAGGCATGGCCTCCAACATGTAGTAACAATATTGTGCATCTGACGATATTGACACATGAATTTCATTGTTGAAGTTGTGGTTGTTACCTTTCACTATGGTCTCTGTGACTGTGACACATGGTGGTGGTGACCTCCAAGCATGAGTTGTTTCTCTTCCAGCATCACAGTGATCCCTTCTTCTCCTTGAACCTTTGCTTGGAACATTGCTTTCCTCTGAACCCATCATTGTCTTTTCCACTGAATTTGCACACACCAAATGACCAAGAGCCAAAACGCCAGTGAAAATATAACTCTTGCCAGTGGGAATTGGAAGTTAATGCTTAACTTGTGCAACCTAAAACTTGAGTTTTTAACTCTTGATCCTGATAAAATTAGTATTTCCATAAACAAATTTAGGTATTTGTATTTATAATATCGTCAAAATCAAAATATGAATATAATAAATTATAAAATAATAAAATTAAATTGGTATATTTATTAAATATTAAAGTAAGAAATGGTGCTTTTCAAGTAAAAGGAAGGGATGGGGTAGAAAAAGGGTGAGAGACAGGAGCATGTTGAGTGACACGTATGTGGTGAATCCAAAGGACACATCAAATCTTCTTTAAGCAATCCTCTGCGTGTCTGCAAAGTTTTGGCCAATTTCCACACCTTTCTGGCACTTTCCTGCACTCTCTGCCTCAAAAACTAAATCCAAATTGAATTGATCATGCACAACAACACTGTACTCTGCGTGTGAAATGTGACAGTGAACCAACCCCATTCATTAAATATACTCTTCCTGTCTTCAATCTATCACTCCAACACTCAAAACAAGGATAAAAGCAAAAACACTTTTTAACTTTTACTGCACACAAAATTCAAACCATCAAGTACCAGCTGCTAGCATAGTACATCTTATCCTTCCACACCTCATCTCCCACCATTCACACACTTTCCAAGTCTTCTAATTCGCTTTTTGTAATAAAATAAATTTTCTTATCCTTTGACCCTGTAGCATTTTTACTTTCTCTTTAATCCTTTCAAAAAAATTTGACTCTTTCAAAAAGTTTCTGAAATACTTGTAAAAAAAATAATTATGATTCTAAAAAAGTTATTACATGTATTTTAGGAGATGAGATGATGTGTCTGAATGTAACAACACACGATACAAATACCTTTTCAATCACATAAGACAAAACAAGATTAGACATCAAACGAAAAATCCAAACAATAGCTTGGAGATGAAAAAGTATATTTAATTCTTATTAAAATATGTTTTTCATTATTAAGTTCTCTGTTTGAGAAACAAAGCATATAATTGGATCTTTCACATGGAAATTGCTTTTCTTGATTTTAGTTATTGTAAGTTAAAACTAAGAATGTTGAGGTAAATTAATTACAAAAATATCTAAAATAATTAAGTTAATGAATTGAAAGACTTTTTTATAGATTAAATTAAGTTGTATAAACACTTTCATATTACCATTTTCTAAAAGATTAATTTTATGTTAAATTTAACTGAAAAAATGTTGCAAGTTTTTTTTCTCTTATAAAAAATTTGAACTGAAACTCTTTCAAACCATTTACCCATTCCTAACTGAAATTTAAAATATTAAAAATTGTATATAAGCAAGAAAACACACAAGTGAGTGGAAGCTTGAGGTTGGAATAAACACTTGGAACATCTTGTAGGTCACTGTTTTAATGTAATCTGATGATGGAACCCTATTATCCAGAACAGTGTAAGGAGCTTCTGATGAGTGTTTGACCATAACACTGCCCTTAGCCCAATGCCCAATTCCTAAGCTTGGGATCCATATTTCAAGTAATAGGCCAAGTTATTTTGCCCATAAAACCCTAATAGATTTAAATCTCATCAAAATTTCATATAATTTCAACAAATTATACAGATATAACTTACATTCAAATCTTATTATAGAACCATTATGTAATTAATCGAGAATATATAGAGATCTTAAGTTATATATGATATAATAAAAATAGTGATTCCAGACAATAATATAGTACCAACAATACTAAATAAATAGGAGATCAATCCAAGTACCCTACTTGATATTAGGAGAAGGTATGTATAGAAAAAAAAAAGTGACATAAAAGATAATATATTTTATGACAATTTTAAAAATCTTTTAGTCTCTAATATTTATTTGAAATATGACTTTATTTTGGTCTGAAAAAAACAGGCTCGCCATGAAGAGACGCAATCCGTAGGACACACACAAGCCATCTCTAATGGACTTAGCAAATTAATTAATTCAGTGAGTCCATTGCCTTGTTGGGGGAAATAATGCACAAAAATCAGGAAAGAGATATGGTTGATGTGGTTGCAACAAATTATAAACCATTATTCATGTCTTTCACATACTCTTCACTCAATAAATTAATGAGTGTCACCTTACAACCTTGCCATTCAATTTCAAATGTCACAAATTAATGGAAGCTGCATTATATATTCATTGCACTCCACTTGTGGACACAATTTTTGTTGTTTTGGTTTGGAAAGTGAAAAGGCTAATGTATGGTATATGTGGGGGAAAACTATATATTTTATAGTATTTTTATTATTTTATGTACAAGTTAATTTTAATTTATAAAGAAATTTATTTCACTTTTTTCCACTTAATTTGCAAGTTGTACATTATGGACAAGAAGACCTTTCAAGATGCAGGTTCCATCATTCTAAGGATTATTAATTTGATTTGATTTAATCACTTTTATGCAAGGTTATCGTATTTGAGAATCTATATAAACTTGTGAGAGGTCGATAAACTTGATAAGTAGATTTGTAAATTTTATATGAAAAATATAAATTTAATAATAAATATAATAATATTAATTTTTCATTATTAAAATAATAAAAAAAATTAATTAAATTTGTGTAGCAATATAATAATAAAAAATATTGAATGTCTAAAATATTTTTATCTATTCGAAACCCTAAAATTCAAATCCCTCAATTCTTCAATCTAATACGGAGGGATGTGAGTAGCGGTGAGCAACTCTAAGGAGCGCGGTCATTGTGCAATAACTGCGCACGACCCAAGCGAGCGTCACTTGACCACTGCACGACCAAGGACAAACATGCGACGATGACCACCGACAACAATAAGCAATGACGAACAATGGGGAAGGAACGAGATCTGAACTTATGAGAAGAAAGGAAGAGAGTCGAAGAAGATCCAAGTTTGTTTTTCCTTCAAACTCAATGACTCGCCTCTAACATGCGATTTTACTCAGAATCCACCGAGTTCACCAAATTTAATTTTGAATCTACTTTAAAACGAGTCTACTTACAAGTTAATTCGTACCCGATTATTCGATTCGTTAATTCATTCGAGTCAAGAGTTGAATCACGAGTTTGATAAACATGTTTTGTGCATGTCTAAAGCATTCAAGCTTCCTATCTCCTCCAATCATATCAAATCACATATATAGTACCTAATTTAAAAGTTATATAATCGAACACAAGCTTCCTTGTAATATATTCTATTATTTCCACAAAGATTCATTAATTTGTACAATTTTTAAGTGGGTCTGCCTCACATCTCTTCAAATTAGAGAATTTTATTTAGAATTTTGTTCACTCTTTCATGTAAATATTCACAATTTGATAGGAAAACACACAAAAGTTGGAATTGTATTTTAAAATATTTCTTTTCACACAAAAATTAATGATGTCATTTTAAACCCAAAATCTCAACTTCAATCTAAATGATGCTTCTCGATTCAAATAATAAGAATAAAAAAATTGAAATAGAGTTTTCACTAAAAAAACATAGATTACAAATTTGACCTAATTAGTTATAAAAATAATTTATATAATATATATATATATATATTAAACAAATTATTTTTCTTGTTGAATAAATATATTATAAATAAATAATATAAAATATAACATATTTTATTATAACATCATAGAATTATATCAATTATGATTTTTAATTAATATAATTATGACATATTTTTACGTATTAGATTCTAAATTTCATGATATCTATTATATAATAAAATGTATTTTTATTAATACATGTTATAATATAACATATAATAAATATATCTAATTATAAAAATTAATATAAATTATTATTTAAAATAATTCTAACTGAATATTTATAAATATTATTACTTTATTCTTTTTACATACATATTTTTTTACCATTCTTATATTTAAATTCTTTTAATAATTCAAACATCGAATCATTGCAGAAATATATATTTTTTCATATGAAATATAAAACTAATTTATACGAAATTATTATTTACTTTATTTAATATATTCTTTTCAAGAATAATATTTCATATTGACTATTTTTTATATAGTTGGTGTGCAATTATATTATCTATATCATTTATTAATCGAGGTAAAAAAATCATCATTTTATGTCAATAATACCTACATTATTTCAATATCTAAATAACGTAAATGTGTTTTGGTGCAGCAATGAAGTAAATTGTGGGAATATAAGTTCATGTCCACATAATTAGCTAGGCTACATGGTAGAAGTAGTCCTATTTAGTAGCTAGGTCCCTCAATCGGAGCACATGAGGAAGAGAAGAGTAAAAGAAAAAAAATTATGCCTCACAATGCGTTTGTGTTGAATATTTCACAGTTTTCCCAGTTTCCAAGACCCTGATGATTTTGAAATCTGTGTTTTAACTTGTAAATCGCGATTCAATCTGGTGAGTATCAAATCCAACTTTGTTTTCTCATTCTTAAGAGTAATCACACCAACTTTAATCGTTTTTTAGATCGAATTACTTGTTATATATTTGTATTTCATAATTAATTTTACTAGTTTATAAAATAGATCAGACTTTAAGAATTTTACTAGTTTCACATGATCAGTAAAGTGTTGGTCTACTACAAGGTTATTAAAATGAACTAATTATTTATTAGCAAATTTAATATTGAAAGCAAATGCAGATAATCGAGGCTATTATCTGAAAAGAAACACATATAATCGACATAAAGATAAACAATTGGGTACCATAAGGTTATGGAGTAGTTGGTTGGTCGGCATTAGGATGCAAACCTAAACAAGATACGAGTCATAATTATCTTGAGCAAGATCCTGAGCTTCACAATTTTTAAAACCTCACAATCCCATGCTTTCTTGGCTGTCGTATCGCATTTTCAAATAATCAAGTTTTGTGTTTGATTCCCAAACAATGGGATTCATAAGGTCAACCAGCCACACTGCCCTAAGATAAAGGGTACATCATTCTTCATTACAATACTTTGCATTTCCATGAATTTGTTTGTACTTTATCAAGTACACAATTGGGTGGTTCAACATAAACTAATGAAGCTCCTAATCATGCATGTTATTATAATCACCCTCTCAAAATCTTGGATCATTCAAAATCAATTGGGGCATGAGGCAAGTGTAGTGGGTGCCACCCAATTAATGCTCCCTTGTTATATGCTTAATATTGTTTTTGTTTCAACACCACTCTTAAATTTTTTTCTTAACTCGATTAGATTATATCAAGTAATATTTTTTTAAGTGTGTAAAAATAATTGTATATTCATATATTCTTAAATAATTGTATTTAACAAATAAAAATGGCAATACTTTGTTGATAGTGGATGCAAATTTATATCAAACACATAACATAATTTTATATGTCAGTTAATATGTCATAATTATAAACGCTTGATTCAATTTTTTTTTTATGGGCTTGATTCTATATTTTTAATTAATGCCATGTTAACCACACCAACTAGTTATCTCCTATTCTTTTCATATAGTTCTTTGTTTGTTTGAAATTCGTCAAATACAACCCATTAATTAATATGAATAATTTCACCAATTTAATAACTCTATCATAATCACCGATTTAATCACTCTATCATAAATTATCCGAGTCAAGCATGAAAAGGAATTGGAAATGCCTCTTTGAATTATACACTTAGTAATATGAACATAATAACCCCTCAAAAATAAATAGTTGACGGACTAAAGCCACGCATTAGATATTGTCCATCACAAAAAAAAAAATTTCTAATATCATAGTTAATTTTTCTAATACCATAATTAAATATTGTCCATGAACTCTAATAATGCCACAATTAAATATTATTAATAAAGACTATTTTTAAAAGACTTTTTAAAATACACAAAAATATACCGTGATAAAAATATTTTAAGTTAAAATATTAAAAAACTAAATTTATGGTTTCTCTCACTTATATCTTTTTTTTTCATTCTTATTTAAAAGTAAAATTTCAATTTACACTTAAAGTCCGTCAATCAACTAAATAATATGCACAGCTCTATTAAGTTAAGAAAAAAATACCATAAATTCAATACCAATAAAATTACTATTAACCATAAGTGCTATATCTAAATATTAAACTCATTCATAAAAAATTTGTTCGTCTTTGAATTTCGGTCTTTGTTGCTCCAAATTTTCGGTATTACTAGAAACATTTTAGTTTAAAAATTGAACCGGATAGGTATGCATGTTAGCATTAACCAATCATAAATCATTATGGATATTTTTAATATAGTTTTTTTAAGAGTTAACAAACTCATTATCATGTAGATTGAATGAATGTATAGATAATCTTTCAATGGATACAGTATTTAGCTTAAAAAATAACTGCAACTATATATGTCGAATTATTTATTTGAAAATAATTTTTATAAGCTTGACACATTTGCATGATCCTACAGCGATGGCTATCAACTATCAAGAAAAACAAGAAACATGAATATACTAAGAAATTTAAGTTACAAATTACAATCCAATACAATTTTTTGAGGAAGTGACTCCACCATCCACAACAAGATTATGGCCACTAACATACTTGGATTCATCACTAGCAAGATAAAGTGCAGCCTCAGCAATGTCCAGAGCCCTCAAAGTTGGTCCTTTCAAGTTGGCAAGACCTCTAACAAACTCCTCCATTTTCTCCACTTCCTCTGGCAAAGGCACCCCAAAATTGATGCCCTCATGATCAACCTCTTCATCACAAGCCCTCCATGCATTCACAAGCATGGAAGTAGCCACCCCAAATGGTGAAATGCAATTGACCCTGATCCCATACCTCCCCAACTCACAAGAAGTGTTCTTTGTAAGCCCAACTATGGCATGCTTTGAGGCTGTGTAAGCATGTGGTCCAAGCCCCCCCATGAGCCCAGCCACACTAGAAGTTGAGATAATGCACCCTACTCCTCTTGGAATCATCACTCTTGCAGCATGCTTGATCCCCAAAGCCACACCCTTCACATTCACACTCATCACTCGGTCAAACTCATTAGGGTCAAAGTTGACTATGCTCTTGTTATTGGACTGGTTCCCTAGCACCCCAGCATTGTTGAACATGATGTCAAGGTGTCCATAGCGAGAAATTGTGGAACTAACCAAGTTCTCAACCTCCTTCTCCAAGCTAACATCACAGTGGACGTAGGTAGCTGAAGGAGATAGTGTTTCAGCAAGCATGGCTCCAGCTGCATCCTCAACATCAGCAATCACCACCTTTGCACCATGCTTCACAAAAACTCTCACAGTTGCTTCACCAATGCCCCTAGCACCCCCAGTTACAATAGCAATTTTGCCTTCCAACCTATAACAATAATATCTAACATAAGAACATTGAACAAGAAAAAGATAACAATAGATTATATGCTTAAGTTTTCTCATTTTTTTTTATATCTAAAATATCTAACATGATTAAATAAATTCCATGTATCACCATGTCAGAAATTCTACTCACAAATCATACAACATTTATTGAGAGAGATTAACTCTTTAAATAGATTTTAATACTGAATTCAACAAAAATAACATCAATTCCATGTACAGACCATGCTAAAAATAATGTACATTTTATAAAAATGTGGTGCCTCTCCTTAGAAGTGCATTGAGATGAACAAGATTGAAGCTTGTGGACTAGCAAATCATGGGGTGGAGGAGACTCTTTTTTTTTGTCAAAAAAATAAAAATGATTTGCAAAGTGTAAAGAGCTAAACAGAGAAACTTTTAGTACCTTTTAGAAGAAGGACAAAAAGTGGTGTCTGAAACCTGTGGATGAACTGGCTGAAGGGGTTTCTCAGACATCACAATCATGGTTGAGAGGTGAGAGTGGAGAGAGCAGAGGGGAGACAAAGAGGAAGCAGAGGGGTTTGCACGATGGTGAGTACGTGGACTTTCAACTGCAAGACCAGTATATATATATATATATATATATATATATATATATATATATAAAAGACGTATTATACAAATCTGTTTCTTCTTTACTACTTTAGGTATCTCAATATAGTGTTTATCTGACAATAAATTGATTTTTAATATTACTAAATAAGTATTAAATTAATCTTTTGAAAGTTTAAATGCCATTAGTTAAATTGGTTTTAGGCGGACAAGATTAGTCGCTCGCAGTGAATGGATCGCAATTGCAAGTAAAATTTTGCCTGCAGTGTTAGGGACTGTTTGGCTATATGATTTAAGGAAACTTTTTTTTTTTTTCATTTTCTGTTTCTTTTAAAAACCACATTTTTTTTCAAAGAATGAAAAATCCTAAATATATATTTAACTATTTTTAATAACATGAAATGCTTTTTTTATATATATGTTTGCAAACATGTTTTTAATGATAAAAATATATTTATATTTTTTGTACACTAAACAATTTATGAATAAATGAATTTCTTATGTATATATATATTGGATTAACTTGAATTCTTACTGCCAACAATATTACTATTGTAGGTTAATATACCTAAGTATCTAACCACTTATACTAACTACTTTTATCATTATTTATGTTCACATGAATCATATGTTAATTAATAAGTTCTAAAATTGCAAATAATTAAAGCTATTGTGATTAAACCAAAGAATAGTATAAGAAAATCACGAGACCAAAACACAAAAGGAGAGGGACCATACACCATTAAATGAAGTACATGCCAAAAGACCATTGTCAAATGCTTCCATTCGCTGCTACTGTATTGCGCTTCTGGTCCCAAACGTATGTTTATATAGAAAACTATACACGATAACGAAAGAAAGTAGAAATATACTACACACTTGGGCCTATTTGCTTTGTTATTTAGTTGTTTATTATCTTCATGTCATGTTTAAGACACCAACTTGCACTAAGGACGTGACATGACACTATCCCTTATGCTCTTATTTAAAATGCTTTTGTTTCTATTTGTAAGGGTTCCAAGACCAAAACTTGAGGGCAACAGGAATAAAGAAGAAACATTGTGCTCAAGCACGGTCACTTTAATAATTTTGTACCACGATATACGTGACAGGAAAATACAACACGACCAAGGTAAAGAAAGATAGATATTGTAACACGACGACTTTTAAGCGGAAAATACATTTTCAAAGTTTGTCGTGTTTCATGCGGTGCGTGACCTAGTCTTTCCATCACCCTAGTCTTTGAAATGTGCTTCATTTAAAACTCTTGGAGGACCCGAGGCAAGTATAAGGATAACAAAGCTTCTAGTTTTCCTACATTAGGGAAATGAAAAAGAAAATGTCAATTTTTTTATCTTTTTCAAGTTTTTATGGACTAATTTAAAACTGGATAATAAAGACAATTTTTTTTCGTACATTAGAGAAAAAAAAAAGTAATTTGGGCATCAATTGAACAAAGATGCACTAATGGGCTTCACAATACTTAAAAACTATAGTAATGTTTTTTTTTTTTTTTTTTTTTTTAATGAGAGGGGAGAGATGCTTCCAAGACGAATCTTGTGAAATGTTCTTGCCAATGAATTCATGGGGAATGGTCCATTGTTTCCCTCACGGTTGTATTGAGTTTGGCGTACCAAGAAAACATTTTTTGTATTGGGCCTTGTGGATCAGTTTTTAACTTTGAGAGTATTGGGCTAGGACATTGACATGATCATAAGCCCAAATGCTCTGAAGAAAAGTCCAGAGCAATATAAAAAATATATGCATGCTGTATGCTGCATGCGTGAAAGGGAAGAAACAAATCATCCCATTGTATTCTTGAATCACATAACTCAGGATGAAATGTGGATAATTTTATACTTATATTTTGAAATAAAAGATGGAAGAATAACCCTTTTGGGATTTCATTTTTAACAACAGATTTCTTGCATGCATTTTTCAGTACATGTCTTTCTACATTAGGTTGCAGTTTTCTCATTTGCACTAATTAATAGAAGTAATTTTGTGATTTTAAGAAGGTAATGAAGAATGGAATCAAAGAATTGAGTGTTGTTTTAGTACAGTGACTAAGATAAACTAAGCTTTAAGTCTTTACTTTCAATATCAATTTCATTACCTTCTACTTGTTTTCTTGCTTCCAAATCAAAACCAACTCAATCTGTTTCCGGATTTTAGCCTTTTACTTCAACTATGGTTGATCATGACCTTTTCTAGAAAACTCATTCGTATCCATGAGTATTATTTTTGCCATTTCCTTGCTTGCTTGATAGTTGCTCTAGTATAATTCTTCTGTCTCTATCCCATCATAAAAACTACTGTTACAGGAACTGGTTTTGTTTAGATATACAGTACAGTACAGTAAAAAAAATTTTGAAGTGTAAATATAAATATGGAAAAATATAGTTTGAGTCTCACACATCTAAAATAGTTTGCAGAATCTCGTTTTTTCCAACTGAAACGTAGTTTCATTGACAATCAAAGTTGTACCTAACATATAATAAGTTTTCATTTTACCTCGCCTTTACACAGACTTTATCAACTTAAGTTCTAACATTTTATGATTTTAGAGTTGAAAAGTTAAAGAATCATGTGAAGGTGAAACAAAAGTAGTTGTGTAACACATAACAAGAGTAGTTCAGTTGGTGGGTCCAAAAATACCAATTCAGTCTTGGGAAGGTGAAAACACCACATTGAAGGTCACCAACCAGAGATTTGTGGGACAGAAGAGGGAAAGAGAGTAGTTACTCCATAACCAAATCCACTAAAAAACTATTACTATATGTGAGTCAAAGAAGAAACTAACCAAAAGCATAGGGTTAGCTTAACAAGAAGAAAAGGTGCCAACTGAATTCCCCCACCATGTATATACATACAAACATTAATTAATCAACCAACATGTTGATGTCTTGATGATGTGCCTTTGCTCTGTCTAAAACGTTTGTTGAGGGTGATCTTCATTCTTAAAATTGAATAAAGTTCCACAATTGCTTGCCCCCACTTCCCAAAGCTTTCAAGCAAAGTTTACATCATTGTATGCACTTCCATTCAATATATATATATATATATATATATACAAGGTTATGCTTTCTACTTCCAATGAATAAGAAGAAAAACTATAAAGGGTGTAATTTTGTTATGTGTCAACTTGAACAAAACGTTATATTCATTATATGTTTTTTAAACATTTATCTGTGATGTGAGTTGTAACATATATAATCATGTGATACAGCAAAAGGTTATGATAGAGGAAAATATGCAATTAACAGGAGTGGATGGTCCCATATGATGAAGCATTAAAACTGGGACACACCCTCCCTCTTCCGTGATTGAGGCTTCTCCTAAACCTATTATTAAACACCCCCCATTTTGATGGAGTAGTGCTCCAAAAGCTTACAATTGAAGGGTTTGCACAAATACAAATTGGATCAAGTCACTTGTTAATTAAGCATCAAAATTAATAAGATTACATTTTATAGCTTTTATAAGTAATTTGTTTATTGTTTACTTTTCATTATTATTTTCTCATTGTTAATATGGCCGAGAGAGAGAGAGAGTAATAAATAACACTTTGAACATGAAAAAGGAAAAAAAAAAGAAAAAAGTGATTTCCATAATTCCATGCGGACTATGTCCCATTGGGTCCACACGGACGCCGAATTCCCATGTCTGATCAAACGACCTTGTCAAAAAGCTCTTCCTTAACAAACGCACTCTTTCTGTAATCATATTTACTTGGAATTTTTCTATCCATAAATTACATTATCTTTATCCCTTTTTAATCTTTTTTAATTCTCGGTTTCAATGAAACTAAATTAAGATGTTTAACTATTTTAATATAATTAATCTTAAATATTTAACTATTCTAATATAATTATGTTGGCTCCCAATCTGAAAATAAAATTATTAATTAATGAATTAATTAACTGAAATTAAATAAAAATATTTGAATGTCAAAAGATTTCAATTGTAAAATTTAATAATATAAATAATCTTATTTAACTGATAAAATATCGCCACTTATAATATATACTGAATTAAAAAGTCTCATATTTAAAAAATGTTTTGAAAATAAACAACATTTTGTAATTTACGTTTTTCAAAAGGCAACTTATGTTTGCCAACTTGTCTCTTCAATAAAAACAAATAGAAGTTGGGAACATTAACGAATAGACAAATTCCATAATAATAAAATTATAAATAATGGTAATAATAAATTAGAGTCACAATCAGGTACACCCCAAATTCTAACATTGTCCCCTCTTTGCTAAAAAAAAAAAAAAGAGTCTTCCTTTTGATGTGGAAAGTGGAATATACCATTCTATAGTACTCGTTTATTTATTCATATCTTTCAAAATTGTGTTCGTTAATAATTAATACTTATCTTCAACTTTACTTAAAATAAAATTTTATAAGAAAAAAAGGTCAAATGTATTTATTTTCCATGCAATAAAATTGTGTATATATACTGTAAAAACAATGCACACTACATTCAAAATATATAATCCAAGCAAAATATTTTTTTCTAGTATTTGTACTACTTATAATTTATTTCAATTTTTAGAATATCATACGTATTTCTTAATATTAACATTTCTTATTTCTTAAAATTGGATTAACAGTTTCTGTCTTACTTGCAAGCAAATGTAGCAGAAGTGTACAGGAATTAGTCTTGGATTTGCACAGTAAGTCAAGATTAGTCTTGTAATCCCAAACCTCATGTTTAGTAATTACACATATTAATTATTATTAGGTTTATGAGAAAATCCAAAGCACCATGATCCAATACCACCCACCATCATAAGTGCCACAATGCGCGCCATTTAAAAGATTAAAGAAAAGGTGATAGCACTGTTACTGTTACATCACCCACTCTTTTTTTTTAATTTAAATTTGCTATTGATGTAGTATTTTTTATTTACTTAGGCATGGGTATATTAATTCAACAATTAAACTCTATTAAATTCTAAAAGTACGTAGGGAGTGAGTAAATGGGGTGGGAAATACAAATAAAGTATCTTTAACTGTATTTTGAACCGTTTCGCAGCAAAATAATAAATATATGACTCCCACACACAACAGACACAGTCATGGTCTTCACGTCTCTATCTCACAGGCATTCCACCCTATGTATAATTATTCATTCAATATAAAATATGTAAAAAAAAAAAACGGAACACTCTCTCTCCTCTTTCTTTCTTCCATTTCTACCGGAAAACGCAGCGTCACCGGAGCGGAGATCAGAAAACGCCACCGGCACATAGAAACCGGACCGGGACTAGAATCTCGGAAAATGCCACTCTGCAGGTACCACATTCGGAGCGTACACGCTCTGACGAATCCGGAGCTGCACCGCGCCGCCGATAGTGACGACTCCGAAGCGCTTCTCGAAGCCGTTGCAATGGCCGGACTCGTCGGCTTTCTCCGCCAGCTTGGCGACCTCGCTCAGTCAGTTCACTTTCTATCTCTAATTTCTCTCTCCGTAATCGCTTCCGTCGTGGCGCGGTTAAGCAATTCTAGTTGCGCTCAAGGTTTCCTTGATCGAGCTGAGTTTAAAATGAATGTTGCTGAGTTTGGAGAAATAAAGTTTTTGATTAACGCAGCATTTTAAATTTAATTGTTGTTAAGTTGTTGATGATGGAGTTTGTTAGAGGAATGAGCTTTGATTCAGCGAATTTTTTGTTTCTTTTGTTAGTTTGTTCGACAGATGGAGTAGGTGGATGAATCGATTTTTTTCTCTGCTTTTTGAAATATTTTGTTGTTTTGCTTGATTTTTGTATCGTGTGTTTTAGTAGTCGGGTCTGATCCATTAGATTAGATTAGATTAAGAATTTTGTTTCCGTTTTGGTTTCAACTTGTCGTTTTTTCCTTGATTTTTCGTTTGCTTTTGGTTCTTTTTGCTTTGTACGTAGCCACTTTTTCGAGAGGATGAAAGGAAGAAGAAAAGGCGTGCATAGATTGTTTTAATTTCTGGGTTGAGAATGGAAAGATGCTGAAGGGTTTGTTAAGTAGATGTTTAATTGAATGGAGCGTAGATTGAACGATGCTTTTTGGGTATTAAAAGATTTTTTTTTAAAATCACTGGAGGAAAAAAATGCTAAGCTGACTAGCATTACGGATGTTGTGGTTTTTCCTTTGATGGATGATGAGTGAGTGTTAAGGAATGAAGGGTCAATCTTAGCATCTACAATCAGCAACCACCCGAACTGAGCCCAGATGGCTTAAGGCCTGGATTGTGTTTTGTTTTTTATTTTTAAAAAGTTGTTCCGTAAAATAGTTTTGAAAAACTGTTTTTAGGAACAAAATAAGAATAAGAAAAACCTGTTTGATAATATTAATATTACTTTAAAAATCATTTAAGAGAGGTTAAATAGGTAATTTAGTCCCTTTATTTATTAAAATGTTTCAATGTGGTCCCAAAATTTTTAAAATTTTTAATTTAAACATGAATATTGAAATTGATTTTAATTTTGGACTACAGTTATATGTTTGTTTTAAAAGATGTATAGTTGGAGTGTAATATCCGTTCTGACGTGGTTAATGATTGGTTATAGTTACGTGGCAGACTTGTCACGTCACATTAAAATTGAAGGAAGAAAATAATAGGGTTGCGGATGTGTTTAGAATTTGAACAATTGAGAGTTTGTGTAAATGGGTGAGTGAAAGTGAGAGGATCTGCAACAACAGGGGAGGTGGGAGTTCCATTTGTGACGACAGTGAGAGTTTAGGGTACCAATCGCCGTCGTGTGTGAGATTGATTGTGGCGAAGGAGGAGGAGGTTGGTTCCATTTAGGGTTTGTAACGACGACATCGAGGGAGCGAGTTATTTCCGACGACGAGGGAAGGGGGGCCTGTGACGACGCGCGAAGTCAAGTACGTGAGAGACTATCTGTGACAACGAAGGAAGGACGATGACAAGAGAGGAGCGGTGATAAGTGACCATCGTCGACAAGATGGCACAAACTCTCAATTGATTATACCCTAAACACATCCGCGACCTCTATTTCTTTCTTCCTGCAATTTTAATGTGATGTGGCAAATCTGACACGTAACTATAACCAATCACCTAACCACATCAAAACTGATACTCCAACTAAGCATATAATATAACGGAGTTAAAACATAAATAACGGTAGTCGAAAATTGTCATCAATTTCAATATTCATATCTAAATTGAAAATTTTAAAAATTTTGGGACCACGTTGAAATATTTTAAAAAATAAAGGCACTAAATTACTTATATTTAACATTTAAGAGAAGAGAAAACAAATAAAAATTTGCTTCATAAATTTATCTCAAAACAAAGCTAACTGTTTCATTGTTCACAGAATTAAAAAAACAAAAGGGAAAATCGAGACAGCCTATAAATAATTATGTTTTTCAGTTTTGAAAACAATTAAATTGAAAATAGAGTCAGAAAAAATAGTTTTTGAAAATAAGCTACCTTAAGAGACTTTTTTAAGTGTTTTTTTTTTTTTAAAAAAAAACATTTTAAGGACAATTATCAAACAGGAACTTAATATTGTGGATTTTATTAAAATGCTTCTGGCAGGGAAATTTATGCATGTCACAATAGTTGGACTAATCCTGGCATATTTTTTTCTTTGCAATTTCATTATTAAGAATTAATTCCATTTTGTAGTCCACATCAACTTGTAACGTATTAACATATAATTCTACTATTGTAATATTTCTGCATTTAACTGTACTTTATGGGTTAGATTTGCTGCTGAGATGTTCCATGACTTACATGAAGAGGTATTGGCTACTGCGGCAAGAGGTCACAGTCTTATATCTCGTGTTCAACAGCTTGAGGCTGAAGTTCCAGCACTTGATAAAGCTTTTTTGTCACAAACACATCATTCATCAATCTATACAAATGGAGGTTATATTAATCAGTAGAGACCTTTTGATTACTGTTTGTGTCTGCATTATTCACCGATTGGTGATAATGTTCACTTGACAGATTTTAACATGCTTTTGCATTGCAGGGATTGAATGGCATCCTAATCTTCGGTTTGAACAGAATCTTGTTACTCGCGGAGACTTACCTCGATTTATAATGGATTCATATGAAGAATGCCGTGGTCCTCCAAGATTGTTCCTTCTGGACAAGTATGGTAACCTGATTCTCAGAACACGGTTTTAAAAAAAAAATAGAAGATTATGACAATATTTTGTAACTTCTGTTATAAATATTTGAAGCTTGTGTTTTTTCTTTTGGCCGTGAAAGGTTTGATGTGGCTGGGGCTGGGGCATGTCTGAAGCGTTATACCGATCCATCGTTCTTTACAGTGAAGTCTGCTTCCTCTGGAACAGCATCAGCAGAAGTTCAAAGGGAAAATAAAATTCGTAAAATTAAGGTATTAAAACTGATTGTGCAACTTAAATCTCGCAATTTTCTGGAAAATTGATCTAAATGGCACCCAAAACAATTTTATGCAATGGAAAGTTGAATATTTGCAACTTTGAGTACATAATATATTTAGTTTTTTGGTATCCAGCAAAAGAAAGGAACACGACTGAGGAATGGTGAAACCCCTGAAGTTGTATCATCACATGCAAAGTGAGCTCCAATTATTTTATTCTGGTGCATTAATTATTCTTCTGGTTTTAGAGATGCAAGGTCTTTAAATAGTTATTTAGTGACTCAAACTCGATCCATTTCCATTATTGCAGATTGCATGAGTTGTTACTCGAGGAGCGTATTGAGAATGCTTGTAGGGACCCTGCTCGACTAGTGAAGTTGAAAAATAAACAATTGAATGGATCTGCAGTTGAAGAAAAATCTGGAAAAAGTTACATGGAGAAAATTCTGGAAATCCCCTCACCTGATCATAAACTGGTTTGTGAAACGTCAATCATTCCACAGCCTGGGAAATTGGCATTAGATGACACTGAAAGTGGGATTAAAACTCTTGAAGTCAGTAGCATAACTCCGTTGAATAGGTCTTTGGGAAATGAAAACATGTGTTCAACACCAAATGAGCCGGAACTAGAACTGAATTCCTACACAGAAATGGATAGGGAAACAGATCCACATATTGTGGAGGTGAATGAACAAGTCTCTGGTGGTTTAACACAGGAAATGTCTTCAACTTATCTAAAGGTAATTGATGAAGCAGAATTGGTGTTTGATGAACAAAATAAAAGAGAATGTAGCTTAGATAGCTACCACTCTTCTGATGTGACTAGCGAGGTTGATGATTATATGGATGCATTAGCTACCATGGAGTCTGAATTGGAAACAGATAATGAGTATGGACCTATGAAAAACTTATTAAATATTCAAAATTTAACTGATTTAAATGGCAAAGGAGAATCTCAAATGCAAGCTCAGTTTTCAGATTCTCAATCATTTGGAGACTCTTCAACTTCTGAAGAAATTAGTTCATTTGAGCAAGATAGAATTGGAGAGAATAATGAAGGACAAGGTCTGTCGTTAGATTCTCCTTCAACAGGAACCTCCTGGGCATCCGATGATAATAGTTCATTCAGAAGAGTTAGAAATGCAGAGCATTCAGAACTACAGGTACGGCTTTCAGATTTTCCAACTATGGGAAACTCCAAATCGCAGATTGAAAGTATGCCATCCAACATGCTTCCCCCAACTTTTGAGTTGCAAAGGACTAATTGTCGCGAGTTTGTCATGCATGGTGATGCTCATGTTCAGGGTGAAGTGATTTCTGATTCTATACCAGTCTCTTCTGGTCTGATAGATTCTGAACATTCATTGGTGTCTTACGATCTTGGAGCTGCCTACCTAGCGTCCCTACCTGCACAGAGTCACTCAGATGAAACACCATATGACCCTGCTGAAGTTCATTTAAGAATAGAAGATGATGAAGAAAAGGAGTGCCTTGTTGAATCTATAGTCGCCAGACCCGATGCTCTCTACCTAATAAGAGATGATGCTTGCCCAGTGGTTTCTTGTGATAACAATCCTTTGAACAATTTGAATGTCTGTGATCCTTATGGCCATTCTAATGCTCTATTACAAGTTTCTAATGAATTAAACTTAGCTCATGAAGGTGAATGTGGTGATCCTTCTGAGATTGAAGTTTTGCAGGAAGAATCTCTCAATGAATACTCTTCTGAAATGTTGGTTTGTGAAGATGTTGATATTCATGGGGACGATCCGACTTGCCTATCTGTGGAAGTAGACCTGAATCCAGGTACTAAGCTATTGCTTGATGGCCGAGATTTCAAATATGAGGATGATATCATAGCTACCAAGCTGAACTCAGAAGATCTGTTTCCTGTTGCGGAGACTACACCAAAGTGTTGTTTTACAGAGGAGCTATGCGCTGATTTTACACACGGAAACAAACCAGATTTTGCAGAAATTGACGTTCTGCATCCTGATCAGCAAGGAAATTTCAAAGAGGTGCCAAGGATATTGGGTGGTCACGAAACAAATGGATCAACCTGCAGTTTGGATCTAGTTGAAGACGATGGTCATATTGAACATCCATCTTCAGATATAATATCATCTTCAATGAGTAATCTAACGAAGTTGGAAGAATCTCTTTCTATTTTTGCAGATCCTCATCAGAAAGAGACGAAAGTCAATGAGGCAGATAGTAGAGAATTTTCGACAGAATTAGCAGCCCAGAGGGTAGTGGATCAAGTAGTTATTGCTTCGACTGGATTTCCGTCAAACATGAATAGATCAGTTCCATTTGATCCTTCCGATTCTGAAATGTGGAATAATAATCAGCATTCATCTCTTAGGGAGAAAATTCAATATAGCTCTTCGATCAATGACCTGAAAACATTGCCTGTTTGTTTGGATCTAAACTCTCAAAGGTCATCTGATCAACGAATTAGCCCAACAAAACATGTCATGGATCCACCAAAACCACTTATTTATGACTTATTACTTAAGGCAACTAAAAACAATCTCGAGGAGATGCCACCTATGCCCCCGCTACCACCAATGCAATGGAGAACGGGCAAGATTCAAAATGGTTTCCTAGTTACAGAGAGAGAAGTAAGTCTAGCCTCACTCCTATCAACACAGCCAAATAAACCTGATGACAAGTCTCATTTTGGTTTATCAACTTCTGAAAAAGAGAGCCAGTCATATCAGGATCTATTTTTACCTGCCATGGCTATGGAAAGCAATAGGCATCAACATTGTTCTGGGGTTTCTGTGGGAATTTCAGATTATCCTGTTGCTATTCCTTTTCAATTTCCTGTAATGTTAAATGAACCAAATGGTCAATATAATTTCCTGGTTCCAGAGCAAAGCCAGATACAGAACCCTTTCTTAACATTACAGGACAAGCCTCCACTTGGATATGTTGTTGCTTCGGAGGGAGAAATGGCATTCAATTCTAGTTCATACTCATCAACACTGCCTGATGTGTGTGCTATTTCTGGGGCTGATCCCATTGCCAGCTTAGAAGTTAAAATGGATTTGGTGCTACCTGAAGAATGTCCTGTTTCTGCAGATGATCCCGTTCCTCCAAAAGAGAAACTAACACAACCTTCAAGTCAGTTGAGGGAAGAGACTAGTTTAGAAGTTGAAATTCCTAAGCAGTCTTCAATTAATCTGGAAGAGAGGATACAAGAAGATACTTCAATCTCACCCATGTCGCCTCCGAGTCCAGGAATTGAGCAGACCAATCACAATCTGCCGCCTTCAGAGGGAAAAATGGCGTTTCCCCAAGCATCCGAGCGTGATACTAAGATGCTAGATGGAAAACCAAAGAATAAGCGTCCTCTCCCCCAAGATCCTATAATTGATCCTGTTGCTGCTCTAGACAAAAGCAGGGTAATGACAGTTTTCTTGTTCTCATATCCTTTATGTAGTCTTAAAATTCTTGCATGACACACTGCCTTTGAACCACTGCAGCTGAGGAAGGTCACTGAACGGGTTATGCCCCCCAGAGCACCAAAGGGTGATGAAAGAGACTCACTGTTAGAAATGATAAGAACGAAGGTTAGAGCTAGCAAAGTTTATCTTATTATTCATGCTGTTCATTTGTTTCTTGTGATTAAAATTTTAAATGTATATACATTTTTTGTCAGTCCTTCAACTTGAGGCCTGCTGCGGTTAACCGACAACCCAGCATCCAGGGTCCGAAAACGAACTTGAGGGTTGCTGCCATCCTGGAAAAAGCAAATGCAATTCGTCAGGTCTATCTCTCACTCTGTTTACCGTAACAAGTGTTTGCTCCTCAACCCCTTCTCCCAGCACCAACTAACTAACCTAATTTTAATTATTGAATTAGGCATTGGCTGGAAGTGATGAAGATGACGATGCAGATAGTTGGAGTGATTCATGAATTTAAACACTGTAACGACTCATTCTCCCCGGTAATGAATAGGAAAACTACGTTATACAGTCATACAAAAGATTCTTTATCCTGCACTATATTCATATATGATGCTCTAGGATACTCTAGATAACACATGTTCCCTCCCTAGTCAGAGCCAGAGCCTTTTTCGGAGGTGAAACTCACTTCATTCAGATTCAGGCTCAGCGTGCAAGTGCAGTACCAAACAGCATCAACAAATTCTTTTTTTCTCCTCTTATAAGAAGAACGTGTATATTTGTTTTTGTGCTTGTTATATTTCTTTGATTGATCAATTTTGTAATCCGGTATGTAGGGGTTTTACCATAATTCTCTCGTATCATGTAGTTCATCTATGTTTGCTCTGTGTTTGTAAAATACACTTTATTTTATGTACAGTATTAGCCTTTTGTTATAGAGTTTAATGATTTTGTGTTATTAATTTAAAACAATTTATCCCATCAACCAATTAGAAATTATTATTATTATTACTATGATTTTTAAGATAGTTATTTAAAAGTCGACAAACTTTTGTATATAATACTTTGTGATTAGATAGCAATATAAATTGTTTAATAGTCAAACATAGTTTTTTTTTCTTTTAATATAAAATAATAAACAATTCATAAAATTTTATATTTATGCTATGGACAAAATAATATTCACTTAGTATTTTATTCACTATTGGAGTTAAATTTGTCATTTTACTTGAAATGATTTTTTTTTTTAAATTTGAAGTCAAAACAAGTTTATTTGAATTAATTGTGAATTTTCTAAGTTTAATAAATTTTTGTGAAAAAAAAATTGTTATTCGAGTTTTAATTTTATAGTATTATTTCATAGATGTTAAATTTAATTAAAATAACTTAAAATTTGAAAGTGGCACATAATTAAATAACCTATGTCTATCTTCATGATATCAAGTAGTTTGCTTCAACCGTAGTTACAGTTGTCACTTCAATGGTTTATGATACATATTGCCTTGGTGGCTTTTTATAATTATTAGATTGCATTTTATAGATACATTTAAATTGATTGCTCACTTATTTATGAATTTCCATGGAATTGAGTCAACACATATTGCATTGCATGGCCGTTAGAATATGACATTGTTTTGCATGCCTTATTTTGTTGTTAAGAATAACTTGGCTTAGAATGCTTGTGTTAAGGAACTTACCCTAACATGTTTATTTATATGCATTTGACTTATGTGATGGTGATATGCATTTGATTCTTCTTACTCACTTGCTTTTGTGCCTCCCTTCAATTCAGAGAATTTTGTTCAGATGGTGTCTAGTACTTACCAATATGGAACATTTTATTCATCGAGATACATTCACATAGATACAGAGATTACTTGGGCAATTTCATATAAAAGCACGTTGTTAAAGAATTTGAGTTTTATATGTGTCATATTTATTGTTACCTCTTTCATTACACCAGGAAATAACGTTGAAATTATGTTATAGGAAAAGTTCCTTAAATGGTCTTATTTTTTATTTCAAATTTCAGAGAATTGAAAATATGCTTATTAATTTTGTTAGTATTGTTTGACAAATAATGTTTTTGGATACTAGTTAAAATGGTATTTTTAAAAACACTAGCTTCTGACTTAATATATCAATTTTATCCTTAAACTATTTATTAATTTATTTTATTATTTTTTATAAAAAGTATGTTTTCATTATTATTATTATTATTATTATTATTATTATTATTATTATATTACACTTTTTAACCATTATATCAATTAACACACTTAGAATATGATGTTTGCGTAAAAAATAGATATTTCACTTTTATTTAAAGTTTGATTGAAAAATATTATAAAATATAGATTTAATTATATATAATATAAACTAATTTTAAAAGGTAGAAAATTAATACTGTTATATTTTTATATTTAAGAGTTGTTATACTTTATTGTAGTAATCATTATTTTTAATGTTAAAATATAAAACAGTAGACAAGTAACAAGAACATTGTTGGAGAGAACACAGCTCCGAACGCCGCCGCCTGGTAGCTGTTCTATTTTCGTCTCTTGAAACTTCTAACCCCTTCTTAATTCTTCTTTCATCATCTTCACACAGCATTACCAACAGCATAAAAGGTACCAACCTTGCAACCCCTTTTGCAGTTTGATTTTCTAAGTGTTCCAGTTCAATCTGAAACCTACCCTTGATTTTGTATTTTTAAAAGAATTCTGGGAAATTAACCCTTTTTCATTAACCCCTGTTGATTTTTTTCGTCTCAGATACGAAGGAAGAAAAAAACCCCATTTTTGAAGCAGAGGCATGGAGAGCACGGGGCGTGTACCACTGTCGGATGTAGTGGCAGATTGTGTGCAGCGGTGGTTCAAGGACACTCTCAAGGAGGCTAAGGCGGGTGATATCAACATGCAGGTCTTGGTGGGTCAGATGTACTATCATGGCTATGGTATTCCCAAAGATGGTCAGAAGGTGTGTTGCTTTGATTTACTTGTTGTTGTTTTCCTTGGATTCACTTTACTTCATTGAGCTTTCATTGGATTGGGATTGGTTTGTTGTTTGTGGCAAAAGTTATCTGTTTCCGGGGTTGTACTTCAGTCAGAATTGGAGTTTAATTTATGCTGATTCTTAATGCAAGTAAGCGTTTTAGCTCTTTCTATGATCCTAAAACATGTACATTTTAACACACACACACACCTTTATCATGCTTGTATTCCTATGTACATGTGTCTAGAGTAGCAGTGCAAGAAGTTCTATCAAATTGAATAGTCTTTTTAGCCTGTGAGGTCAGTCTTTCTTCTTTTATTAGTGTTGAAACTCAATCTTTTGTGTTTTTCAATTTTAATGTTTAAATGTGTAGTACACAAAAATGATTGCAGAAATGTATGTAAAGAGTTTGTATCGCAAAATATGGATTACTATGGACGATTAATAAAATACAAAGAGCAATAGTGTAATTATGAATGATGTGTGGAATGTAGATGTACTTGTTCGTCATTTTCTCTTGTTTCCAAGGCTGATGTTATTGGTTTGGAAATGAAGGGAAGACTTTGGCTGACTAAAGCGTCGAGGGTTAGATCTTCTGTCTGGAGAGTTGGCCGTAAACCTCCAGGTACATCCTCCCTTTGCTAGCATAATATTATCTCTGTTTTCCCTTGTAATTTAGTGTGACAAATTTTGTTGCGGTGCATTTTTTACAGGTTATAATGCAAGTGATTCTGAGTCTGACGATTTGGAAAAAGATTCTAGTGGGTGTGCACACTAAATTTGATTGCATGTCCAAAATTCTGAAAGGTGATTTTATCCTAATCTCTGGACAATTCATGCCGTTAGTGATATTGCACTTTTCAGGCCACATTTATTATCTAATAGAAAAACATGAGGCTTGGGCTTTTGAAATGCGTGCCTTATTTCTTCCTATTTTGATTGTTGTGTTTTATATCAAGTAACTCAAATTTTTCTGGCTTGTGAGTTTTACGTCCTATTTTCTTGTTAGTTGTATTGTATCTGTCTGTCATCTTTGAGAATGATGGGTTTTACATATTAGTTCAATTGTAATTCCAGTTCCACTGTTTTTTTAAGCAACATGCGATTGATGATTGGTTTTATGTTCTGGGATCTAGATATATGTTATGTGTTATTAGGCATGTGATATGGCTTCAACACATGAGTTCAAGAGTTATGCCTAGTCTACCTGGGAGCGAGGTTTTGAAAATTAAGTATTTTATTTCTATCCTGCTTACTTTCACTTGGATTTTAAAAGTTAACATGAATTACATATTTCTCTTATATTTTGTTTGTTGATACACATATCTACAATGTTGTGTTTGAAAATTAGATTTAACTAGTCTCACTAAAAAAGTAAGTCATATAAATACTGTCAACATGCCAATATGCGAAGCTTATCCTCTAATGCGTTTTTTATAAGTTGACTGTGATCTACTACATTCTTGGGAGAAAAAGCTTTGAATATGTGGTTTAAAAGATGTAGATAATATTGCAATGCAACTAATTTGGTGGTTGAATTTGGTTATGACACTTTTCTTAACCTTCTTGAAGTTTGATAGAGTTTCTGAGAAAGTCTGCTGAAAGTTAGTTAGATCATTAGCCAGGGCTTGGATTGGGTGGCATATAGATTTAGGTCAGCATATATTCAATTTGATCTCATTTTCACAGTGAGAGGGCAACATTGAAGAACAATGTTGCATTTTGTCCAATATGTGCTGTGGTAAATCCTGTGCAGTGTGAAACCACTAAGCAACAGTTTAGATAAATCTATTCTTTCTCTGCTGAAGCCCACACATTGCATCAAATGCACAAATTGCCTATGGGGAGGAATGCAATATACTGATATTAAAGTACGATGGAAAGTAATGTGGTACAACAAAGTCGGATAATCGCCTGAGCCATTGAGCTAATGGATGTTTTGGAAGTGTTAACTGCTAAGTCTTTGCATTTTAGTGCTTCACATTATAACATACAATTCTTGATTCACATATTAAACTGCCCTTTCTGATAGATTTGATCTTGTGCTTCTTTGTTTTGTAGGTGTGTGTGGCATCCTGCTTCTTCGTAGCCACCGTTTATGTTCTTGCGACTTCTGGATTTTATCTTGCTTTGTGGTCTGTGTATGATATATGCTACACCATTTTTTAAATCAAGGAAAAAGAAAAGGAAACATTATTGCACTTGTGAGCAAATTGCTTGATGATTGAGGGTCTTTTTCCTTTCCTTGATATGTCACCATATCATGCCAAATAGAAGAAGGAACGTATATATTTGTTCATACATTTTTAATCTGGAATGCAGTTTCAGGCTTCCAAATTATGTTAATCTTTATGCTTTAGATATTTATCTGTCTAGTTAATCTCCCACATCAAGGTTTGGATATCCAATTGCAATGATAAAAGAATATGGAATGGTTTGGGGATAATAATAATAGTAATAATAATATTCATGATTAATAAGAAAATCCTAGGTTTAAGCTGGACTCCTGGTGTTATGTTGCCGTAGCCCCATCAGCGTTTACCTTTTTGTTCAAGCAAAAAGAGGGGAGTGAATCTCAATGATCTCATCTCTTTAGTGGGTCTGTATGTTTTGGTTGCTGTGTCAGTTTTCTAACTTTAAGGGTAGTAGTATCCATTATCCGTATATGTCTGGTGTGAATAATACGGTGGAGATAAATTTAGGATATCGATCCGTGTTTTTCGTCTTTGTCATACTTGATTTTGACTGTCTCAAAGTTTTGCAAAGGTCGTTTAAGAATCGATTTACGGTTAGATCAACCTAAATTCATAGTGTATCGCATAACAGGACTAAACCTTTATTTATTCATGGACTAAAGTTAAATTTGTTTATCATTATTTTCTATAAATGTTTATGGATAAATTTATTCAAACAAATTCTACATAAATAAAAGATTGATAAGAGTACCGAGCAAAGACATGAAGGAAAAAAATCAAAGGGGGTAAGTGAAAGAGAAAAGAAAACAAAAACATGTTGAAAATAAGATTAAAATAAATATTTGTTTAGTTCAAAAGAAATAGAGCATAAATTATTTTAAATATTTTTTAATTAAAATAAATAAATAATTTTTGAAAATAAATATATTTTTTAAAATTATGAAAATTAAGATTTTGCTGACAATTTGATGTAATTTAAAAATAATTAAATTAATTTTTGTTATAATATTATTTATTTTTAAAAGTTAAAAATGAGAATTTTTATAAATTAAATATTGGAAAGTTACGTTTGAAAAGATCAATTTTGTAATGAAGTGATATTTTTAAATATGAGGTATATTTTTTTAATTTTTAAAAATATATTCGTTTTCACAAATAAAAAAAATTACACCAAATCAGAAAAATCTTAATTTTCATAATTTTTTTAAAATATACTTTTTTTCACAAATAAATAATATTATTAAACCAAATTCGTAAAAAAATCCTCAATTTTATGCTGTCCTTTAAATGTTAAGGTATCAACGGACTCTTAGAAGTATATTTTGAAGAACTCTTAATAATCCAAGTATAAAATGGAACTGGTCTATTATTACAAAGGAAAATAGTTGTTGTCCATTCTTCCGTGTCCGTAAATCTTCACGGTTCAACTCAATCAACATTTTGACCACAGCTTTTGGGTCTTCATGTTAAATGCGCTTGTCTATAATGTCCCAGAAAATGAGTGGAAAGCAGAGAAATCGTTTTTTAGCTTCTGCGTTGTTTTTTCTTTGTTATTTGTTAACCAATGTCCGTATTTTACAAAAATGACTTAAACCAAGAACCAGATTCTGGCTGTAAAACTCTGCACAAATAAATGCAAGTGACAACCAACAAAAATATATAGCATCTGATTCGAGTTATGATAAAAATATTTTCAAGAACATAATGCCTCAACGAGGACTCGAGATTCTCTTATTAATAATTTAACATGTTAATCACATGTTACCGAAAGAGAAAAAAACACAAAATAATAATGATAATAAGGCCATTCATTGTAGTCTATGGCTTTTATTTGCCATGATAAATGTGATCCCCAAAATTCAGTGCACACATTGAATGGTTGCTTGTAGCGGTTATGACTGTCCACAATGACGTGGTGATGACTGTCCACAATGACATGGTGATGACTTTAGATGGTTTTATGATGGAAGGGTAGATATTTTGAACATTTCACAGGGTAAAAATACTATCATGCTATGGAAATGAGTGTGTAAATAAGTGCGAAATTAATGTTAACCCCAAAGCTCATTTACCAAGTTGTGGCCATATTTTAACCTTTAAGAAACATGAATGCATAGCTATAAGCAGCTGAGAATTATCTAGCAACTGAAAGGAGGACAAATAATTCCAAATGTGATTGTCTACTGCCAGAGTTATTAAATTAGATTGCATGGCTGAACATGCTCATTCATGAGAGAGCTTTCAACGGACGATACACAGTAGAATTACGCAAAGAACTCTATTGTAGAAGCCTTGAAGGAGTACTAGCATTTATGCTGAATAATCATCATGCAATACTTATAACACTTATTTGATAACCAACATTCAATGACTTGGAGTGTGTGGAACGGATAGAGCCCGACAAACTACTAATGGAAATACATATTTGGAACAAAGGCAATATGATTGTGAAATAACAACTCTGTTCAAAGTTTTTACTTTGTAACAATGAAAACACCAAATAAAAACACTGCAATTTCACTCCACATAATTGGTACAGAAAAATTGGTCAAGTACTGTTCCCTGGATAATTATTATTTTAACCAAAAAATTCTTCATAGTGAAATGACAAGAACCTATAAAATTAGACATGGCACATTCTGCTTAACCAGATGAATCATAGATTCACGTTTTCCAAGTACCATTTATACGTATCAACAAGACCATCCTTAAGGGAGACTTTTGGTGTCCAACCCAGGCTTGCAAGTGTGGAGCTATCCATCAGCTTCCTTGGAGTTCCATCAGGCTTAGTAGAATCCCAGACAAGATCCCCCTCAAATCCCACCACTTCCTTCATCAACTCAGCCAATTCCTTAATAGTAACCTCCTTTCCACTCCCTACATTCAAATGCTGCAGTCCACTATACTTTTCCATCATGAAGACAACTGCATCAGCCAAATCGTCAACATGCAAGAACTCCCTCAATGGACTCCCCGTGCCCCACACCACCACCTCCTTAGCTCCTTTGACCTTTGCTTCGTGAAACCTTCTCATGAGAGCAGGTAACACATGCGAATTCTCAGGGTGAAAATTGTCATATGGTCCATATAAGTTGGTGGGCATTCCCGAAATTGCATCCCACTTATACTGAATTCTGTAAGCTTGGCACATTTTGATCCCAGCAATCTTGGCAATAGCATACCATTCATTTGTAGGCTCTAAGGGTCCAGTAAGCAAAGCATCTTCTGGAATCGGTTGGGGTGCAAACTTGGGGTAAATGCAAGAGGAACCCAAAAACAATAGTTTCTTAGCTCCATTGCGATAAGCAGAATCAATGACATTGGTCTGGATTTGGAGGTTGATACCAATGAAATCAGCAGGGTAGGTATTGTTGGCATGGATGCCACCAACTTTGGCTGCAGCTACAATGACAAATTCAGGTTTCTCGGAGGCAAAGAAGGCCTCAACATCAGATTGTCGAGTGAGATCAAGCTGAGCATGAGAACGTAAGACTAAATTAGTGAACCCAAGTTGGGTCAACTTGCGGACAATGGCCGCACCAACAAGACCCCGGTGACCAGCAACGAACACCTTAGCATATTTGTAATCTAGAAATGAATTTGATGACAACGCTGCAAAAAATAGACCAAAATACTCAGAAACACTTTTAAAATCAAAGCATAACAAAATAATTTACCCATTCTTTCAAATTTAATAAGTAGAATGCACTCAAAATCACAGATCCTCATGTATGATAAGTTTGTTGAATCTTATAATAACTGTTTTAAATGTCATATCTAGCATGATTTATGACTGGTTAATCCCATATAACTAATTTGTTTTGCTAGAAAAAAGTCGGCAATCCATCAAATTATAGTTGAATTCTAACAAAATTTTCAGGGTATGTAGCATTACTCATCTAAAGAATTAAAACAATCCATTCAAGTTGAGACTCATCTCAGGAAGTTTCAATGAACAATTTTATAGACAATCAAACAGATAGAAGACATGAATGAAGTGGAGAAAAACCGTTATTGTCTTGGCTTCCCATGCTTGTCTGTGTTGGTTGGTTTACACAACAGCTAAGCTATTCCACCTTTAAACTTCAAACCAAACCTGAAACAAATTAAACGTTTACACTATAACAGCACCCTCCCCCCTCCAAATCAATGAACGACACCAATTGGGGTCTCAACTCTGAAGCCCACTTCCAAAACGACGAAACAAAACGATGGCGGCAACAAAAATTGAAAATTTACCCCGAATTTGAAGAGAAATCAAAACCTTTTGTTTAGAAGCTAATACGGATGATGGTGCAGTGAAACCTTGGAAACCGGGCCACGGTAGAGTTAGATTCCGGAGAATAGACTCCGGCGACCGTAAGCTCAGATCTGAGAGATTTCGGCGAGATCGAATCAGAAATTTGCTATTGTTTACCCTCTTCTGTCACTCACTCTATCTATGTTAGTCTTTTCATTTTCACCATCTATATATGACAACATTATCTCTCTAACACATTTTTTTAAATTATTCATTAAAGTTTATTAACATTATAAATTTATAGAATTTCATTCATTATTTAAGTAAATTCACTCATCATTTTAAATAATTTTTTTAGTGAATCATAATATCCTTGTGTGGAGGTATAAATAAATAATTTATTTTTAAATCATTATTTATAATAAATTCATCAATTACAAACAAAAAATAGATTAATTAAATCTATTCAATTAATTTTTATAAATAATTAAAGCATTTATTACTTTTCAAATATAATATATTTTTTCCTCAATACTATATAAAATACAAATAGAAAAATTTTCTTTTAAATATAAGAAACATATAAAAATATATTCATAAACAATATTAGTAAATTAATTGAATAACTTCTCATCAAATGGATTAAATTACATTTTATAATATTTTTCAATGTATAAAAATGAATTAATGAATTGTTTTTATTCCATGTATTATAATCTAAATTAAAATGTATGTAATTCATCCTTTTTTCCAAACTTAATGTAGATTACACTTTTTTTTCTTTGATTAAGAAAAATATTTATGTGAGTTTAGTCTGATAAAAACATATCTTAAAGACTTAAAAAAATGTAGAAATATTAACGTGTTTTTTTTTTTTTGGGATATGAAACTCATGTTTATAGGATGTGTGTTCTTATTAATTAAGTATTTTTAATGACAAAAAAAAATTGACCTAAAATCAAGTTATAGATGGATATATGATTGAAATATGGAAATTAATTTTTCTAAAACTATATTTAGATTTATTTTTAATTAATTAATAATGCAAAACTTTTTGTACCAATAATAAATTCAAATCATTAATACAACAATGTTTGTAATTTGATATTACAAAATATATTTCTCTGACATTTGTTTTTTTTGGAAACCTTCTTACATTTTAATATAAATAATAGAGTATATTCCTTAAATATTCGTTTGTACTTGAGCCCAGACAATTTTGTGAAATTTACGAATCAAACGTTATGGCATGTCGTGACAACCTACGTAGCTTCCATTCCATATAATAAGTATGTTCTCGGTCCATGCAACCAAAACTCAAACCAGATTTTGTCTAATAATATATTAAAAAATGCAAAATAAAAAATATATATTGTGGTAGTCTAACCAAAAATAGATGTTTGTTAAATTTATAACATTTTAAAAGATCATTAAATAAAATAAGAATAGTTCAAATTTATTTATATTTTAAAAAGTGTTTTTATTTTTTACTTGTAAACAAGAACTATATGTAATATGACATATATGGTAGAGAGGAAATTTCATGAAATATGTGTATTAATTAACATGAAATGTTTTAATTTAATTAATAATCTCAAATTTGTATAACATATGAGTATATTTAAATAAAATTATTTTTATAGATAATTTTAAAAAATAAAATATATTTTTTATAATAATTAAAATATATATATATATATATATATATGTATATATTTTTAAAATTAATCATTGATTAATTTTAAGTTATTTATTTTTCCACTTTCTCTCTTTTATAAATACTTCTTATAAATGATTTTCTCTACAAATATTTATATTAAATGTATAGGATTTCACTGTAATTTTAGTGAACAAATTTATTTAATAAATTCTTAACTATTGTTCTTTTAGGCTGCATTTAACACAATGAATTTTTAAAGAATATATATAAAACAAACAATGTGGAAACAAAATAAAAAGAATATATAAACAAAATAAAAGAGGTCCTACCGGGAGTCGAACCCAGGTCGCTGGATTCAAAGTCCAGAGTGCTAACCACTACACCATAGAACCTGTTTAATAGTTTAAACAAACTTTAATTATTTATAAAGTTAAGAATGATATAATTACTTGTTATTAAAAGAGGGTTAATCTGTCATAAATGATGGGATACATTCAATATTCATCTCATGTGGTTCTCTGGTTCTGCAGATGGCATCTCCAAAAGTTATTCTCTGTGATCTCTTTGAGTAACTCAACCCAACAAGAAATCTTCACACATAAACAAATCATTAGAAACGTCTATAGTTATTTAACCAATTCAGAAATGAAAAACAACCAACAACTCTTCTAACAAAACGGTCAAATAAATAATTGAAGATATACATTAAATGTTTAGTTAGTTTGATAACATTGGATTTCTGACATTGGTACCACATAACCAGACAGCAACACAATCCAATAACACATCCTATATTTTCCAAGCCGACCTTCCCTCTTTCCATAATGTAAAAACTTTTTGTTTGGTAATTTTCTTCCAACTATTAAGTCTTTACTCTTATTTAAGTTATGAGGCTTTATTTACTTATTTTCAAGTTCATATGATCTTATATTATCACATTATTATAATTCTAATCAATCTTCCCATAATATATAACAATATTTTTAATACATATAAGATAAAAATGATTTAAGATAATCATAATCTTAATTCATATAATAATTTCTTTTGATACAAAACCATCCAATAATTTGTGTTATAATGTAATAAGGGTGGTAGCAACTAGCTGGTAGGCTAGTCAAACCCACAAGTCTTGACCCGATTCAGTTTTCCACGGTCAAACATTTCTTCAGCTTCCTAGAAGCTCCTTCCAAGACTTTTTGCTGGTGTTTGCAAGCTTTGCCACAAAATCATGCACTAATTCCCTCCCTCTCTCTCACCTCTATATCACTATTCAGTCCTGTCTCGTCTCCTTATATCATGCGATACACTACTTTCTGTTTTTCCAATACAAATTCAAAGCCAACCAACCTTTTCTTCATTCAAGAGGACATTTTTCACTCACCTTCTTTCCAACAATAATAACAAACAACAATACTAGTAACATGACCATGGGAGATCATAATAACTGGGGAACTTCTGAACTTAATCATCATCAAGTTGAACTTGATGTTCCAAAATTCAAGTCTGTTCAACCTCCTTCACCACCCCTCTCTCCCTCTCCAGCCTCCCCTTCTTCTTACTTGGCCTTTTCATCTGCTTTCAGCCCATCTGAGTTTTTGAACTCTCCTGTGTTTTTTCCTTCTCCAAATGTAAGTTACAAACTCTCTCATGTAAATCAGCAAGTGTGGTTTGGTTTCTTGTTGTGGGGCATCACTAATTGTGGGGTTTTCTTTGGTGTTACGTGTGTGGTTTTAGACTTTTGCATCTTCTACTACTGAGGCTTTGGCTGGTCAGACCTTCAACTGGAGGAGCGTTTCAGGAGAAGAACAACAACGTGACAAGGAAGATGAGAAAAACTACTCTGACTTCTCTTTCCAAACCCATATTCAATCTTCCTCAGACATGTTTCAAGTGGTGAGCACTGTTGTTTTTTGTCACCATTTGACTTAAAAAATTATTATTTTCTGTGTCTTTTTGGTTATTATTTGATCATCAAAGACACTTGGAGGCCGGTTATTATTCTCTTTTCTGTTATTTACATATTTGGACTTGTTTCCAATATTAGCTTCATAGCTTTCTTGTCTTGTATGACTTTGTTGGTCAGTTTCTTGTTTACTTGTTTTTAATGGTCCTTTGTATTATTTTCTTCTTCTTTGTTCATCTTATCTTTCTATTTTATTTTTGTTGGCATAAACACGGTTTGAACGGTTAAAACAAAATTTGCGTAGCATATTCCAAGTTCAAAAAGTCTAATCTAAAAGTATGTCAATGTATGTTTCTATGTTTTGACAAGCAACAAACTTTCACTGTAATGATATAATCAAGCTGCATAATCACAGTAAACAAGGTTTGATTCATTGATGGCTTCAGACAAGTTATTCTTGTCGTGTATTTGGATTTGTATTCTAACTACCTGTTCTACTTGAACAACAGGAACCACTTAAGAAACAAGATATATGGAAGTTCAATGAACCTTCAGAGCAAACTGATTTTTCATCTGAGAGGACAGCAACACAATCTGAATACCCTTCAATTCAGAGCTTTTCCTCACTAATGGCATCAGGCAAACCGGAATTACAAAGCAACTCAGTTCCCGGGTCTGGTTATTTTGATTATGCCAATGCATCTCAGGCTGTTAGAGAACAGAAGAGATCAGGAGACGGGTTCAACTGGAGAAAATATGGACAGAAACAAGTGAAAGGAAGTGAAAATCCTCGAAGTTATTATAAGTGTACACATCCAAATTGCTCAGTGAAGAAGAAAGTGGAGAAGTCTTTGGATGGACAAATTACTGAAATAGTATATAAGGGCCATCATAACCACCCAAAACCACAGTCTACTAGAAGAACAAACTCTCAATCAATTCATCAACCTTCTTCATCTTGCACAAACTCAGGGATTTCTGATCAATCAGTGGTGACCCTAGGGAATCCACAAATGGACCACTTCTCCATACAAGAAGATTCTTCAGCTTCTGTAGGAGAGGAAGAGTATGAGCAAACATCCCAAACCAGTTATTCTGGGGGAGATGAAGATAACCTTGCGCATGAGGCCAAAAGATGGTAAGATCGATAAACTACAGTCTAATGACCTGATGCACTATTCTAGAAGGAAATTGCTGAGTTTGTTAAGTTTGAAATATAACTAATTCTGATTCATATTGTTGCAGGAAGGGAGATAATGAAAACGATGGCTACTCCGCCTCAGGGAGTAGAACTGTGAGAGAGCCTAGAGTTGTAGTTCAAACCACAAGCGAAATTGATATACTTGATGATGGATTTAGGTGGAGGAAATATGGACAGAAGGTAGTGAAAGGAAACCCAAATGCAAGGTAATTAACTGAAGATAACAAAGACCCTTTAGTTAATGTTTCTAAGTGTTAAAATTCATGTTGTCAATATTATGAATGCCATTACTTAAATTGTTCACATTCCATGTGCAGGAGCTATTACAAATGCACGGCCCCTGGTTGTTCAGTGAGAAAACATGTTGAGCGAGCTGCACATGATATCAAAGCTGTGATCACAACTTATGAAGGGAAACACAACCATGATGTGCCTGCTGCACGAGGTAGCGCAAGTTATAACATGAACAAAAATTCTCTGAACAGTAACATATCGGCTCCTATAAGACCCTCGGCAGTGAACTGTTATTCTAGCTCATCAGGTTTAACAAATTCTCTCTACAATAATACCAGGCTTCCAGCAATCGGAAATCAAGAATCATTTGCACTGGACAAGTTCAAAAACCCTGAAAGTTTTGGCCATTCAGCTCTTACCAAATCAATGGGTTCATATGGCGATCATGCACCATACTCAGATGCTGCATACTCAAATGCCAAGGATGATAGGAAGGATGACTCATTCCTTCAGTCATTTCTATCAAAGGACTTCTAAATATGGGACTGGACAACAACTCTGCATATTAATATTATCCTGGATATGTTTTTGTATAGCATGTAGGATTTTAGTTATTCACAGCAGAATATGGGCAAAGCATTACCATTTTTACTTATTTACCTCATTTAGATTAGTGAATGGCACCACAACCGTAGTGCCAACAGTTGCTATACCTGTCTGCTAAGTTCATCTCCCAATAGAAAGTTTCAACTTTATCATAGGATTGACTGGTGAATTCTATTATTCTTTGGTTGTATTTGTAAGGAAAAAAGTTATCTCGGAAAAATCTTCATTAATTAATTTGTAACATGTGCGGGCAATTTCTACCATGCACTTTCTACTTTTAGTTTATATTAAATGATTGTGTTGACAGCTGAATGTCAAAAAGTCCAGGATAATGAAATGCTTAGTGACTTCTTATATACTTAGAAAAGCATAAGCAATCCAAATAATTTCACGAGTGAGAATTTTGTGTTACACTAGTGCCTAAACGTTGAAAGCGGAAACCTTTAGGATTTTAGCTAGTCAAGTCCTTTTTTTTTTTTTTTTTTTTTTATGAACATTAAGTAATCAGATTGTGAAGAAAAAAAATATGAACTTCAGTCCTTGCTGCTATTGCTTGAGTCTTACAGTCAGACATGAATAATGCATTCTCCACATTGATTTTTATTTTTTGGACAAATAAAACAGTCTCGAGTACAAGAAAAAAAAATTAAATATTGCATGTATTCGTATATGAAATCATTATCAAATCTCACTGTATGACATATGCACAGAGCCAGAGAGATGAGGCCTGGCTCCCTTTCTCATCATTTCTATTCAGAAAATTGTGATTTATATAGAAGTATGAAACAATAATAGGGAGAGTGTTGCACAGTTCAGACTTCATATATAAGGTTGAGTTGATAGTTTGTAGCCAGAAATGACGGCTGAAACTGCTAGAGACAAGAAGGCAAAAATAGACATGCTAATGGCTGCAGCTGAAGCGTCTGTAAATATATTGTCTGCCCCTTCCCTCATTCTATTTGTCAGTGGAACTGCTGAAGATGCGGATGATATCAAAAGATATGAAGTGATCTGCAACCAGAAACGTTACAAAATTAACATTTTGTAGTCCTTCAAAGGGAAACATTTCGTAAATCATAACCAGTCATAAAGGTTCTGCTTTTGAATAAACAAATAGTCTAACACTTTGAATTATTAAAATGAAGCATCTACCAACCAATGGATCATCTGAATATTATATGGTGGTGCCATCAGTACGACTCATTAATTTGTCCAGAACGATAAATTAAGGCCAATAAAAATCCACCCTCCCAAGTGATCGCATTATTAAAGCACTTCAAACGTCACTGAAAATATTTCATTTTATTACTGAATTGAAGCTAGATAAGCTTTCATTTTCAATACTTCCGTAGAGGTAACTTCTGAAAGAAGTCACAAGTTTCCAATCCAATCTCTTCACACTGGTGATATAGCTCAGCCACACAGTCTCAAAGGGGCAACAAATTAATATAGTTTGCAATATATTACAAAGAATCTCATTAACATACCAAAGGGATATTTAATTTTAAAATTTCTGAAACATACATAAATAAACAAAAGTAGTATGAAAATGAAGTTCCTTTGAGAAATGAATTCAAGGTAAACTTAAACACTCTGACTGTGATTACCGACTCCTCACTAGCCATAGAATCAGATATGCATGGAAAAAAAAAAGAAGCATAATCATTGGAATCAATGAAATAAGATAAAAACGATGTCAAACCTGATCACCAAAAAAGTCAATCATAGCTGCCATTCTTGGCTTAAGCAATTGTTTTGCAGTAGAAAATTCATGCATTTGACGGAACACTTGTGCTCCTGTGTACATACTAGACAAAATCGCTATAGCCAGCAAATACCTATCATTCTCCAAAATCACAATTCAATTTCATCACTCTCGTGAATCCACTATCTACATAGCCAAATTAAAGACAAATAATACACATGCGATAAAGATTATGCACTTTATATAATAATTACTTTAAAGTGTAGTTCTTTAAAAACCACATGTATTATCTCTTTGAGAGAAACAACCATGCTTGAGTTGGAGTGGCAAAATTCACTATTAGTAGTGAAAAAACTTTTTTTTTTTTTTTAAGTATTTTACATAACTGCATATCTAAAGTTTGAATTTGAGCCAATACATTGAGTTAAACAACTTATGACAGTTGATTCACATATTCAATGGTCTTTAAAGTGTAATTGGTCCCTAGTGTCAAAATAAAATTAAACTCATTATTTTTTGGTTTCTCACAGTTTTTCTTTAGGAGACAGTAATTCACACACAAATTCTGAACTCCTCTATCAGTGGAAATTTCAAACCTTGGTTTGATTCACTCCATGAGAGACTAGTCATTTTGATTAGACCAATCCTCCTTGATTATTAAACTCATTATACTTCTAACGTTTAGCTCTGTCTCAAAACCAATCAACCATCCTAACAACCTCTGAATAGTCTTATATCGCATCCAAATATCAGATCAACATCAATAAAGTCAAAATTTGACAAATACCCATTATTCTTAATCCAAAATTCTCAAATGGGTTTTCAGATTTCTACCTGTACTCTTCATATTTATCGAATTCTCTCCAATCGCCGTGTTTATTGCTGGCCATGACAATGAATGAAATCAGAGAGAAAAGCAGAGAGATCCCTCTCAGTGCCAATGACCCTCTCTTCATCAAGTCCTCCCTCTTCCACCGCCGCAGGATTATGCCTATTCCGCCGCCACTGGTGGCTTGCGTCCGGTGGTCCTCGCTCGGCGCAGAAGGTGCCATTGGCGGAGTCTCCACGTGTACCTTAGGCGACGAATTTCCGTCGACATTTGACATCTTGTGTATGGTTTCAGATTCAGATTTCAACGAAATGAAGTGAAAGAAATGGATTGAAGGAGAGGAAGAAGAAGACAGCGAAATTTATGTTGTTGGGGCTTTGTTATCGGTGCTGTTTTTCTGTTTGCTTATGTAAGTTGGCAATATTGGTAAAATCGTTATGGAAGTTATCGAGGCTTCGGGAAGGAGTTCTAGTTAGATGACCCGCGCGTGAGTAGTATTGAAGATGACGTGGCGTAATGACATTGGTTGGAGGAGTGAGGAGTACAAAGAAGAAAGGCCATGGTAGCTTCCTCACCAATGTAGCGATGAGAGTGCCAGCGTGGCCACGACATCATGACATGGAAAAATTACTTGTTTAATATGCTTAAGAAAATATAAAAAAAATTAATTTTTTTAATAATCTATAATTGATGAAAAAGATTATATGATTTCTCTAGATTTATTTTAATTTGTATATAAGTCAATTATAATTTATAATTTCTTATAAGGGCTTAAAAAGAAGATTATTAGATTGTTAGTTCATGAAAAGTTGAATTTAGTTCATTTAAACAAAATTTTGTGTTCAACTTTTCCGAATGAATAAGATATATTTGGGAGAAGGTGTGAGTACCATTTAAAAAATATTCAGAGAATAAAGGCACATGTGTAAATGTCCTTTATAATATTCATATATTTAGCATTTTAGATTATGTATTATATAAAGCATAAAAAAATATAACTCATTATACATGAATAACATTTGTATATAATTTAAATTGGTAAGAAATTATTTTACATATATGAATTATTTTATAATTAAAAATTATAATAGTAATATTAAATTATATCTAATTTAATATTTTTATTTTTCATTAATATATATATATATATATATATATATATATATATACACACGAAAATAATACAATTTTTTAACTTGGGAGTAGTATGGTATGGGAGTGGCGGACTCACATAAAAAGATAAATATTTTTTTGCTTGAATATATTTATTTAAGTTTTATTTTAACCGCAATAAGAAAATGGTCTTGTTAAATTAAAAAAAAATCTAAAAAGTTATAAAATAAAAATAGAGGATAATTGTACTAGTTTTACCGCTTTCTATCTTATTCATTTTTTATAGTATTGATTGTTAGAAATGTAGGCTGAGATCAAGAGGGGGGTGAATTGATCTTTGAAAGATTTTCGCAAATTACAGATTATCGATTTCAAAGATTAAGATTTCAGACCAATTCTTGAATAGCACACAGCAAAGAATCAAAAATAAATGCAGTGATAGAATTGAAGGAGAGAAAGGTTTAGAAAGATACAACCAAGGTTTATACTGGTTCACCCAATCCTAGGGCTACGTCCAGTCTCCAGCCAAATTTCAGCTGGGTTCCACTAGATTGAACGTTTTACAGATTACAACTTTAATCTCACATTCAATCTACCACAAGAACCACAATTCCAGTTCCTGCACCTAAACTTTCACCAAGAACCAAATTCCAGTTCTTGATCAACCCTGCAGCCAAATTCCAGCTACAGAAATCAGTGCCCACAATTCCAGGCACCCACAATACAGTAAAGAAAGTAAAGAAACAAAGAGAAGAAACTTAGAACGCTCAAACCAGATTTATGCAGCTCTACAGTATGTGTTTCTTCTCCAAAAGAATGCAATTTTGCCTCAAGAAAGAACTCCTATGAACTTCACAAAAACTAGCGTGATTCTCTCTTGAAAGTAGCACTTATGCTTGCTTGATTGATTGCTAAAAGATGTGTATTAAAAGGTTCAAGCAATTCTGTTTATATAGAAGATTTTCAAAACTGCTGGTTTATTTAATCTGTTAAAATAATCTTTTAATCTGTTAAAAGACTTGTTTTAATCTGTTAAAACTTCTTTTAATCTGTTAAAAAGTTCTTGATTATTTTCCAGATTTGTTTTAACTGATACGACACCGTTTATATCAATTAAAACTCTTTGTAAAAAATCTTCCAAACTGTTTTAATCGATTGTTTCGTCTTTCAATCGATTAAAATACTGCAAAACATTCTTATAAACTTTTCTAAGTGATTTTAATTGATAACAATCTGTTTTAATCGATTAAAACACTTTGAAAAAAATTCATTTAGTTATTTTAATCGATTGAAACGCATTTTAATCGATTAAAATTGTTCTGATCGATCAAAAACTCATTCTGATCGATCATAAACTCATTCTGATCGATCATATGCTGGATTACATCGATTAACAAATACTCCAAGTGGTTTTAATCGATTGTTTCGAATTTTATCGATTAAAATACTACCAGAACACTTCCCTGAACATTTTAAGTGATTTTAATCGATTTTTTCGAAACTATATCAGTTAAAATACTGAAAGTAGGTTTTCAAAACTCCTTCTAATGAAAACAATCGATTATTTCGAAAACATATCAGTTAAAAACATGTTACAAAAGTGTTAAGAACATTTTAGTTGATAAAGCTTGTATACTATTAGTTAAAATAGTTAATTAAAAACCTTTTAACAAAATACTTTGTTTTTAACCATTTAAACGCTTTTTAGAGGCAATTGCAAAATCTTTTAAATGAAGAAACCTCATGCAGCAGAGAGATAAAAATGATTATACCTAAGCAGAGATGCAGACTCACTAATCCCACTACTCTTTTATCTAAGTGATCTTTGACTGCCACAAAGTAGCCTTTGACTTCATTTTTTACTTCATCAAATCAACAAGATCTTTGTCAAAGTAATTCAATAAGATCTTCATCACTTTCAGTCTCCCCCTATTTGATGAAGACAAACACCTCTTTGAATAATAACTCTGCAGAAGAAGTTACTTGAATATATAGATTAGTGAGTATTCAAAAAATAATGATTTTTCCATTTCTCCCCCTATATTGCTACTCCCCCTAAATAAGAGAAATCAATTATAAAAGCAAAGCAATATTTCTCCCCCTTTTGACTTCATCAAAAAATAGGGAACAGAGGAATAAAGCAAATACAGTGCATGGCAATTGACAAAATTTAGTTTTTGAAAACATTAAGAACAAAATACTTTACTCATATAAAGATCAATCAAAGTTGATTCAAACTTATCTTCATTAACACATTTGTAATGAATACAATTAACACGTGTAAAGATAAGGGAACCATGCTTTAGTAACATGTTACAAGAACAACCATTAACTAAAGCCTTTAATTTTTCTTTCCCAGAGTAATAATCGATTAAAAACAGGACGAAATCGATTAAAATGATCTTGTTACTAGTTTTAATCGATTAGAATAATGTTTTAATCGATTAAAACAGTGATGAATTTCGAAATTTTGAAACATAAGTTGATTTAATCGATTAAATCGACATTTAATCGATTAAAACAAGTAAGAAAAATGTTGTATAAGTGCTTTTAATCGATTTAAAGCTTGTTTATATCGATTAAAACAACCAGTTTTGAAAACTAAGTAATGTTTGATGCATCTATCATGCCTAATTCAGTTCAGATTTTGTAAAAACGATTATTAGGAAAATGTTTTAAAATAATATCAACTAGATTGATTAAATTTTAACTTATAGATCCATCAAAATCAGAACAATATCTTATTTAGTTGATTTAACTGATGTAAACTAGTTTTAGTTGATACAAACACATGACATACAGGTTTTAATCGATTAATACGTAAATTAATCGATTGTTTTGATGCGAATTTCCTATGTAAGTGTTACTTTTAATTGATTTAATCGATTGAATCTAATTTGTATCAGCTAAAATTATCAGAGAATTATGTTTGATCTTATCTATGCTCTTCTTAATTCAACTTAAAACCTACATCATATTTAGCAAAGTTAAAAAGATTGTTCCTGGTTTACAACCAGTTAATATTACAGACCAGAACTGAAAATTAGCAGTAAAAGAAATATGCCATAAGAAAAAGATAGGAAGGGACCCTTCTTTCAACAACTCAATCATCCTAATTCCCTTGGTTGAGCTGCATATCTTCCAGTTTGGTGTAAATATCAGCAATCTGGTTTCCAAGGTTTGTGAACTGATTATTGGTCTGCTGGAAATGTTGATATGTCATTTGCATATGCTTTCTTTGGTTTTCCTGCATTGGGGCCATTTGAGAAAGCATTGACCTTTCAAATTGAGACAGAGGAGTTCCACGGTCAGGTTGTTCCAAGTAGGGAATTATCTCCATGTTCTCATATGATGCCTCCCCACCAGTGGATTCAGGAACTTCAGCAGTAGCTGGAGAGGAAGGAATTTGACCTTGCTCATCTTCTTCTTCATCTTCTTCCTCATCTTCAGACATCCCATCATCAACTTTAGAGATCCACTCATCATCAATTTTAATAAACCCCATTTTCCGTAAAGTAGAGTCATCAATCTCATTAGATGCTTTCGGAGTTTCCACATACTCCCCTTCTAAATCTACTACAAAATGTCTAAAAAATTTGTTGATTAACAAAGCATAAGACAGTTTATAATCAGCAAGTCTCTTGGCTTTTACCATGTGATCTTTAATAACATAGACCTAATTAACACGAATCCTATTTTCAATGCAATACATGAGAGCTAAATCACCCTCATTGAGTATAGCATGATTACTCCCCCTTGGAGTAAGCATCCATGCAATAATGAAGACAAGAATTCTTGATTCAAGCCTCATCTTCCCAGCATTGAAAATTCTTACCGAATCACCTTTATCTTTGAGACAGGTACAAAAAAATTGAATTTTGTTAAACTCTGGCAATTCAACAATATTACCTCTAGAGACTTTTACATCAACATCTTTGAGACCAACAACTTCATCCCAAATATCAGGAGAAATGACCATATTAACTCCTTTTACCTGATATCTTAATGTGGAACCACTGACAGTGAGATTTGCATAAAACACTCTTACCAAATCTGGTTGAATGTTGCCAGTATATTCCAGAAAATTCTTCAGTTTTTGATTCTTCAATTTTCTTCTTAAAGAAGTGAACCCTTCATCATCCAACCAAATAAACCTTATAAATT